TGGAAAAAAAATTGGACAAATGTAATTGAGGTAAAGACGATCGAGTAGCTGGAAATGTTCTTCAAAACCTGATCAATAGTCTTGACAAATAATACATATGATTATTTGGAGATCGTGAGATTCGGTCTGGTGTACCAAGGTTCTAGAAAAACATTTTGTTTATCGTGCCAACGTTTCGATCTTTATTGAGATCATCTTCAGGGCATTGGATTTATTAACATTTTTAAACCCATGTAGGATGTGAAAAAAAGATACGTAAGAATAACAAAACACCTTGAGGGAGTACAAATACTGTGATTGAATACATTTCGATCTTTATTGAGATCATCTTCAGGGCCTGTGATTTATTAATATTGTTTAAATTTTACAATTACATGTAGGATGTGACAAAAAACCACACACAAGAAGGACGCAACTACTCAGAAAACAAACACTTTGAGTGAGTACAAATACTTTTATTGAATCTAAAATTTTGCATTGTATAAATTCATTTTTTCATCCTACATGTATTTGTAAAATTTAAACAATGTTTATAAATCTCAGGCCCTGAAGATGATCTGAATAAAGATCGATACGTTGGCACGATAAACAAAATGTTTTTCTAAAACCTACGTCACACCAGACCGCAACTCACTATTTCCAAATAATTTATTTAATGCAAAATATATTTTTTTACATATTCAATCAAAGTATTTCTTTAAAAAAAATATATATTTTTTGCAATGTATAAATTCACTTTTCCACTTCCAAAATGTAATTGTTATATGTAAACAATGTTTGTAAATCCTAGGCCCTGAAGATGATCTCAATAACGATCGCAACGTTGGCACGATAAAGAAAATATTTGTCTGAAACCTACATCACACCAGACCGCATCTCACGATTTCTAAAAAAAATACGCTAAAGTATTTTCCTGGCGGTTTGAAGAAATTTATTTATTTGGGGATGAGGCAATTATTTCCAGTTTTTGTTAATTGGTGAGTGAATCTGTAAGTTGGTCGTTACCCATTATTTTGGTCTGCCTAGGCTGTGTTTGTCTGTCAGATGCAAAAACTCAAAAAATTAAAATTCTCGGGAATATAAATTTCTTGGTAATAAATAACTCCAAATCACCAACTAAATTATGACAAAAATAATATTAAAATAGACGTATATTATGTATGAAATAAACTATTTTTTACACCCTTTTTATATAAATTTTATACTTTTTTAGTCAGTTACAAAGACATGCAAAACAGATTGCAAAAAAAGTGCTGTTGCAACAGGAAGTGTTCACAGAATAATGTGGTTGTAATTTAAATGAAAAAAACACAGGAAAATATTTATGTAAACATAAAAGATACAAAGAAGTAAATATTTGTTGACAAGTATCGTATACCTTAAACTATTTTTTTTTAATTCAACGTCAAGCTTTGCAATGATCACAGGATCAAACGCCCTGGGTACGTGTTTAATTTAACTACATGTGTTATTGCGTAACCAAATGAAGTAATAAATGTACATTCGACTGGAAAATTTCTTGTAAAAACTAGATGAGTACATTTTAATGGGACGAAAAGTAATCTTGGAATAATCTAACAAAAAGAGGCAACAGACGTGGTATCATTTACTTTAATTATTTTTTTTTTAAGGACAAGGTCCAAAAATATTAGACACATTAGTCTTAGCATTCTCGCAAATAGGCCCTGGAAACCGAGAAAAAAAATAAAAGAATTTAAATATATTTAAAATGTCAAAAAAGCAAAACTAAACTTAACTAAGTTCGCATCCCAACGGCAGTGATTATCCTTCTCGTAGCAATTCATCATTCTTTGAGTACCCAGTTAACTCTTTCAGTTAGATTTGATTGAGAGTAGTAGTTTTTAGAGTAGGCTGTATTCCAGATTTGGGTACCATATTCATTAATCATCTCCTGAAATTCCTTACTCTTGAACTGGGTCCAACTGCCGCAGATCATTATTTGAGGTGCTCCAAAGCAAAACATTATCTTTCACCAGCTTGGCGACACCCTTTGCATTATAGCCTGACGCATTGGCAAAAAAACACTGTATTTACTGAAGTAATCTACCACCAAGTATAGGAAAAGGTCCCATCCAATCCACCGAAATTAATTGCCAAGGATGCTAGAACACCTTCTGCTTACCCATCATACCAACAGTAGATTTCAGGGGTGGCTTATTTTCTAGGCAAATTCAACAGCAAGCACATTTTTTGCTACGCCCGCAGTCATCTTAGGCACTAGGACATTTCCTTAATGCACTTCAAGGCCTTACAACTATGTAAATGTCCTTACATTGGATTATCATGAAACTCAGTGAGGAGATTAATACTTTGCTCCTTTGGGCCGACAAGCTCCTTGGGGTTCCTGCTCTCTAAGATTGGTTGACGTCTATTACGCGCTTGTACAATTTGTTGCCATTTTTAACGTTCCAATTGGGATATTTTGCCGCTTCTTCTTGTGTCTTCCTATTCATATATTAATACCGTGATACCAATTCTTTCTCAAACAAAATATTGACTGCGGCGACAGTGTATTCATGTTCTGAAAGGGACGTCCGGAGCAGCGTGGTTCCTGCCCGGTCGATGTTCAGTTTGGAAGAAATATTGCTGCATTTTCAGAACCCAACGCGCAAATATTCTTTGAGGATCTTTTCATTTCTCAACCACATTAACCAACGATGATCCATGACGACTGTAAATTCAGTGCCCTCTAGGTAAGGCCTGAATGTCTCTACGCCCATAGGACAGCTAAGTACTCTTGCTCTGTCGCTGAAAAGTTCCGCGTCAAGCTTCGCTGGCATATGCTACAGGCTTCACGCTATCATTGAAAATTGGGCATAATATTGCACCTAGACCAGTGGAAGAAGCGTTCGTTTGAAGAATAAAAGGCCGGGTGAAATCGGGCATGCCAAGAATCGGTGCAGAAATTAGTGCTTCTTTTAAATGTTTAAATGATTTCTCTTGTGAATCGCACCAGCGCCACTTTTTATTCTTCTTTAATAATTCCGTAATCTCCTGGCAGAGACTGATGCAATGTAAGGTTTCAAAAGACAAGTCCCAGAAATCGTTGACGGGCAGTCAGTGGTTGAGTGATTTTCATTATAGCTGCTACCTCATCTGGGTCAACGTGAAGTCTTTTCTCATCAACAACATAACCGAGGTATAGAAGTTTTGCAAGTAACAACTAATCCTTCATCTCGTAGGATTCATAAGGACTTTTTCTAGTCTCCAAGTGGTCCGAAAAATCCAGCGTAACAATTACATAATCCAAATATGCAATGACTTTAGGTTCAAGCTCTGGTCTCAACATGCTGATAATAAGTCTTTCCCATGTAACAGGAGCATTGTGTAGTCGAAAAGGCATTCGTTTGAACTGGAAGAGCCCACGGCATGGCACTGGAAAAGCTGTCTTTTCGCTGTCCTGGTTTCGAACTTTAATTTGCCAGTAGGCCGACTTTAAGTCCAATGAAGTTATGTGCTTGGCATTCCTTAAGCAATCTAGTATCTAACTTACGTAAGGTAAAGGGTAGGCATCTCCCTTAGTTACAGCATTGAGACACCGGTAATCTACGCAGAAACGATATTTTCATTCTGGCTTCTACACCTACACAACTGGTGATGACCATGAGATGGAGGCAGGCTCAATTATTACTTCTTCGGACATTTTATCTAACTCTTGATCAATGATTGCTTTCAGCGTTGGGGAAACTGGGTAGTATCGCTGCATAATAACTCCATCCGTATCAATTGAACGGACTACCAAATACGTACCAGCAGCTTATGTGTCACTGCTTTCCAAAACCGTGCTGACAGCAAGTACACCACGATGCCTAGAATGATATCATGTGGTACACCAATCTTGATTTCAAACAAATCAGAGTATTGATCCTGCTGTTTAATTTTGAAGAATCTTCTCGAAAGGTAGGAGGTGAAAAGTTTAAAATATTGTTTTGGTAAAATTTTTTTAAAGCAAATCTATTCAAACTTAGTGCCAAACCTTGTAAAAGACTTGCAATATATCTAGGAATAAATCTGAACTTTATCTGATGTATGGTTGAGTTATTGGCTATGAATACTCGTGGTGTCTCGGTATAATGTTCACTTTTTCACCGATGGTTTTCAAACATTTCAGCAAACGTTTTTCGAATAATTTTGAGATAAATGGAAGTACCGAGAAGCGACGGTAGGATGATTCGTGTGGTGGTTTGCCTGGTTTTACTATCATTGTGATCTCAGCCATTTTCCAGACATTAGGGACACGCCAGTCTCATTAAATAAATTCTTCGATTTTAATATTCCTTTTTAGAGATTTTTTTAAATGTTTCCTGTGATCAGATTAAACTTGGAGCTTTTCAAGAATTTAAATTTTTTTTGTTTAATTTAAACTCTAGGCTCAACTGTCGAGAAATGTACTTGTTTCCTTTCGTGGTTGTTGTGCCTGCGTCCAACGGTTGATAATTAAGTTCAATACAAGTTCATATACATATCTCACGTGAATTTATAATAATTATTAATTAATTGTGAGAGAAGAAGAACTGATTTATATAGAAGAAGAAAGAAGAGAGAGAGAGAGAGAAAGAGAGAGAGAGTGAGAGAGGGTGAGAGGGAGAAAGAGAAAAAGAGAAAGAAAGAGAGTGAGAGAGAGATAGAGAAAGAGAGATAGAGAAAGAGAGAGAAAAAAAGAGAAAGTGAGAGAGAGAAAGAAAGAGAGAGACAGGTAGAGAGAAGGGGAGAGAGAGAAAGAGAGAGAGACAGGTAGAGATAAGGGGAGAGAGAGAGAGAGAGACAGAGAGAGAGAGATATAGGTAGAGAGAAGGAGAGAGAGATAAAGAAATAAAGAGAGAGAGAGTAAGAGAGATAATTGAGTTGATACTCCCTATTTATAACACTCGCAGATTTAGGCCATATAGACATTTTTTACATGTAACCGTTTTACAAAAATAATTACATACAAAATAAACAAACTAAACGATTCTGGAACATACATATATAGTTTTAACTTTAATCAGTTTTATTAAATTTAACATGTATTTTATGATATACAATAACCTAATTTAATTAAATTGTAAACAATGCATGATTTCACTTTACAGTAACTACAATAAAAAGCAATTGTGTATAAACATAAAAAATTTAAGAAAATACAAAAAGTAAAAAAAATGAAAAATATGAAATTTTTTTTATATTACTTTATATAGAAAACATTTAACAAGTGAATTTGTGAACGTATTTATCAATGAGTATTTAGTAGTAAGTAACGGTAAGATTGGTATCGTTAAATGAAAATAAACACAATAAGTAATAATTAATTCATAAGTTGTAAATCATACTCGAGGGGATCATAGAATTCCTTCTCTTACACAGTTTAACAGGTCTTCCTGAACGTCAGACTTGAACCGAGGAATTTCGTATAGATGTGGAAAATAGCAGAGGCGAGGGCCTTTCTCCTGCAATAACGGTTGCATGGTGTAATTATTTTCATTCGTGGCAGTATTCGTGTAGCTCGAGCAGAGCACCGTCAACCCCATGTACTTGAACCTGTCCATCTCTTCGCCAACCGACTTTCTTGTCGGTCTAGGCCCCTCATAACCGTAAAAGTCCAGCGTGTCAGAAAGGGATTTGAAATACGCGTCGAGAAATTCCGGGAGCGATTTTCGCCGTACCGACGCCCTGACGCTCGTATAAAGCAGAAAAGTCAAGTCCCATGCCAAAGAGTTAAAATGCGACAGCTGGAAGTCGACAAACCTGGAAAATTATTACAGTTAAACCAGAAATGGACGAATTTGCTTGACGTACTTAGCCTTAACAGGAACGTTTTGCGAGTCGTATTGGAACATTACGTTGCAGCACCAAAGATCTCCGTGGTTGAGGACATCCATCTCATCCTTTCGATTTTGAAACAATTCCTTGAAATATTCCTCAGTATGTGATGCAGACTTATATAATCTATCTGCAACATCTAACCTAAAACAGTATTTTTTCTTTAAATATTTAAAGTAACAGAGAAGTTAACCAGCGGTTGCTGTTTTTAGTTAGTTAAAGCAATTAAGTTTTGAATGATTGATGGTACGCTGTGATTTTGAAATGCATTTTAGTAAATCCCGATATCAAAATATGCACAAACATGGTTTTGTAACTAGAAAGAAACATTGTCTGTCTCCTAAGCTCTAACATAGATACGATTAAAAGAAACCGTTAAATATATAACTTATATAGTGAGAAGAATGGATGGCAATGTGAACCTCTCAAAATACCGTAAAAATCGTGCTGCATTGAATGAACGAGTTACAAGGAGAGTTAGGGTAAAACTTAAGCAGTAGAAGAAAAGACGGATATATATAGCCTTATAGTACTGCATGTGGCTACTCTGCCTGAACCCTTCAAGTATGAAGGGAAAAAAATCACATTTATTTACTAACAAAAGAAAGTGAAAGAAAGGTTCAAGTCAAGCATAGCTTTCACAACCCATGGATTACATAGATCATATTATATACATCACGGTATCAATTGCTGGATGACAGGATTACTATCAGAGATGGGGCATTCACGATCTTTGTGGTAACCCTGTTAACTCTATTAAGTCCTGCTAGATCGAGAAAAATGAAGACGTAGACTTGTAAGAATCTGCTAGTTGCTCATCTAGCAGCCCAGGGCCAATGATAGACATTGGGTCGAAAATGTAGTCACATTGCTATCCGTTAGGGCGTAGGTAACCAACATGGCAGCCATGAATTTAACAGCTGTTTTTTGTTTATGCGTATTTTTATTCTTAAATGTACATTAATTAAATCAGACATTTCTTTTCTTAACTTCTGACCTATCCTTATACTACTTGACTCCTATTCATAATCATCCCCCTCCATATACTTCCACTGTCCTATTATGTTGTAGGCTCTTAGACATTAGGATACAAGTTAGGTAGGTCGGCACGAATTGAAGCGTGTCATTTGTTAGTACTTTTCGAGTACATAGATAGCATTTTGAATGAAAAAGTTGATTAATTTTCCTTTTTTATTAACTTCCGGCATATTACAATTTAACACAAAAGAAAACCGAAATAAACAACAAAGCCTTGAAGGACTTGATTTGTTATAGCTTTATTTTTTGTTCTACCAATCGCCACGTGCAGCATTGCGGAAAAATTAACGTTTAGCATACTAAGAAATAGGAGGTTCTTGATCTTACTTGACATTTCTCTATTCGAGTTAACATCTTACAAACACCCCTAGTTTTTTTCTTGACTGGGGCTTCCGACATCTAGGCCATTTCAGCCCCCAACTAAGTCTATATTCTATTTACACTTTCAAACACTACATTCATACAAATAAATACATTCATATACATAAATACATCCATACAGTACACTCATTCCGTTTGGTAGGTGAAGTAATTGACATTCCTCTACCGACCTATACTCAAACTATTGGGGTCGATGGAGTACTTTTATAAATATTCCGCCATCGACCCTGAACACACACTCATACGCTCTTAACGTTCGAGGGGCGATTATGACGTTATATTTCACCCTCACTCCTCACCATTCACGCTAATAAATACATGCACTCAGACAAAAACATATAAACACAACACACATAAGACATATTATATACCATAAAAAAACCCAATTTCCCGTAAAAAGCGGAACAGGGGACTCGCTACTGTGTTCTAGAACTCTTCTGAAGTCCGGCAGCATGCCTACACGCTCTCTGTATGGAGCCAAGGCATGACACGCCTCTATTATGCGGGACACATCAAGCAACCTTTCTCTGCATAAGGGGCACCTGAACACCCGTATTATCATCTATACATGTCCAATGTTCAAGGGTAAGAGAAAACAGCTGTTCAAACATTTGGCATTGCAAATGGCTGAAATCGGAAGTTGTAGAAAAGAAGCCCTATTTCAGCTAACAATATTGACGGTAAAAAAGTTACGGTTTTAGGTTTAAACGGATAATGGAATTGTAATTAATAATGTAAAATTATTTATTATTACAATTAATTAAGGATTTTAGTTGAGATAAAAACCTTAATTAATTGTAATATATTAATTGGTCGAGCGGACCACGAAATTAGTGAATTATTTATTATCTGCGAGAGTAAAACCCTGAAATATGGGGACAAGTCTAAACTCTGACTTTCGAAAATATCAGTAATGAACAGAATTCTGTCAAGAGATTCTGTCGGTTAAGAGAAAGCAACTCATATGTCAAAACGCTAGTATTTAATATTTTTTGTGTTCAAAGCGAGTTATCTATGAGAAATTATAATATGTGTGTTTTTAGTGACCGGTTGTTTAATAAATACAGGATTCGTGAGGAGCAGTCAAGAATGAGGTGGTTTAGAAAAACATCTTTTTCATTTTTTTTGCCGACGTTTCGACCTTTATTCAGGCCTTCTTCAGGGACTGAGAGTGGACTCTGACATATGTACAAAACATACGTTGATTTGAAAAAATACAAAACAGATGTAAATATAAACTCTGAAACCAAGTATTTCATACTTACATAAAGTGCAGTGATATTCCTGTGGTGTCATATTGGTGTTGTGTGAAATTGTTGTGAGACGTGAATTAGTAATCTGCTGTTTTATATGCTGGGACAGGGTGGAGACCCGGTAAATTACGAGTATATGAGTATAAAATACTTGGTTTCAAAGTTTATATTTACATCTGTATTTTTTTTCTAATCAACATATTGTAATTAATCCAGGCCCTGAAGATGGCCTGAATAAAAGTCGAAAAGTCGGTAAAAAAAATGAAAAAAGGTTTTTCTTAAGTACCTCATGTTCGACCGGTGCTCAAGTATCCAACATTTATTTTGTATTATGCCAAGTGGCTTTGATTTCCGAAATTGCTCTCTTATTAAAAACCTCCTTAGTTAGACGATTAGGTAAGTTATTCTTCTTTTAAGTTTGAAACAAAAATGGGCATTTCAATGTGAGATTATCACCTAGTTAGAAAATACATTCTTTAATCGACTTACCATTTAGGCCCCCAAGATTTTTTCATAACTTGTGACATTGTTATCAGGCCACCGGTAGTGAACATATCCAACATTACGCTGTCACCGTACATCGGGTAGTTTCTGAACCTGCTGATTTTTTCTTCGTCGACATCTTTTTTGAAAAATACCTTAGAAATGGCGTGAAATCTTCCTAGCGTGGATACGGAACGTATCACGTGCTTGTAATCCAAACATTCCATCTTGTCGACAGTCATATAACCATATTCCTAAAGAATTATGTATATCAGAATTTTTTGATCGATAAAGGAATATTAATTGACCGTGACAGACTCTAAGGTCTTCTAGAATCATCATGTCATGTCGGTATCCGAGTAAATTGCACCAGATTCTTTCATTTGTGTCTCCGTATTCCTCTACTACCTTTTCCATGCCCGGAATCATTTCTTCATACATCTGAAAAATGAGAAAATAAACTAGAGTGCTATTCAGAGATATGTTTAAAATCTTATTGTTAGTTCGGCCATTGGTTATTTTTTGTATGTAGTTTCTATGTTTTAAAATAAATTTGTATTATTGATTTATTTGTTTTGTGCATAATGATGCCAATAGAACTTAAATGATATTTACGCTTATTTCTTTTTCCATTAGTCTGTATTTTTCTATTAATTTCCTTATTATGGGTACTTTTGGCTTGGATTTTAAAAAATATGATTTCTCTGTAATTGTTCCGTCGTGAAGTTTCACTTTCAGTTTAACGTTGCTTGAGTAACCTTCGCCGACCACATCTTCGATGGACTGAACCTCAACGTCCTTTATGACAATGTCCTTTATAAAATTCAAGTCCATGTCGAATATCGTACTAAAACAAATCATACAAATTTATAAACAGTTACATGTAATATTAATATGTTTAGCTTTACTCAATATTCCGCCATCCGCTTTCAGCTCTCTTACACTACACATACACGCCAATAAATACTATTCACCAATATATATATATTTNTATATATATATATATATATATATATATATACATGCATTTATATTGCATATTACCAGAGATCCGGGTATGCCAACAAACATTTTAACTATACTACAGTGTGTGTGTTTGTGTGTGTGTATTCACACCAATGAAAAATATTCAATCTCAACACACCCTTGGTACGCAAATCTATCGATATTATATACAATAAAATAACCCTATATTCTCCAAAAATTGGAACTGGGGACCAAGTTAACCGCTGCCGCGCTGAAGTAAGGTGGCATTCCTGCATAATTTCTATGTAGTGCTAAGGACTTTGCTACATGGGTCCGTTACTTAGCTCACGTACCGGGCAAATACGCGGGGTTTGGCCTAAAAATAATTGATTGCATGTCAGCATCTGCGGCTTCTCGTTAATCGGTTGAGGGTATGACCTTTCTCCTACGAGTAGGTCGTCCGATGGACACCCATCAACCGTACTCTTGACACGTGAATAAATAATGGTTTTTATACCATTTATAGTATCAGAGGACTTAGCGGTGGCAATGTCCCTAAAGTCTTAAAGTGGTGAAATAATAAGTGTATATTTATGGTACATTTTGTCTACGGTATGTATTTAAATTCACTAATTTCGTGGTCCGCTTGACCAATTAATATATTACAATTAATTAAGGTTTTTAGTTGAGATAAAAAAGTCAATGGTACGAGCGGGATTCGAACCCACGATCTTCGGCTTGATACGCCGCTGATCTACCACTTGAGCTATCGTGACCTCGATCCACTCGGACACCAACTTCCCATCTCAACCGCACCTTTTGAATTTTACCTCCTTTTTGCCATTTTTCAATTTGCCATTGACTTTTTTATCTCAACTAAAAACCTTAATTAATTGTAGGTATGTATTTATTTACTCATTTATTTATTTATAGATCTACTTGTCTTTATAAAATAGTTATAGTTGGTTGTATAGGTCGGACTAAGCTGGCTGTTTTCCCTCATTCTTTTGTTTACTTTTTTAAATCGTATGTGACTAATTTGTTTTGTATATAATTATTTCTAATTGTATTTTCATACATTTATGGAAACTTACAGTAAACAGAGTGAACCAACAGAGTAACCCTTTCACGTTTCATTAAATTAGTGTAAATTAATATTTTGCTCGCAAATTGAGGTATAAGAATACTCCTAAATTCGTATCTTGTTTTGATCCCTTTATAAATATTTTTTTGTAGAGTTACCCAAGAAACGGCGGGTATTGTAGACGGAAGAAAAGAAAAGAAAAATAGGGTTGAAGTAAGGGCGACTCTAACCGCCATATCTGTCAGTATTTACTGAAACAACAAAATCTTATTTAAACTTTAAACAAGAACTTTGCAAGATCGTAAAAGTTTGTATTCAAAATTATTTTGTATTTTGTTTGTTTAAGGTTGCAACAAATATACTAATGAACCTAATAGGCTTTTCAACGTTCTTGCCATTGGTGTAATCAAATATACATTAACCACAGGATTAACCTTTTATGAGATACGTTAGCCTTTTGGTTTTAAGTTCTGAAAGGTTAAAGTAATCTGAAAATAAAAAGAACTCAAGTAGAATTGAGAAGCGGAAATTGGACAGTGGGGGTTGTTTAGTGTCACGAGTGGGATTCAAACCCACCATCTTCGGCTAGATTCGCCGCTGCTCTACCACTTGAGCTATCGTGCCCTATAGTCGCCAAGAATCAAATAGACTAAACGACATTTGAAGAATGGCAAAAACGGAGGGAAAATTCAAAGGTGGGGTTGAGATGGGAAGTTAGGGTCCGAGTGGATCGAAGTCAGATAGCACAGGTGGTCGAGTAGCGGCGTATCAAGCCGAAGATCGTGGGTTCAGATCCCGCTCGTGACATTCACTTTTTTATCTCAACCAGTTACCTTAATTAATTGAAAGATATTAATTGGTGAAACGGACCACGAAAACTAGTGAATTAAAACAGTAAAGTTTAGAATGTTTTGTGTGAATTCCCTGACAAGATAGAAGAATAGAAAGAATGAAAATAGAAGTGTGTAAAGTAGAGACAAACCTTGTTATTTTATCCACAATTGACGAGACCCAGGGGTACAGAGAGGCTAGCAATAGGACAAAGAAAAGTGTTGGTTACTGTTATATCATAAAAAATCAAGATCGGTTTCACACATAAACAAGTTTTATTAATATTGTCATCTTATCATTTTATGAAACAATTAACCGGAATAGGCACATCACATGAACAAATTTTCATTAAATTGCTTTACCAAATAAAAATATACGGGTTCAATGTGTTAAAAATAAATAGTAGACCGGCCCTTAGGATGATCCTTGTCTGTCACGCTTTCGCCGACGGTAAGTGCAGGCAGAGATATATGAGTATGAGAAAGTAATGTGACATCCATTGCCGGGGCGGTTTTCACCCCAAGGGAGAGGTCGTTTATTATTGAGGACCTTCACGAATGAATCGTCCTTTTAAGCTTTTCTTTTTGCCGCGGGCATTGTTGTTTTTTTCCGAATAGACACACTCCGGGAAACTGGGTTGTCTCGTATTTTCAAGGGGGTACTAAACATTTGTCTCGACTTACATATTTAGGCGACGCCAATTTCCAAATGGAATACAGCCATTGGTGAGAACTTGAAATTTTACTTAAAAAATGGAGAGTAAAAAAAAAGAAAACTGAAATGGTTTTATTCTTATTAAAAACGTAACTCAGTTTACTTAAGTCAAATGAAATTTCATTTGATTTGTAATGATTAAGCACTAAATAATTAATTATAATTAATTGTTTAATTACATCATCAGAAAATTATTTCCCAATTTTTTATTATGTTGCACATAATTTTTAGATCTGATATGTATGATTGTTTTTACCAGTGAACCGCTGTAAAGCAAATTTGTTGAATTATGAGATCTTGAGACAATACGTACGTATTTCGCTTGTTTTGCGATTCGTTTGAAAATCAACGCGATGAACTGTTCGTTTTCAAAAGCGTACAATATTGTCATCAATATTCTCTATCAACGATTTCGTCCTGATTTCTCAACATAAATTAATGACATAAACAGTGTGTCCGAAGACTAATAAGATTTGAAAGCGTGCACCGTGCATTTGCTCCAGTCAATTGATGCTAACAGCCCTTTGAAACACTCTGTCACAAAGGAAATATTCAGAACACACTTGTTTGTATGGGATAAATTATAACAATACTTGCTCTACCGTGTTCTCGCTAGCTTTTTTCTAAACTTTCTCTCTATCACCTTCTCCCTCACACACACATACACAATCTCTCACTCGCTCTCATATATCTATATATATATATATATATATATAAAATTAACATATATTATATATATAAATATGCATGTTAATTATTTACTCTTTTAGTACAATAATTTGAATAAATTTCGTATGTTGTTTTTATGTATTTGTATGAATACCACAGTTCCATTACATTACCTACAGTTTCGTCGATAGAAGTAAAGTCTATTTACAACCCATTGGAACGATCACTGTGCAAAACATAATTGTTTATTTGTTCAATTTCCAAATTAAATAGAAAAAAAATGCATTTAAAATTTCTAAAACGCAATATTTATAAATATATAACTCTTATTTATCAATAAAAATATTTTTGAGGGTTATTTGTCTTATTAAGTAATGATAATGTGGTGTTGTTTATCTATTATAATCAACCTTTCGGGGGCAATAAAATGTCGTCAATACCAAAAATTTAACAAATATATGTTTTAACTAAAATACGATATAATATGCTGAATCAAACAACGAGTATCAAACAAGACAAAAAGTAAAGAGTCTAATATTTTTATATCCAAAGTAAACACTAATTTTTACAATTAATTAGGGTTTTTAGTTGAGGTAAAAAAGTCGATGGCACGAGCGGGATTCGAACCCACGATCTTCGGCTAGATACGCCGCTGCTCTACCACTTGAGCTATCGTGACCTCGATCCACTCGGATACCAACTTCCTATCTCAACCCCACCTTTTGAATTTTCCCTCCTTTTTGCCATTTTTCACGATTTCACGGTCACGATAGCTCAAGTGGTAGAGCAGCGGCGTATCTAACCGAAGATCGTGGGTTCGAATCCCGCTAGTACCATTGAAAATGAAGTATACTTCACTAAAGCTCTCCGTGGCCATTTCATTTGTCGCCGAGAATCAAATGGGTTACACGAGATTTGAAAAATGGCAAAAAGGAGGGAAAATTCATACGGTGGGGTTGAGATGGGAAGTTAGTGTCCGAGTGGATCATGGTCACGATAGCTCAAGTGGTAGAGCAGCGGCGTATCTAGCCAAAGATCGTGGGTTCGAATCCCGCTCGTGACACTGACTTATTTATCTGAACTAAAAAAACCCTTAATTAATTGAAATATATTAATTGGTCAAGCGGACCACGAAATTAGTGAATTTAACTAATTTTTACTTTAACTATTGATTAAATGTAGTTTTTAGGTTTCTTTACAATCATAAAATTAATTTTAACAAATTTAGTTCTTATTATGATTTCAAACAATTTATTACTTTAAAAATTTTAAATTTATAATTTGAACTTTCTTTGTGGTATATTTGGCATCATTTGGCTATTATGGTATTCTTAATTTCTATTTTATCTTTATCCGAATTTATTGCATTTTATTTTATTTTTGTTTTCTCTCTTCATTATTTTTGTTTTTTCTTTCATTTATTTGTTTTTATACACCTTCTCAGCCCTTTTGATTTAATTTTTAGCAGTTTTGTTCACTGACATAACTCATGCCTGTTACAAGCACTGATTTTAGGTGACAGGCGAAAATGTGCAGATTGATTAAATGACTTAATTTTATTTATGGTTTTATTATTTTATCCTTATTTTTTTTCTCTATTTATATTTTATCTTACTGCAGTACTGTGGGGAAAAAAAAGGTTTTGCCGTTAGTTATTCTTTGGGCGGGTACTGTGTATTCTGAAGCGCAAATTTTTTTTACTGAAATGTTATCTTCTGAAAAATTTAATGTAGTTTGCGAAATAAAGGTCAGATTATAATTTTAATGAGGCTAAGTTGAGAAATAACGATGTTATATTTAAAAAAATCTGATTTTAGACTAAAATCACAGTGTTAATATCTCAGGAATCAGTCAAGATAGAAACCTCGTTCTGGTGGCACTAAATTACATTTTATTTCGTGAATCCACCATGGCATTATTGACATTCAACCCTGTAATACCCTGTATATTGTAGTGGGAGGTCTAGAAGCGGATGTGGCATGGTTGGAGTGTTTGGGTGTTGGTCGAGTCCTTATCTTTTCAACTAGGGAAGACAGATAAAGGGGGAGAAGATTTGCTAATTAAACAATTTAGAAATCATCCAAGCAACGGATAATACAGCATATTATTTATCGAAGAGCCGAGATATGATAATGATCATGTAACATGCTATTGCACATGTTTCTAATATCAACAAAAAATTATTTTAATTTTAGTCACTTTTCTTCAATTGAAATTTTATTAATAATCAACGTGAGTAACAATCACAAAACTACCAACATAAACTGTTGAAACGATTCTGTTTACTACAAGTGAATATCCTTAATTTGATATGTTTATATGGTTGTTATTTAACTGTAAACAATTTTGAAGGGTATTTCACTTAATTTTTTCTTTCAAACTACAAAGCTGTTATATACGAGTGGGATTTAATTTTTTAAGATTTTTTCTGTAATATGCTTACAGAAATAATCTCCTCAGACTGGAATGTAAAAACGTTACATGATTCTGTAATTCAATACTATTTAAATAAATTATAAAACAATACAAAATTTGAGATTTGCCAATAAACTGTAAAATATATGTTGGGTTTGAAGTTATTTTTCACAGATTCAACAATCGATGGAAAATCGATTGTTTTTATCAGATCATGCAAGTCGAACCGGGCCAACACTTACCGATTGTGCTATCACCTTCTGACTGGATTTGGAGTATCTCTGTACTCTCACGTTTGTTTTTACAACTTTAAATAATAGAAAAATATTACACTCGAAGAATATATCACACGACGATGCAACAGTTACAAACCAACTGAGGAGGGACCGTGGCTAAGGTCATCCCCTCCACACTTCCAGTTGAGCGAATTCCAACCTGATAACTCAATGTGCAGCTAATCAATTTTCATTCTTTTTTTTTCTTGATTTGCTTATTTAATTTCAAAAATTGTGTAAGGTATTTCACTAATTTTTTATATCAAGTTATAAAACTGTTTTATACTGGTGGCATTTAATTTTTTTGTTTGAAATATACTTACAGAAAAAATTTGCACAGACTGGTATTTACAAACGTTACATGATTTTAACTATAATCCTTAACTAAAGAGAACATCTAAATAAATTATAAAACAATACAAAAATTTGAGTTTTGAATATAAACTGTAAAATGTATAGAATGTGTGCTGTTTAGTGATTTCTCACGATCTCCAAATAATGTGTAGAATATAAAAATTATGCTTATTACTTTCAAAAAAATATACGCTTGGTGACGAATCTTTTTAAAGAAAAATAATATGGAAAATTAACACTTTTTGAGGGTCATGTTGTGACACGTCGAAACTTTCAGTTTTCTGTGTTTCACACTGCAGATGTCGCAAAGCCTAATCTCGTTTGACTAACACCAAAACACGGCAACCGATCTAGTGCCAGTTCAACATATCAAAACAATATATTATAAAGTGACACCGATAAATAACAAAAGAAAAATTATTGGAATTTTTTTTGCAAACAAATTAAACAAATTTTATTTATTGCTTTCTGAGGATATCACTGATTATACCTGTTATTTCAAAATTATATGTGAAATTTTTACGGCCTGATGTTTTCGCCTGTGAAGGCGATTTTTTTTCAAGGTTTACCTTTCTCCTTTATTGAGGAATCGTCCGACGCTGTTCAGCCGTCCGCCCAGGTCTGAGGATTTGCTCGACGTGGCCGGTCTGCCTCGGAAAACAGATTCCTAGGTTGTCGCCCGATCTTAATCGATAGAACCCGAATGGCGAGAAGTGCGTCTCTTAGGGCGCTGACACACGGAGCGGTTTTGCTAGGTTGTGACACATGCAGCGGTATGATGTGCGTTTTGGGCGAAGCGGTTTTGTTTTCTCTCAGTTATTAAATGTATCCTACAGCAGTGCATATAAGCATTGAACGTCGCAAGGTGTTATTTTGCAGTTTGTATAACAAGTCCTGTTTAATAAATATATTGTTCTGTAACTGTATGTAACTTCGTATATTAGTTACAGCCTTACAGATCATTCCCCCCATGCAGTACCTTTTTTTTTTCTTTGATGAACATTCCATGGAACTGGCTACAAAGCGAAATCTCACAGTTATCTACACACTACATCTCGTTCGGTTTTCTTTTCTCTATGAAGTTTTGAAAAATAGTCTTTAAAAATAAATATTTAAGTTGATTTATATTTAGATGGGATCTCGGGTAGCCGAATAAGCTTGTCAGACTCTCGGCTTAGATTCTGCAGTTGTAGGTTCGATTCCCGTTTCGCTCCCCCCCCAACAAAAAAAAATCAATCCTCTCTGATCAATAAAAGTAAAGTAATTCCTGTTCAGAGTCAAGGAAGGTTTAAACTACTTTTCATTTTTCATACTATAATTTAAATGGCACAGAGCTGGGATTTGAACGAGGTCCCCTTCCTCCTCCAGATAATATTCAAAACAAAATCTTTATTAAACTAGTTACTACCATGTATCACCGACAGTCATACGCATACTTTGTACCCGTAAAGCTGTAGAAATCATTTAATTATAGGGTGATGTACTTTCAAGTAGTTGTAAAGTTAAAAGAGGCCCTGGAGGAAGCCTTATTTTAAAAACGGTTGTTACTGTACAGCACCGTACAAACTGTAAATACTTAGATTTCCCCCCCCCATTTTTAGTGGTGGTTAAGTATCAATATAGCTCTAGGTGTAAGGAAGTTGAGAATTAGCTAAAATTCTATTATTTATTAATCTTATTGAACTGGCATTGGCCCATTCCCCATGGAGTTCCCATGGATGAAGAGATACTTCTGGTGTCTCTGTAATCTTATTGAACTGGCATTGGCCCATTCCCCATGGAGTTCCCATGGATGAAGAGATACTTCTGGTGTCTCTGTTGTACTATCGTTGGAAGAAGAGAAGGGAGAAGAAAAACAGGAGAATGTGGATTCATCCAATTGTCGAGAAGAGAAGCGAAAGAGGGCATTTTAAGAATTTGTTTTCAGAGATGAGGAAACACCCTGAAGAATGTTTTAACTTTACCAGGATGTAAATGGGCAGTTTTGACGAGTTACATAGTAAAATAAAATGCCGCATTACAATTTTTTTTCTCCACGTCTATTTTTTGCATCTTAAAAGTAAATTAGAAGACTGACAAACAAACAACCCTTCAAGAAAGTGGGGTACGAACAGCTCAAATAAACGCCACGTGTGTCAGGACTAGACAAGGAGTCGTTCTAGGATTGGGACATTGCCGGAAGCATGGTAAAAGGTCTGAAGGATACGATCTGGTTAGAGGGTTTGTGAGCTTTAGGGATGAGAATAATGGCGGAATATTTCCATAGGAGAGGGAAGTGAGTGATTCGAAAGATTGCGTTATATATTGCGGTTAAAAATTGAACGGCCTTGTGTGGGAGGGTTCGCAGGATACTGGAAGTGATTAGATAATGGCGAGCGGATTTTCTGCATGGAGAATTGTGGATTCGGTATTTTACTTCAGAAGGATGAAAAGGTTTGAGGAGTAAAGGTGGATTCTAAATGGGATGCAAATAAATTTGATTTGGTCTTGTCACTTCTGCCGTAGAATCTTCTTAACCCTCTCCAATCCGGCTTCCGAAATAGTTTCTTCACATAGTCTGCCTGACACAATTACCAGTGACCTTCAGACCGTAGAGGACCAAGAAAAAGCTACTATCCTTATCCTTATTGATTTCCCCAAAGCCTTTGATTCCTGTCGTTCACTCATCAATCCTCTAAAAATTCGAATCCTTTTCTTTTCTAACAGCACCACGCTTCGGTTCCACTCCTATCTTACAAATCGATTTCAAGCCGACGCTTTCCCTATGGGCCCCACCTCTTCCTTCCTTCCATTAAAATCTGGTGTTCCCCAAGACTATAGCACATCTCCCAGCCTTTTCAGCTTCTAGATTAATTACCTCTCCGATTCAATCCAGCATTGCAATTATTACTTCTATGCTGACGATGCCCAAATTTACCTGTCCTTCTATGCCTCTGAACTACAATGGCCATCCCTAAGATCCAAAAAGGCCTAAATTCCATCAACAACTAGGAAAACAAAAATTCCCTTAATCTCTTAATCGTACTATGTCCACTGCTATCATCGAGGGATCCAGTCATCTCCTCAAATCCCTTTCCTATATATTCTTTTCTTACCAGTCCATTTCCTTCCACCCCTACGTTAAAATCCTTGGAGTTATCCTTGACCAAATTCACTCCTAGTACCTTAAACTTTCCCGTCGTTTTATTGCCTCCCTTATCCAACTCCGCCGGTCCCCCTTCTTCGCCTACAGCTGTGATGCACATGTTGGGCTTTCGGGGGAGCAAACAAGCGCCTAAAAAGATTAATGAATTTATATTCGGCATCTCCCATGGGTCCAGGGTGTCATAGCTATAATCGGATGTATCCTGGCTCTATCTTCTTCAAAAAGTCTATATTGCCTTGGTTCCTTTCTTTACCAGAAACACCCATCGTCCTCATTACATTATCTAGTCCATCCGATTCAACTACCACTCCTGCAAACCCGCTCTTTTCCCTGTGACCTAATCCTTCCCCGGCATAAAACATGCACGTTTAAACGGTTTTTCCTTTTTCGAGTACCAAAATTCTGGCACTTGCCCCCTCTAACTAACTATCAGCAAAGCCGCTTTTAACCTTTTTTAAACATCTCCTATATATGCACTTATTTTCCCTTCCATGTTAATTTTCAGAGTAACTCATTTTAATTTCAATTTCTTTGAGTTTAGATTTTTACAATTCTATTGTTTTAGTTTGATCACCATGACAAGGTTTATTTTTGTGATAATAAGTTAACAACTCTTATTTGAACCTATGTATTATTAAGGGGACACTCCTGTCCCAGAATAAATTGTTTTTTAATTATTCTTCTTGAATTTTTTTATAATTAGGCATGTAATTACTTAGTTAATTATGTGATTGTAATATGTAATTTTTGAAATATTAAGAACAATATTTGATATTGAAATATTAAATAAATATTGTTTAAGCATAATGGTTTTATGTGATTGATATCAGCCTTAATTTTAAATTTATATACAATATTTCCAAGATAAAGTGAATTTGAAACACTTAGTTTCCTCGTCGTTTTCATAGAATATAAATACTTCATCAGAACAGAAAAACTATTTCTAATGAGTTACACAGTTAACAAATATAAACTACCTAATTCCTAACAATATTAAAAATTATCCCTTCTATCATAATGAAATTTTGTGTGTGTGTGTTATACTACTATCACAACTACACAACGCTCTAGATAAGATAAGAAAGTTATATATTCACTTAACTGTTTTCATTTTCAACTGTGCACGGTTACCGTCCGAATCAATTGAGTCATAGGAGAAAAATGGAGTTAGAGTGGATCGAAACGATTGTGAAGAAGCACGAAAAGGAGAAAAGTGTTGCTCGTGTCATGACGATGAAATGCGAACCGGCCGTGAAAAAAGGCGACAACTATTGGGGCGATATAGTCCGGACCAAGCTCGACGTTGTACTGGGATCGGGTAAAAAATCCACGAAGTCCGTCATCTGTAAGAACATGCCAAATATTGCAATCCAACGAAAATTAATCGAGGAATATTCCTTCTTCAAGTCAGAAATAAACGTAAGTAGAAGATTATAATCCATTACTGCTTTGAGCTTGCTGCTAAATATTGTAGAAGGATGTGAAAAAATTCACAAAAGAATAAAAAGTTCATTGAACTTATGTGTGTAGATGTATACTCAAACGTTACGTCAAATGGAGTCAATTATGGAAGATTACAATGACACAGAAGAGATGCTGTGGTGCGAGATGATTGGGCACCGGTGCTACGACTTACTAATTCTTGAGGATCTTAGAGTAAATATATAAAGTTTTGATTTAGAAGGCGTCTCTTTAGAAAGGAATTTTTGTAGGTGCAAAACTACTCCGTGATCGACAGGATAAAGATGATGGACATGGATCACACCCTCATGGCAATAAGGTCCGTGGGAAAGTTTCACGCGGTGTCCAAAGCACTTCTGATGAAAGGGCTCGCGTCTCAAGATGTGATGCGTCCGCACATTTTATACAGAGATGAACGTTCTCTCAAACTAGTCTTCGTCGGTCCTTCAGAAACAATGTGCGAAGTAGTAGCAACCGATTGGGGAGCAGAATGGTAAGGTTTGCTCCTTATACAGTTATTTTACGGTAATCACTATGCGATACAAATGAGATTTCAAAAACTAAACCAGACTTGGTATATCACTGTAATCACAAAATGATATAATTCTAATTAATTCCGTTTAAATTCCGTTCACATTTGGAGTAGTTTAATTATTTAGTTATTCCTCTTTTTACCCATTACCTTTCGTCAATTGTGTCTCTGTTAAAGAATTTCCTGGAAGATTTGTGTTTCTTTTATGAAGTAAAATTTTTATCGCGAATGTGGTATCAAGATCTTCATGGCTCAAGAGCGGTTCTGCCAGATACTGCCTGTTTATAGCTGTTGTTATATTTTGTCGTTTCTCTACACTTTTTCATAATCGACATTGGTCATTTGTTAACGGTCCCATTATTTTAGTGGGTTAGATATACCCAGAATTTCATAGATAAACTCGTTACATATTAACATATTGTTTTAAGGCACCTATGGGTTGACGTTACAATGGACAAAGAAAAAATACTTTCTTTAAGCTTGTTATTTTCATGAATTGGTAGGAATGTTATACTCGTTTTACTCGTCATTCTTACAATAGTATCTAGAAGATCGAATTTTCAGTTGCATTAAAATAAATCCAGTTTGAAAAACTAGACATAATCTTTTACGTTTGGTCCAAATATTCTCATGTTACTCTTTCATCAGGTCTTCTATGGCTAAACGTTTGTCTACAGCTCTTAGCAAAATCGTCGAAACTATGCTGCGGTTTAATGAAATTGATGAATCGAGATTGAACGTCATCAATCACGGCGATTGCTGGATGAACAACATTTTATTCAAATACGACAGTAGGAAAAACCCAGTCGGCCTGAAGTGAGTATCGTTTGCTTGAAAAAACAGCACTTCTAAAACACTGATTACAGAAAACATGTAACATAACATATAAAAACAATATATAAACTTAATAAAATTATCTAATTTGAAGATTAATCTCTATGCGCAGGTTTGTTGATTTCCAAATGCCCCACTACAACACGTTCGCATTCGACTTGACGTACTTAGTGTACACCTCGGTACGGCCAGAAATCCGACGAAATTATTATATGAAAATACTAGAAGCTTACCACGAGTCTCTGGTATCAAACCTTATCAGATACGAAATTCCTGCGGATCAGATACCAAGCTTGAACGATGTCGTAACGGAGATGGAAAGACTGAAACCGTATGCGCTTTATCTATTATGCGCCCACTTGCCGATAATGATTGCGCCACCACAATCGAACGCCTTTGATTTTAGTAAAGTCAGTAATGGCCACACAGATGCGAAAAAAGGCTACAATCTTTCGATATTCAACAACCCGTTTTATGTAGAAATGATGAAAACTGACCTTATGCATTTTACCAACGTAGGTATACTGTAAGTTTGAAAATAAAGAATATTTGAATTGAACGTTTATTTAGTACTCTTGTCACTTTCCTAAGTTAAAAAATTATAAATATCAAAATGTTCGGTTTTCAACCGCAACCAAATTAATCTTTTTGAGAAGAAGGTATAGATGCATATGTAGATGTGTTCTCTGCCTAAAGCACATCGGTGAGTCCAATTTCATCAAGATCTTGATTAATAGGCCCGGTTTCAGTGGTTAGCTCTTCTGTGGCCACAGTGTACATCCCAAAACACTTCCTCCTGCGGGCAAGTGTAGCACTTAGTAGATGTGTTGGTGTCTCCTCTGCCTCTTTGCAGAATCTGCATGTCCATCTTTGTTTATTCCAATCTTCTTTAAGTGTCCATTTAGCTTGTAATGTCCTGTTAAGAATCCTATTAGGATTCGCCGTTTGTTCCTGCTTCTTTTGGCACATTTCTGAGATACTCATTAATAGTGTAGGTTCCTGTTCCACAAAAGGGTTCTGGTCCTGTCAGCGGTGTACGAGCTCCTTGCCTTGCAAGGGTGTCCGCTTTCTCGAAGCCCTTCTACTTCTATGTGTCCTGGGACCCAGCAGAAGCTGACCTTGTTCTGCGTAAGTAATATGTTTAATTTGGTTTTGCAGTTCAGCACCATCCTTGAACTAATGATATTTGAGCTTAGTGCTTTGATGGCTGCTTGGCTATCTGACATCTTTCGATTGCGTGAATCTCAGCTTGGAAGATACTGATGTAGATCCATCTGTGTACCAGATGGTGCCATTCTTAAAAGAGGTGTTTCCCTCTCGTTCCCATTCTTTTTGGTACCTACATTTATTTGGAAGTTAAAGATAACCAAGCTTGTTCGTTTTCCACATGTCTTCCCTATTCATCCCTCAACCAACTCCCAAAATCAAGAATCCGTACAACATAACCTGATTGTTCGGTAACCATTACCCCCATACAAAACTGTGTTTTGCTCATAACATTTTCGTCGAGTAGCATCAAAACAGGACATTCATATTTTTTGTAGTTTATTTCAAACATATATATGAAATTTTGTCGTTATATTAATTATAATGTTTTTATTGTTAACCAAATTAAACGAGATCAAAAAATCATGAGTTTTTATAAAAATTATTTAATTATGATGGTTAGGCAGAAAATGTATCAAAACACCTGAATAACATTATTAAAAATAATTAAATTTAACAATTTATTACATGGTTTTGCTCAAAACAATGCACAAAAAACAATTAAAAACAAAAGATTCCTTGCGATTGTGATACTGATTTGTGATACACGCTGTGTTCTGAACGTGGCGTGCGCTTGACGTCACATAGATGTGCACACTTTACCAATACAAGACAAGGCGTCTGGTATCGTCGCATAGCGTTGCATAAGTGTGTTCCCCGCTTTATACTTCAGAATGTGATCCATTGTGTAATGTCTGATTTTCAATTATATCCGAGATATTCCACATTTCAAGTCACTTCAGCGTTTCACAACTTCTCAAAATGCCCCCCGAATCTCATAAAACGTTAATCGTATATATTTGATTACACCAATGGAACGAACGCTTTTGATCTAATATAAAACCTAAAATACAAAATTATTTATAAGGTAAACTTTTACGAGTTGTCAAAGGTCATATCTAAAGTATCAGTAAGATTTTCATCGTTCTGTAAATACTGACAAATAGGTTAATCGATTGTAGAAATGATGATCTATCTTATTAATGAGCTGTAATTAAGTACACATTTACCTAATTTATCAAACGTCAATTATCTGAAAAATAGAAAATTATCGTTTAAATGGTAAACATTTTATTTTTCTGTTACAAACGGTGAAATAATTAGTCATGAAAATTTTTAAAAATATTAATAGACCACACATCTCTACAATGTTAATACTTGTAATGACAATACCGATGTGTATGGCGTGTTTAACAAAATATTGAACAAAGGGGGAGGATACAACAGATTATGAGCTTCCCGTCCCCTATGTTAATTCTTTGATAGGCGAAACTCAAGCAATGTTTACAGTTTTTAAATCTTTACAGCTTGGAAATGGTTACCCAGGTGAGGTAGACAGTGAGGTAAGAACGGGGGACATCGTAAATTGGGAATACGTCAACCCTGTGCTAGACCGCCGTCTTTGCCGGCCCAGCCGCGGCGTGAGAACTCCCCCGACTTTTGAGATTCCTATCCAACCCTACTCCGGGAGAGACCCGGTATAAAAGGGATGACTGGAAAATCAAAAGTCAGTCAAGATGCAAGACTCACCCAAGTCAAAGACCCAGCCGAGACTCACCCCAGGCAGTCAAGACCAAGGACCGGGAGAGAAGCAGCCACACTCCGTCTGGGATTCAACAAGGGGACTCAGCCAGAGCCAGCGAGGACCAGCCGTTGCGACCAATCGAGCCAAGTCAGAGGTCGGGAAAAGAGATACTGTGAACACTGATCGTGGAGAGCATCGTTTGGGGTAAGTCCCTTTGTTGATAGACTCATCCCAGATTTAGAGTTGTGTCTGACTTGTAGATTAATTAATTAGCAATTAGAGTACTGTTAAGAGAAGGACTTGTGTACAATAAATGTTACTGAATACGCTCTCTGGTTTATTGAATTCTGGAACCTTACCTTCCCCTACACAAGAATAAGTAGCGACGCGCTTACGCCGACTCATCTCTTGTCGCTTAGAGAAAAACAAGCGAATATCGAGAAATAATTCGGCCGCCGCGCCATCGTCCGCTTACAATGGTGAAACTTAAAATTCATCATACAATGAACAATAGGTTTTCGGATCAAAGTTTTCAGAACAGAGGCTTGCGAAAAGTTCGTTAAGCCGGGAACACCAAAGTACCAGGAACAATAAAGTCCATTTAACATAAGGTTGTATTACCCCCGTGGACATCTGCTATGCAACACTACCACACGCTACGCTCTGCGAACCCCACTGTCCACATTTTCGTCAAGTAGCATCGAGTTCAGTCGTAAACAAAAGAACCGGACACTCATTTTTATTCAAACTACATGTATTGTTGTGAGTAAATTAATTACAACATACTTATTTTAATATAAACCAAATTAACATAGATCAAAAATTCATTAGATTCTATTAAAAAAATAATAATTTTAATGGTTTGGTAAAAAATTGGTCAAACCACATTTTTTGATATAATGAATTTAAAATTAAACTAACGATTTATTACATGGTTTTGCTCAAAATAATGTATTAAGAAAAAAAGAGGAGTTGCGATTGTGATACTGATTTGTGTTACTCGCTGTGTGACTATGTGGTGTGCGCTTGACGTCGCATAGCTGTGCACACCCTACCAAAATGTGGCAAGGCGTCGGGTAGCATCGGGTATCGTCGCATGACGTTGCATCGGGTAAGTTTGTTCCGGGCTTTAAAAGACCGTCGCAGGAACTATGAAAATAATAAACGTACGATGTGAAAAGGACTGGATGGTAGTAACTTCTGACTGGACCCTGCAGACTCCGAATAATTTATTGATAAAAGTAAAAGTTTGTTTTGAATATAGTATTTTGCAATACATAATGCATACTCACATAAAATTATTTAAACATTGTTTGACAAATTTGTGACTATATTTGTGAATATTTTTTTCATCGTGTATTTTGGCTTAACAACTTGTTTATTGTCAGTTTGTATATTATTACTGTTATTAAATCATATAGTCGTTAATTTTTTGACAAATTATTAGAAAATATCGTAAAACAAAGTGGTCCAAATATAAAGTTTTCGGTTGAAAGGATAAAAGAAGTCTTGTGTAAAAAAAAAGGAGAAGAAAAGAATATTATAACTCCTCCACGTGGATAGATTATATCTTTGTGATATAAATCGTTGAAGTTGATGTTTGATTGCTCAGCCGGCAAAGAAGCTCAATTAGGTTCGTTGGCCAGATAACACGCTTCTTGCAATTTTACTCTCGTAGAGAGCCACTTTGCGTTAACAATTCGCCAAAGAGAAGAGTACACGCTATCATATCGAATCGGAATTAAATCCCCTGTCGTAATTTGAACAAGGGAGTCCCCGTTTGGACTTTAAGGAGGTACTCACTTGGCAAACGAACTATGCCCCCAAATTACGAAGAATAGTAATCTCGGTTTATCAGGGCATATTCAACATCGGTTTATCTGTAGTCCTAGACAGAACAATCATAATTTTTTTAATTTAATTATTTATTTACGGATCGAAATCCAATATAAAAAGACATTTTACAATTACAAAACAATAAAAATAAAACACACACACACACACACTAAACAATAAGGTCATATATACATGGTAATATAATGGTAAAGATAAATGATAATTTTTAATAAATAATTCTTTTTAAATAATAAATCGATTGCTCTAGTAAATGAATAAAAAATTAAATTAAATTCCGACCGGATTTTACTAAAATAATGTAACGTGTATTCAAAGAGTTACAATAACCCCCAGCTCGTGCTCCCTTCAGTGCAGTTTGGAGGAGGCAGTATGGCGGTATAATGATCTGGGCTGGGATTTAGACTGGAGGACGAACTGGACTCCATATTGTTGAAGACAACCTCACCACATTCTGTTTTGTCCAAGAAATTATCGAGGAATATATCCCTCAAACCAGGGATCGCATTGCCAAGTATTTTCGATTTCGGGTGACAATGCCAGACCTCATAAAGGCAGAGATGTTCATCGATGTTTAGAAAACCTGGAAATTTTGTCCCAGACCTCAATCCTATTGACCACACTAGGGATGCGTTGCAGAGAAGTCTTTTCGATCACAATCCGCAGCCAGTTGACATGGAACAACTGAGTGCAGCGTTGCAACATCTATGGAGTGAAATTTCTTATTAAATTAGTGATAACCTTATTAACAGTATGCTTAACTGTACGTATGCACAGAGGTTTTAGCTAACATAGGAAGGACATTATACGCGGTATTAATTGTTTAAAAAAATTATTGTTTCCAAAAACACAAAATTATTGAATTAGAACCTTTTATTTTGTTATTTTTCAAAATCCCATAAGTAAATTTTCTTTAAGGAAAAATACAATAATTTCTAATGTATTTAAATGCAATTTACAATAAAAATAAAATAAAACTGCCAAGGTAAGTAAATATCAACCCTCGGGGTGCCGGTGTTTTTGAAAAAAGCCCATTTGTTAGTATGTCGGGTTCGAATGCAGGGCCGCTGGATTCGAACCTGGGACCTTTACCTTACAGTGCTGAGCGCCGAATCAACGCCAAGATGTTGCGGCCACCGATCTCCCCCTTCTAAATTTATTGTCTCTCAAATTTGCGAAATGTGACTTCTTATCGAATATAATGGGGGGGTCAGTTTGACAAATGACTTAGTGCCAGTTCGAAAAGTTTAAATTTAGAGCGGATTCCAGGTTAGGCGGACTTCGGAGGAAGATTGTTTGTATGAAAATTTTTTAAAAAATTTGTTTTGTACAGAGTGAAGAAATTTTTGATAACTTAGATGGTATGAGTTCCAAACAGGTGAACCGCATTCTAGTAGGGGTTGTACAAAAACTTTATCAAGATGGACAAACCATAACAATGGAGGATTTTTAAATTCATAGGTGTTCCGGGTGATGAAACGTAGCATCTTCATAGATCTATTTTTTCTTGAAGAAATATGTTCTTTTTTACGAGGGTTCGCAACAACAGATATTAACCCTCGGGGTGCCGGTGCTTTTGAAAAAATGCCCATTTGTAAGTATTTCTGGTTCGAATGCAGGGCCGCTGGATTCGAACCCGGGATATTTATTTACCTTACAGTGATGAGCGCCGTGTCAACGCCTAAACCGATGCGGCCACCGATGCCCCTAAATATGTTCTTTAAACTTGAGCTTTTGATCAAAAAGTACCCAAAGATCCTTTACGACCTCAACTCGCGTTAAAAGAGAATCATGGAGAGTGTAGCAATAAAGAAAAGGGCAAGCGACCACAACTAAAAACCTTAATTAATTGAAATGTATTAATTGCTCAAGTGAATTTGATAAAGAAAAGGTTGTTTCTTATGTGAGAATGTAATTGTTTAGCATTTGGAGACATTTAGAGCAAGTTTGTTATTAGAGCACCAGACGAGCACATTATTGTTAGAATTTTGTAATTGAAAGCAATCAGAAGGAGAAGTAATTTTCGAATAGATTTTCAGATCGTCAGCAAATAATAAAAATTGAGCAGAACGGAGAGCAAGATAGACATCATTAACAAATAGGGGAAACAAAACCGTTTCGAGATGATACCCTTGCGGAACACCCTTTTCCTTGATCTAACTGAATGGTTAATAAAGTTAGTTTTCTCGTCCATTATCTAAAATAATTAGTAATTTAGTAGTTTTCAATCAATTTGGTTTGTCCGACTCGTTCAACTTCTCCTCATGCTCAATAGTTGACCAAGATCATACTTTCAGACACAACGATGGAATGATGAGACACCGAAACCTCAGAGTGATCCAAAACGTCCAACCATCAAATTGACCTTAGGTTTATTTAAATTCCAGCAATTTATTCGCTTGAAGGAAACTACTTTCTACTGTAAATTACTGGGTTTATTTGCATTCTTAAAATATGGAGTCACGTATTGGTTTTATGTTAAAAGCATGAAAGGTGACATTTTTAGCCACTTTTTGGAAAGAATGGAGTACACCTCTGTTATGATTTTAAAAAAATCGGTAAAACAACTTTTAATTCTACTTTTAAAAAATCGAATAAATCTTTGGATAGGGAAATTATTTCGCATAGAAAATCACGGTTATAAAAAACCTGGTAAACCACAGAGAAGGTTCACATTTTAAATTCAACACAATATCACACACTGGATGTCAAGTGCACGAAACAATAGTTCATCTACACTCTAAACACATTATGTAAGAAACTCTGATCTAGAAGAAGTAATCGTTCTGCAGGAATCGCAACAACGTAGCTCCAATGGCTGAAAAACACTCGTCTTATTCTATAAGGAATAGGCGCGATAGTAAGTTTACATATCTTAAATAAGGTCCTATATCCTATTTACCGAATCATCTTTAAATGCTAAAAAACATTCTTTAAGGGTATACCCTTCGAAACGTATATGACTTTTATAAAGTTTCCAGTGAAAACAAACGAAATGTTTCAAAAACTGAATTGTTGTAATGTACATAAACATACAATATTAATTATCGATTAGTCGTTAAAACAAAATTGTTACATTTAGGAAATTTAATCTGCATTTTACACTGATTCTAGTATTATTTATGATTATCAAATAAAAGTAATAAAAGTAAACATTTTGAAAATACTAGTTTGTAGTTAGAAAATAATAGTCAGCTGTTTTATTACACTCCTGCGCATAAAACGTTTTATGAAGATAAAAATATTGGAAAAAGTGGTATTTATATCATCTTTATTAATTTTGCTTTTTAATCGTCATGAGTGAATGTTTGTTATTAACGAACTGGACAATGATTACAGATGAATTCTGTCCAAATCACACGTGTAATATTAGTTTAGACGGTTCTGATGAATTTTTATTTTCTCTATTCTGGATGTTTTGGAATTGGATTCATCTTTATAGTTAGCGAGAAGCTAACAACAGCTGGGATTGGTAGACCGTGGTCGGAAACGACTGTATTCTTTCGGAATTTTGAATCCTTGATAATTTCTTCAATCAGATACGTTTTGGCATCTTCAGTGGTAGTTTTATGTCAAAGGTGCAATAAGGATAAACCTAAACCCACCACATCGCAAGGAAACGAAACGCAGAAGTACAAAACCAGCGTACATAAAATGTAACAAACCACTACTCTTCCTTTCGTATCCCTATCGTCAGGTTACTACCAATTATATGTAATTCACTAGAAAAACGGCTCGTAACCAAATACTTCGCAACCTCAATTCTTCTAATAAACCCCCCCCCCCATGTATCAATTTAGATAAAACGTCACTGTCGAACAATGCCATCGTAACACCGTACCCTTAGTTAAAAAGAATGTATGCTGGAAGTCTTCCTTGATGTCGCACAGGCTTTCGATCGACCCTTCCGCATGGGTTTGCACTGAAATCCTAAATTTTTCACACTTGCTCATACTCGTGTTTTTAAGGCTAGTACATTAGACTAAGGGTCGGAACTTCTCACGCTCCTTTATACGGGGCGTATCTCAAGGTTGCATCATCGGTCCAATACAGAACTCACTATATACAGGGTGTCCCAGTTCCTTCTGACGAAACTCAGGGAATTGATTCTACTCTCCGTTTGGAGCAAAAAATGTCCAGGAGAAAATTTTCGTAAAGTTCTCTATTTTGAAGATATTCGTCAATTTAGGTTTTTTCAACTTTTCTCTACCTTACCACATAAAAACGCTTACAACTTCCAAAATGTTGAAAATACAACAAATCCAATTACACCATTTGAAAGAATGCTAAATTTTCTGTAATATACTTCTATTTGCAATAATCTGAATGATTTAAAATGTTAGCCAATATTAGTTGGAACATGTCAAAATTACAAAATTTAAAATTTTGGTCAAGATTACACGTTCTACTGAGGTTACAAAAAATACCTACAACTTGTCAAATTTCACAAAAACTTTTTTATCTAATATACTTTACGTTGTTATATCCAGGTTTTTAAATAACGTTCTAGTAGAGTTGAAAAATAACTATTGAATGTTCGAAAACGTGAGCTAATGTAAATTTGAAGGGGGGCTAGAAATAAATCAATTAGAACTCGCTTTGTAAAATAATATTAATATTAATTAATAATATTATCTTTCAGTAACACACCCTACCTAATACGCTCTGTGATGATTATTGTTTAAACTTCGATCCCATACAGCATTTTTCATTCAACCGGTCAAACAAGTGTAATTATTTTTTTACAAAGCGAGTTCTAATTAATACACCCTGTATATATTGCTAATATGCCTGCTCATTCTGACACCACTATATTAATATAACTGCCTTTTTATACTCCAAATCCGAACTCGTTTCAGCTCACGGACCCTCCCCCGACACGCGTCTATTCCCTTGAACAATGTACCAATAAACAGCGAATTAAACGAAAAGCATAACCTTCACCAATTCTTTTTTTAAAAAGATAGTTCCTACTATCAGTAAGCTTATTCACACTTTGCTTACTGTGAGTAGAACTTTTTTAAAAAAGGATTGAACATCGCACTCACTCCATCATTCATAATTTCTAACCTTCACCATCCTACCAAAAAGTTATTCTTTACTTTTGGCTGTACCTAGACAAACGACTGATCTTGAATTCTAATACACCACTTAAAAGGACGGAAATTAACGGACGATACCAATTACTTAAAATACTCCTGGAAGCCCTGGACAACAAAGTATGCAAATTATACTTAACACTCTAACCTATATTGACTTAAAACATAGAACTATGGTTTCAACCACACTTTCTAATCTCCGCAAAATCTCTCTTTGGCAATAACAAATCATTATGTATATTGTCAACGTCCTGTTATATGTTTAGAACTGCACCATCCTTATCGACCTAATTATTTCCTTTATAAAATAAATTTCTAGATCAAATCACAAAACGTTCTACGTCGAATTCCACCCTTATATTCACGCACAACTACTTTCCTACCGATTTCATTCCAAGAACCTTGACGATCTTCGTAGGATACAGTCGACTGATGATCTCAAATAAAATGAGGCCCCATATGTCAAATATTTAAAGTTGCAAATACATTTTGTAGGATGTCGGGGTTTATTTTTAGTGGAATAATCTTCTGAAAAACCACTTGACATGAATATCTGACGTTTGTCTTTTGCTTAGGGTGCATCTTTTACCCTAGGAAGAAAGAACGTTTCAAACACACTATGTAAACCCGTCGTCTAATGTGACAACTAACCGGTTAACGATTCTATCTGTTTTGGTCATTACATTTCCCTCAACCATAAGCCCAGGGCTTTTGGTCTCAAAATAAATCCTGACGCAGATTTTACTTGGTTATTTCTTGAGTTACGAATGGAGTAGATGTGTTCATTTACAGCTTTGATATTATTGAATCCTTATGTTCAGCTGAATGATTTGTACCAATTATCTTTGAAGATTAATCGGTAGGAGAAGATTGACTTTAATGTATTTCATAACGTTAATCTTCGAATTACAAATATACCATGAGCACTTTCTGTGGATAAAATTTATGTGAGCGCTAAAACAAATTCAATTACCTTCAATCTTCTTTTCAACAATAGATTTTAATTTTCGGATGATTCAATCTTATGGAGGAATTGTTGTTCGCAGATCGGGAAAAGTCCCATGGCAGCTCACATGGGCACGTACACGAACCGCTGCCGCCCAAATTTCCCAACGAAAAGTCGAAAAGGATTGATAAAGAATGGATCGAATCGGTTATGAAACGGTTTGAAACCGATAGAACGATATATCGCATAATCGACTATGAAACGGAACCTGCCATACCAGCTGGCGACAACTTCACGAGCACTCTTGAAAGGTGGAAGGTCAAGTTGGTCCTCGGGTCTGGAAAAGTTGAAACTCGAAGATACATTGTCAAAGTACTCCCTAAGTCCGCTGTCAGCAAGCATTTCATTTCTTCGTATTTCCTTCTCCAGAAAGAAATCAAGGTAGGTAAAGGTCGTCGCATATTTGTACCTAATATACATTTTTTTTTTTTTTAGGTTTACGAATACGTATTCAGAAACATAGAGGACGTCATGTCGGCCCACAACGACAAAAAAGACAAGTTATGGTGCGACCTCATAGGCTACAGACCTTATGACACAATCATCCTACAAGATTTGACGGTAAGTTCGTGTTTATAAAAAGGTTTCACCGATCCGCAGATTTTCGCTTTTTATCTTTATCCTAACCGCTGAGACTGGAAATAGTCATGCCCTCATTAAACTGTAAAGTTTTTATTACTAAAAGTAATCAATTGTTCTATTTTGACCATTATGGATTGACTATTGGTGTATTACCACTATGAATGTTTTTATACATTTGCACTTAGTTCGTTAGTTGTAATGTTCTTTATAAACAAGAATTTTTTTTTTTGCAGGAGTTAAATTATAGGGTGCCTAAGAGAACTGACTTTCTCGATTTCGAACATTGCATCCTGGCGACAAGAGGCCTGGCCAGGTTTCACGCCCTGTCGAAAGTCGTCGTTTACGACAATATCGTCGATAAAAGCTCGTTTGGCCCGTATCAGCTCGTCTTCGACCCCAAATCAGTCGAGGCGTTCATGGAAGGTGGTGTCATCGGGCTGTATAAAGGCATGAGAAACACATGGGGCCCCGAATGGTAAAAAAGTTTATTTTTTTCAATCAATATAATACTACAATCCCGTTGTTATTTATTTACCAGGGCTCATATAGCGGAAAGGGTGAGAAAAGTGTCGGAAAGTGTGGAAAAGCGGCTGATAGCGTTGGCAACTATAGATAACGAGTCGAACAACGTTATCAATCATGGCGACCTGTGGCTTTGTAATATTCTCTTCAAGTATGACGACTACAAAAACATGCCAATCAGCGTGAAGTATGTTCTTTTAATTTTTTTTTACTAATACTTCTTTTACTACTAATTCCTTTAATACTGCTTTCTTTTACTACTACTTTCTTACTACTAGAAGAATGTAGTAGTAGGAATTAGTTGCCAGGAATAACATGGAATTCGTTTCTTTCTACTTTTTCTCCAATCTATTTAATCGATAGTAGGGGTATTTACGATGTTTGTAAGATGCTAACTCGTGTTAACTCGAATAGAAGTTCTTCGAAGAGAAATGTCCAGTAAGACCGTGAACGCCCCCTTCTTTTCTTAACCTGTTAAACGTTAATTTATCCGCAATGCTGAGTGTGGCGATTGGTAGAACCAAAGGTAAAGCTATAACAGTCTTTGAAATCTTGTTGTTGTTTGTTTTCGTTTTCTTTGGTCTTAAATTGTAAGAAGTGCTAGAAATTAATAAAAAAGGAAAATTAATCAGATCTTTCATGAAAATGCTATCTACGCGCTCGAAAATTTTTAACAAATAACACTCTTCAATTAGTGTCGACATTCCTGACTTGTATCCTAACGTCTAACAGTCTACAACTTTATAGTGTTGATTGCCAACGCCCTAACAGATAGCATTGTTACTACTTTTTCGACCTAATTGGCCTTGGCCTGTTAGATCGAGCAATGTTAACTAGCCGCTTACAAGACTATGTCTTCATTTTTCTCGATGTAACAGGACCTAACAGAGTTAACACAAAGGTCGCGAATACCCCTAGTGTTAGAAATTCGTCGAGTAATACGGAAGGGTCCACTTTGTTTTACAGAGTTTTAGACAATGCTACATTTCTCCAATTTTAGTTCAAAACCCTCTTCTTGGGTAGCATAATACTGATATTAGGGGTATTCACGATTTTTGTGTTAACCGTGTTAACTCTGTTAGGTCCTGTTAGGTCGAGAAAAATGATGACGTAGACTTGTAATAATCGGCTAGTTCACCTTGTTCGATCTAACAAGCCGGGGCAATGTTAGATGTTAGGTGTAAAATGTACTCACATTGCTAGCCGTTAGGGCGTAGGTAACCAACATGGCAGTCATGAATTAAACAGCTGTTTTTTGTTTACACCTATTTATATTCTTAAATACGCATTAATTAATTCAGACCAATACTTTTTTTGTTAATTTCAGACCTCTCCTTCATTCATAATAGATACATCCCGTTCCTATAAAGTTGTAGACTGTTAGACATTTGGATACAAGTTAGGGATATCGGCACTATTTGAAGTGTGTCATTTGTTAGTACTTTTCGAGTGCATAGATAGCATTTTGAATGAAAGAGTTGATTAATTTTCCTTTTTCACTAACTTCTGGCATCTTACAGTTTAACACAAACGAAAACCAAAACAAACAACAACAAGCCTGAAAAGAGTGTTATACCTTTATTTTTGGCTCTACCAATCGCCACTCTCAGCATTGCAGAAACATTAACGTTTAACATGCAAAGGTATGAAGTAAGGCGTTCACGGTCTTACTGGACATTTCTCTATTCGAGTTAACACGAGTTAACATCTTACAAATATCGTGAATACCCTATTATTGTTGAATCTCGATGTCTTCAAAAATTTTGTCTTGGGCTGCTATCGAGTCGTCGTCTCTATTTAAGATTCTCGGCTTGCTGTTCCGCTCCTTTTAGACGTCGCTTTGAAAAGATTTAATTCCGGTCAATACTCTCCTTTCATAGGAAAGTTTGGTAAGAATTGATCATTTTTCCTGTTGCCTTGCCCTTTAAATAAAATAAAAACATAAGGTTATTTATTACAAACGACAGAACAAGGGAACATGGTTAGAATGACAGTTGATTATGGACGTGAAAATCCGTTCATTCGGTCATAAACACGGTACGACAATTAACTACAAGCAATCTAATTAATTAAACATGACTGTATAAATTAAAACTTGTACCGCCACCGATGCAGGTGATTAAACAAACCGCCCTGATCCTTTCTCCCCCTCATACATATCCGTGGGACACAGAGTGGATTTTAATGACAATCAAATGGAATGGTGATTTACTCCACATTGTTTAAAAATTATAAAGCAAATTGTGTAATGATAATGCCAAATATTAAAAAACCTAGTATACAGTTTCTTCAAAAATTTATATGATAAATATTTAAGTAATGTTATTGAATGTTATGATTTTATCTAAAAATCTCTCCTTCAGTGTGTACAATCACTGCAAGACTAAATATCAATAATTGTCTTGGGTCCGCCTGTCATCGCTGTGTTTAAAAACAATCAATCAACAGACTGTAGCAGGCTCGAGATTAATCTTTCTCATATCTGCCCTTCTCGATTGTTCTACTTATTACTTACATTCCATTATCGTTTTAACGGCTTTCTGTAGAAAACTTTTACTTTGTCCTGTTTATTTGGACCGTTATTTTTGATGAATTATTTAAAACTGCAGAAAACAGGGGAGACAATGATATTGCAAGTAATTATTTATAAGAGCCTTTGGCAATTTAGTTAACCAACTCTCAGAGTATTACAAGTAATTAAAACTCACGGCTTAGTTGTTGTTTTTTCGACCCCCCCCCCACAAACCAGAAATTGTAATATAATAGGGAACTCGCATGTTTTAGATCTGATGATACTTCGGTCGAAGAAGATATTTGGGAGGGATACTGTAGCTTTACTTAGCTAAGCGTGGATATCGGTGTATGCAGCTTGTGTTTGTCGTTAGTTCTTAAGAAAATTAAGTTTTTTGTGAGCAATTCCAACAACAATGAGTTTTAAGTTTGACAAATGTAGGTTGGGGCCTTCACCTTTTGAGAACTCCCAAAAAATGTGTGATTACTACTCAATTAGTACTCAAGAATAAAATAAAAAGTGAACATAAAAGGACTTAAATATGGGCTATTCTACGAGTAGAATATACTAAAGTCTTCTTCAGTTGGTGGGGTTGAGGCTTCAGCACTCCAAGCTATCTTCTTTTAAAAGTTGAAAAATAAATAGAGTTAGGTTTCACTGGTCTTGCTGTATTTCTGGAAACTAAATCTTCGGTGTATAAATGTGTGGTGATTAGTGACCGTTAGTCGATAATTATTCAGAAATCGTGAGATGCGGCCTGGAGTGATGTAGGTTTCAGAAAAACATTTTCCTTTATCGTGCCAACGTTTCGATCTTTCAATTAAGGCTTTTAGTTGAGATGAAAAAAAATTAATGGCCCGAGCGGGATTCGAACCCACGATCTTCGGCTAGATACGCCGCTGCTCCACCACTTGAGCCATCGTGACCTCGATGTACTCGAACACAAATATTTTTCAAATGCCATGCAATCGGATTGGATTCTCGGCGACAAATGAAATGGCCACGGAGCGCTTTTGTGAAGTATACTTCATTTTTATTCATTAAATTCACTAATTTCATGGTCCGCTCGACCAATTAATTGATTACAATTTATTAAGGTTTTTTAGTTGAGATAAAAAAGTCAATGTCACGAGGGGGATTCGAACCCACGATCTTCGGGTAGATACGCCGCCGCTCTACCACTTGAGCTATCGTGACCTCTATCCACTCGGACACTAACTTCCCATCTCAACCACACCTTTTGAATTTTCTCTCCTTTTTGCCATTTTTCAAATGTCATGTAATCGGATTGTGGATTCTCAGCGACAAATGATCATCATTTTAAGTATATTCATAAAGATTTGCTTGTAACGCTCTGGAATTGTTATAATATAATAATTGATTTAAAAAAAATAGTTTAGCAACCCTACTCTCGAAATAAAATGCACCTACGTAACAAAAACTTATAAAAATATAATTAATTTAAAATAATTATATTGTTTAATTTTAAGTTATTATTATCTAAAATGGATCATTTGATAGGGTTTTATCAAAAATACTTTTATGCTTTAACCGCTGTACGTTTGACAATTGGAGTCAGTTCAAGGATACTGGTCTTGATTTGAAATAAATTGTGGTGTATATTTATTTCAAGACTATAAAAATGTTATTTAACTGTAGTTGAATTTTGAAAATTTGTGGTGATTAGTGAACGTTAGTCGATGATTATTCGGAAATCGTGAAATGCGGTCTGGTGTGACGCAGGTTTCGGAAAAACATTTTCTTTATCGTGCCAACATTTCGATCTTTATTGATATCTTCTTCAGGGCCTGGGTTTTACAAACATTGTTTACATTTAACAAATACACGTAGGAAGTTAAAAAAAGTGAATTTATACAATGCAAAAAATATTTTTTATGTTAAATCAAAGTATTTCTACTCACTTAAAGTGTTTGTTTTTGCGTAAGTGTGCTATTCTTGCGTGTCATGTTGAAGGTGCCAGTGAGATATTGCTGTTTTATGTTTATATGTGTTGGATTTGGAAGGGGTGTGGAAGGAAGTCGGTATAGAAAGTCATTTTTGTTGAAAATGTTTCGCCCGCTCTGTATGTATTTGTTAAATTTAAGCAATGTTTGTAAATCCCAGGCCCAGAAGATGATCTCAACAATAAAGATCGCAACGATGGCACAATAAACGAAAATGTTTTTCTGAAACCTACATCACACCAGACCACATCTCACGATTTCTGAATAACTTCGGTGTATACTTACTTTTCAACTTACAGAAGAAATGGTTCCCGCGATGTCAGATCATGTACCACACGAAGATAATTGTTTGGCGGTGACAGGCACTAAAAAGTTGGCGATCAATTGAAAACCATCTTACGTTTTTCTTATTTGTTGATCTGCCGATGCAAAGTAAGAGATTCCAACTTTCCATATTAATTATCTACAGGATGTTATTGAGAAAATGTGAAAATGGTTTTATTTTTTCTCTTTCTGTAGGTGTGCATTTTCAATCACCCCGTATATTTTTTACCGTTGGGTAATTAGAAACAACTAAGTCAAGCTTATTTACGACATTTTTGCGAGCCTATAAATACGGGATTTTGCTTTGAATAGTATTGTTCGTTATCATGGTTTATAAATTTAGCTTAATATTAGATTTTGATGAAGTTTTGAAAATATACTGACGTCACGTTAGATCAACTAGTTTTCCATTGTTTAGTTTGATTAATGCATTTTTTTTCGATAGTTTTTTTATTTGTTGTTTGCCGATTGCCACACACCTGTCAAAAGAAAAAACCTGTCTCATCCGCGTCTGTCCCAGTTTGCACCTCCACGAAACTCATGAAGAAATCACAACACTACTTTTACTGCTCCTTAGTGTAGGCGTAAATTAAAAAACTGTGGAAAATGTGAAATGCTATCAGTCGCTTAAACAATAGGTGGAATGGTAATTTTCGCTCTTTAGGAGTGAAACATTGACTAGACAGTTCAAAATTGTTTGTCGTGCATTCTGAAGCAGATGGAAATTACGCAATTTGAACTTATAGTTCCAGAGATGAAGGAAAGAAACAGTCGGTGATATTACACACTCATCCCTTTGGTAGGATGGGGCTTAGTGTAAACAACGATGCTTGTCAAGTTTTAACTCCAGCAGGTATTAGAGAGTATAAGCTGGGTTCATTTGTATACTTGAAGGTAAGAGAATAGGACATTTTTCAAATTGTCGCAATGGAAACATACAATGTTTGTACGCAATAGAATACATGCTTTATGAATTGTACAATTTTTATTATGTCCGTGTTATCTTTTTCACCTTTTTCTTCACTATTGGCTCTGTTTGTCGGTTAATAAAAGCTTCTATTATGACTTAAAATCGTTGATAGATACATCAGATAATGATGAGATGCGATGATTGTTCTGAACAATGTGTCCGACCCTGATTGTAACCCTGACACAGCATTAAAGATTGCAAGAAGTGGAAACACGACTGCCAGAGCAAAACGTTGAGGTTCAAACTGAAAGTTCCGGAAAGAACCAAATGGCTGAAACAGTAAAACGTGTATATTCATCGCCTATTTATTGCTCTAAACAACGTGGCTAGATTGTTTGCACACTGGGCAGTAGTTTGTCACCGTCTGTCGCAACTTTCTACACCAAAAGGTAGGGTAAATGTCCGATAGAACTTTCTTGAGAAACAACTGCTTCTAAGTGCATGAGGATTAACGGCCTCCCACGAAAATTCTAAACAAAGCGATCTGGCTGAATAACAATCGTACCCCATTCCATTCTGCTCCTCGGTTAAAAACCTAGGAGTAGCCTTTGAACCTTTTCTGCCATCCTCACATTACCGAAATCTCCCGCCATTGTATTGCCTCCCTCAGCCCATTTCGTCGGTCCTGGCTTCTATTACCTTTCTCCATCCGCAAACTCCTTGTATCTTTCCTTACACTTCTTTTCTTCAATTACAGCTGTGTGGCATACTGTAGTCTCTCGAAGGGAGGGGGGCGATTGAAGAGTATTATGAATTGCTGTGGAAGATTCGTGTTCGGCACCACAAGGGGGCCCCAGGTGGCGGGGTTGTTTTATTTTCTTATTATTTCCCTCTCAGAAGTAACTCTTGCGAGAGGGAATATATTTCCACCTACCCACGATTAACATTACAGGTGTTTAAAGATTACATCGTCCATTCAGTTTTGTACAAATATCACATTTAAATTACATTCATATTTGACGTTGTTGATATTGATTATTTTAATAGTAATTCATAATAATTTTATTAATTATTAATTATTAATTAATAATTATTAATTTTAATTAATTAATCACTATTAATCATTTATTAATTAATCATTATTAATTATTAATTAATAATTAATAATTTATTAAGTATCACCAATATCTTAATGTATTAATACATTAATCAATCAACTCATTAACACAATAATTAACTATTACTACCAATTAATTAATAATAAATAATATTTTTATTTTTATTATTATATTTTTTATTATTTTTAACAATTACATTAAGTCAAAGTTCATCGAATTAATAAAGTTTATCGTATCTTGATGAAATTCTTTTAATAGTGTTTTTAATGAAACTGTCCACTTTTTCTATTAACTTTGCCCTTATTTGCTCCTATATCTAGATCGCAGTCAAGCGTTCCCAAATTTGGGGTGCGGCGACATTTCAGGAACAAGTGTCATTCTAGATAAATTCACTAGTTTTAGTGGTACACTTGACCAATTAATATCATTCAATTAGTTAAGGTTTTTATTCGAGATAAAACGTCAGTGTCACGAGCGGGATTCGAACACATGACCTTCGGCTTGATACGCCGCTATTCTACCATTTGAGCTATCGTGACTTCGATCCACTCGGGCACTAACTTCCCTTCTCAACCCCATCTTTTGAATATTCCCTCCTTTTTGGCATTTTTCAAAGGAGTTAATTAAGTTACAATTAATTAATGTTTTTAGTTGAGATGAAAAAAAGTTAATGGCACGAGCGGGATTCGAACCCACGATCTTCAGTTAGATACGCCGCTGCTCTACCACTATCTATCTATCTAGCCGAAGATTGTGGGTTCGAATCCCAGTCGTGCCATTATCTTTTTTTTCATCTCAACTAAAAACCTTAATTAATTGGTTAAGCGGACCACGAAATTAGTGAATTTAAGGAGTTAATTAAGGTTGAAGCGTTTCAGGTGTACAGCATTTTTACCGTGCCCACGTAAGAGCTGTGTAAGTTTGTACGAGTAGGTGAAGACTAACCTGGCGAGCATTGATGTTCTCAAAAAATTTTTACATAGTTTCCTGTTGCTGCTTCCAACCATAGCAGATCCGATAATTCGTGACTCTTCTTTTTCGCTTCCGAAATGATTAAGGTACATCCCGGAATTTCACAGGTAGGGATTTATCTACTGCCGCTTCTTTCGCGTATCGATCTGCTTCTTAATTATCTTTTTTACCAGCGTGATCTTTTATCCAACGTAATTTTAATTTCCGTCCTTTTTCTTGTAGGTTTCTGCTCAAGGATTTGATTTTGTCAACAACTGGTAAATGGTTTCGACGATCGCGAAGTTGTGCAATTGCCACTTTGCTATCTGAATAAATTCGCAGAGTTTTTATTTGCGGTTTCCTAGATAGGTCTTCTTCCATGGCCCGTTGCAATGGCAACATAATGGAAGCAGCTAGGCCTGATTATTGCTGCACCATCCAGCAAGTTTAGATTTCTGTAACTGGATCTTCTCGATTTAGGCCGTACACGACTACTGCACATCCTACACCTCCTTCTGTTTTACTCCCATCAGTGTACACATCGTAGAAGGCGATACGATCATACAAGCTTTTTCTCCAGATTGTACACTACTGTGTCTTCTTCAAATGAAAAACGACTTCTGTCTTCTGCTGGGTGTATTTTTTGCACGTTGGGATTTCAGATTCGACAACCTCATATCTCCCTTTGCGTAAGGCGTTGCTGATCATTGCCATTTCTCTAAGCTTTAAATCTATATGGTGTTCCCCAGATATGATACATGTAGTCAAAAACGAGATTGTCCGGTATCCTTTTATTGTGTGTTTCGGGGTTGTATTCCCAACTTGCCTGGCTCTACCACTCCCTCCGTGCATAGTATTTCCTAGGTTGCTTCCTTTTCCAGTCCATCCACACTCCTCGTCCTCCTTCATCACCCAATCCTTCAAATTCAACTCTTCACATCACACTCATAACACCCGCTCATCCCCAATTGACCTTTTCTTTCCACAACAAACAATCCATACTTTCGAAGATCCTTTCTGATCCGAGCCCCTAAACTGTAGAACCCCCTTCTTTCCCCAAATAAAAACCTTACGTTAATATTTGATATTTTTGTATAATATTCTTGGTATTTTTTTCTTGTAGCTTGCCTTTCTAGTATGAATGCCAACATTTTTATTTCATTTTATTTTTAATTTCACAGAAGGAACTTCCTTTATTGTTTATTAAATGTTTCAGATTCATCGATTTTCAACTGAGCCACTACAACTCTTTCGCCTGGGACCTCACGTTCCTGCTGTACACCAGTGTGACTCCGGCATTCCGCCGTCAGCATTTCACAGCGATTTACGACGCGTACTTCGAAACGTTGATCCGCACGCTGCATTTCTACAATTACTCCGGCCGCTACCCGAAACGTGAAGCGATCGACCTGGAGATGAACCGTCTCAAATTTCTCGGTTTTGTGACACTCTGTACCATGTACGCTTTGTCGCTCGCGGACATAGAGGAGCCTTTCAATGTCGAGGTGTTCGGCGACCATCCCGATCCGAAATCAGGTTTCAAACCGGAGATTTTCGAGTCCGAAGTTTACAAGAACACAGTCCAGCAGGATTTGTCACTCTTCTTTGCCGAAGGGATCATCTAATAAGGGTTGACTGTCATTTCACTAAACAAAAATTTACACACTTCAAACATTTATTCCTTAAACAATCAGTTATATACACAAATTCTGTAAATAAAATGTTACAATATTTCAGGCGTTGTTAAAAATAATAATAGTAAAACCTTGAATATTAAAAAAAAAAATTCTTTTAGGAGAACATCAAAACTTCTATCTTATAAGGAATGCTCAGATAGTTTTCAGATAAAAACTTCGGATGACAAAGTACCTCTACTGTAATGTCATTTCGAGAAAGGTGTTAAATTGTATTATCTAGGTAACACTATTAGCTATAAGTAGGCGAAAAAGAAAAAGATATTGGAAAACAAATTTTAAAAAGTAATAAAAGTACTAATTTGAAGATACATATTTCGTTTTAACTTGAAAAATATTCTGTGGCTTACCTGCAATAAAAAACTTAATTTGCATGGTTTTACATACCAAATTGCAAAAATTCTTCTTAGAACTAAAGGTTTTTGTGTGAAATATGTAATGATGAAACCCTCTTTTCCATCGACAGTGTCGAAACACTGTACAAAAAGAAAAGACAAATATTCTCTGCTGTACTCCGGTTTTGGAAATACGTGTTTATCCCGCCGGTAGCTAATTTATCGACGCACTGTTTAGAGCTACAGTGGAAGTAAAGGAGGCTCCAAATAAAAGGGTCGCTAACATTGGATCTTAATAGCAGAAATTACCGGATCGCCGGTTCGATTAACGGGTATAGTTAGTCTTTGCCACAGTTAATTCTTCAACAAGGACAAATTGAACCCTTCTTTATCTATAAACTGTAACTTAAAACTATGTTAATACGTAAATAGATGAGTCTTTTCTTGATCGATGGCTATATTGATAATATACACCTCAGTTGATCTATCTGTATATTTTTACTATTTTATCTTTTAACGTTGGTCTTATTACTCTCTCTCTCTATCTCTCTCTCTCTCTCTCACTGTCTCTCTCGCTCTCTCTCTCTCTCTCTCTCTCTGTCTCTCTCTCACTGTCTTTCTCGCTCTCTCTCTGTCTCTCTCTCACTCTCTGTCTCTGTCTCTCTCTCACTCTCTCTCTTTTTCTCTTTCTCCCTCTCCCTCTCTCTCTCTTTCTCCCTCTCCCTCTCTCTCTCTCCCCCTCTCTCTCTCACTGTCTCTCTCTCTCTCTCTCACTCTCTCCCTCNCTCTCTCTCTCTCTCTCTCTCTCTCTCTCTCTCTCTCTCTCTCTCTCTCTCTCTCTCTCTCTCTCTCTCTCAGACACACACACAAAATTGTTTTAGTACGTGAAGAGTTCGCCGCTGATCGGTCTACGATGTTCATTGGTAGTTTAAATCGTGGTAGAGTGTTAATGAAGTTCTATCCTTTGTTGCTTAATTCTTCAAATATTAATCGCGTGGGTGTAGGAAGTGTAGACCTTTTAAAACAATTTTTCCTTCTTGTAGTTGATACGTATAAAATGAAGTTAGAGGTTTTTCCAAAAATTGTTAAATTTTCTGTACGTTTGTTGCTTGAAGTTTTAGAGTTTTTACACTTTCTGATAATGGAAGAATGGACACTTCCTATGTTTTCTAAAAATTTTGTTGGATTGTTACGTTTTTAATGTAAATCGGAGTAGGTTTCATATCTTTTGTTTCGGTATTATTTGTATTTGCCGTCTCAGTGACAGGAAATAGTTGAAATTGATTGCTTGTAGGGAATGGAGTACTAACAATACTTCGGATATGCGGGACTTTCCTCGGGGCTCTGTTTCTTCTTTTTCTTCGCCCGTTTTTGAGTTGTACTGAACAGGGAATCCCAGAATGTCCAGAGAGTTTAAACGTTAAATTCTCACTTGTACTCTTAAAAGTTTTAAAGCCATAAATGACCAGAAACAGAAAGAAGAAAACAAATTTTTCCAAGCCTTTTATACTACCTGTCAACAAGTCTTGATAGCCAACAGCTAGGAACATAAACATGAAATTTCTCAAATTCAAAACCCCTTTGATTATGTTGCTTCTAACGTGCATAGAGCCTAGTTAAATTTTGCCACTCGAAATACTGGTTTTCAGGGAACCTATAATGAACCGTCACATAATTTACCAAATCGTAATGATCTCCTCAAATGGAACAGGTAACATCTAACCTGAAAAGTTGAAGATCACAAATACAATCGAAAATAAAAGAAATTTTTTATATATTGATTTTTAATAGTTTCTTAAAAAGTTCTGGACACATTGTTTGAATGGAGTTTGAACGGAACAAAAAAGTTATCTTATAAGCATTATGTAAGGTATTGGTTGAGATAAGAAAGCCAGTGTCACGAGGGGGATTCGAACCCACGACCTTTTTTCCGATCGAATTTTCCCTCTTTTTTGCCATTTTTAAAATGTCGTGTAATCTATTTGATTCTTTTTTTTTATCTCAACCAACACCTTACATAAAGATTAATTATTTGAAAGATGTTATTTGGTCAATCGGACCACTAAATCTAATGAAATTGTAAGCATTGTTGAATGTGGGAGTTTGATGAGGGGTGAGTAGAGAAGACGTGTGGAAAGTGAACAAACTTTGTCTGTTGAAGCAAGTCATATAAATATATTGTCCTCACAAAAAGATTATTTTCGAGGAGAATTCGCATTTTTGTATTTATTATTTTTCACTTAGGAAAGTAAAAATAGACCTTAATAAACGTTCAATTCAATTATTCCATTATTTTCAATATTACAATATGCCTGCGTTGCTAAAATGCATAAGGTCAGTTTTCATCATTTCTACATAAAACGGGTTGTTGAATATCGACATATTGTAGCCATTTTTTGCATCTGAGAAGTCCTCACCTACTTTACTAAAATCAAAGGCATTCGTTTCTGGCGCAATCATTATCGGCAAGTGGCTGCATGATATAAAAAGCGCATACGGTCTCAGTCTTTCCATCTCCGTTACGACATCGTTCAAGCTTGGTATCTGATTCGCAAGAATTTCGTATCTGGTAAGGTTTGATGCCAGCGATTCATGGTAAGCTTCCAGTATTTTCATATAATCCTTTCGTCGGATTTCTGGCCGTACCGAGGTGTACACTAAGTACGTCAAGTCGAATGCGAACGTGTTGTAGTGGGACATTTGGAAATCGACAAACCTGCAGAAAGAGATTTAACTTAAAATTTGATAATGTTTTCATGATTTTGTTGTTCATATTTTTGTATTGTTTTTATCTATTTTATTGCATGCAAAGTTGTTTTGTGTCATCAGTGTTTTAGAATTTTTTTTTCAAGCAAACGATACTCACTTCAGCCCGACTGGATTTTTCCTACTGTCGTATTTGAATAAAATGTTGTTCATCCAGCAATCGCCGTGATTGATAACGTTCAATCTCGATTCGTCAATTTCATTAAAACCCAGCATAGTTTCAACGATTTTGCCAATTGCTGTAGACAAACGTTTTGCCATTGATGACCTGAAGAAAGAGTACTCATTAGAAGTTTTGAACCAAAAATAAATTTATTTCCCGCATTTTCAGCTCTAGTATTGAGCATAACATAAAAAGCTCTGACGTACGAAAATATTGAAATTAAATTGTCATAATAATCACAGGAAAATTCGACCACTCTTCGATCATTTAGGGAAAATGCCTTAAAATTCATGAAGAATTGGTACCAGGATAAGGGTCTAATTATAAAATGAAAAATCTCAATCTAACTGCTCTAACCCTGCATATATAGGAATTAAAGCATTCCATAAAAGTTATATAACTAGGAATAGTGCTTCTTCTTAGAAAATGTTAACATCCTTCAAAGAACGATGAATGATATATGAGAAAATAAGAATACTTCGGACATTGGAAAGGAAACCTTTATAAAGTGCTACTTACAAATAATGTACATGACTAAAACAATCTTTCCTTATCAGAGCGAACACTAGATTTCGAGAAACCATTTATAATAAATATAGAAAGGAGTTGATTGCAAAAAGAAAGAAAAAGAAGTTAAACGTGGTGTTCTTGAATGAAGATGGGAAATAATGGTATGGCATGGATAAAGTGTCCTAATTTCGAACACCACATAGCCCCTGGAATCATTCAATCTGAATGAAAGCCATGAAATAAACAAAAAATATAAAAAATAGCTCTGAACTTTCTCCAAGTCTACCAAATCAACTCAAATCTTGCCTAGACTGCGTAACGTTAAAGTGAAGCCTTGAGTGAGTTACAGGCAGCAAAGCAGCCGTGCTAAAAAAAGAGCCTCGTAACAACTCATAGGCCCAAATCAATTTTGTACCATAAACTATAGCATCTTTAAAAAAAGAACTGGAATCTTGGATAACTAAACAACACAACGAATACTAAGAGGGAAAAATAAGCAAAAAGACTATTCCCAAAAACAAAATATGAGAGAATGACGAAATCCCACATTACAGAAAGGAATTAAAAACTCTAACTCGTATATTTACAGAACAAGTTTTATTAAAGCGCCACCTAAAATAATGCGACTGTCATCAAACAACGCCGATTATTTAAAAAGGGTAGAGAGAGGATAAAACATATCAATGCAACTGCCATAAAAAGTAGTGCCTGGAAAAACCGTTCTTGAGATAGATTCCACGCAGAACTTGATAACCTCCTGAGAAAAAACGCTACTTCAGAAAAGAAATAATAATCTTCCAAGAAATTTATTTGCAGAGATTGGCACAATAGACGAAATGTTATATGCTAGAGAGAGAAATCCCCATTAAACCAAATGAGCAAGGAAAAGAAATATAGTCATGTACGAAAATCAAGATCGATTAAGTAAAACGTTTAATGTCAATCATCTAACTTAACAAAAAATGTTTAGCTGGGAAAGATATGATGTATAGAAAAATATCATACCTAGGTATGGTAGATAAAAAAGTAAGGTACGACAGCTAGCCTTTATTTCCCTATATTCTTTTAGACCGATAGGACAGCATTCAACTAAACATATTTCCATTGACAAAATAGTCTAATGTTTTGCCAAAAACAAGCTTAAAGGAAGTGTTTTGTCCTTTTTCATGGTAAAGACCAACGATAAGTGTCATTACAAAATAATGTTAATATTTAATGAGTTTGCTTATGAAATCCTGGGCCTATCTAATCCATTTCAACCAACCAACTATTTTTTGGTCGTTATTATACCTCATTATGTTTGCCTGTAAAACACGTTTTGTCATTTCGCCACTTTCAATCGGGTGTGTGTTTTACTTTATTTATCATACTACACATTTAACTAGTTTGATTAATAATTTGGATAGCTTTATTCGATATAGCTTGCATATTATGACTGAAACAAATTAAAAGAGCTGGGTTATTCCTTCTTATTTTCCTAACCTCTAGACTACCAGTTTTTTTATTTAATTTGGACGTTATTGGCTGTGTGTGCTAAAAATGCTTTTAATAAAGTTGCATTATATGATTTTCTGATTACATTAACATACCGAGACTGGTTTAGTTTTCGATATGTCATTTAAAAATGGATTTTTACATTTAAAATCGTTTAACAATAATGACTATCTTTCTGTAAAATATCTGTATACAAAGCTAAACTTACCATTCCACACCCCAGTCGGTTGCTATTACTTCGGATATTGTTTCTAAAGGACCGACGAAGGCTAAATTAAGAGCTCGTTCATCGCTGTATAAAATGTGCGGACGCATCACATCTTGGGACGCGAGCCCCTTCATCAGAAGTGCTTTGGACACAGCGTGAAACTTTCCCAAGGACCTGACTGCCAGGAGGGTGTGATCCATGTCCATCATCTTTACTCTGTCGATCACGGAGTAGTTTTGCACCTACAAAAATTCCTTTCTAAAGAGCGCCTTCTAAATCAGAACTTTAGATATTTACGCTAAGATCCTCAAGAATTAGTAAGTCGTAGCACCGGTGCCCAATCATCTCGCACCACAGCTTTTCTTCTGTGTCATTATAATCTTCCATAATAGACTCCATTTGACATAACGTTTGAATATACATCTACACACATAAATTCAATCCAATTTGTATTCAATTATCTTCCACTCATTAGAAATGATGAATGGTGGAGTGAGTGCGGTGTTCAATCCTTTCGAAAAAATAGTTCCTACTCACAGTAAAAAATCTTACTGCGAGTAGGAACTATCTTTTTAAAAGGATTGAACACCGCACTCACTCCACCTTTCATAATTTCTATTAATTTGTTAGTCAAAGCAGTAATGGATTATAATCTTCCACTTACGTTTATTTCTGTCTTGAAAATACCATATTCCTCGATAAATTTTCGTTGCGTTCCAATATTCGGCATTTGCTTATAGATGACAGATTTAGTGGTTTTTTTGCCCGATCCTAGGACAACTTCGAGCTTAGCCCGGACTATATCACTGCAATAGTTGTTGCCTTTCTTCACGGCCGGTTCGCACTTCTTCGCCATGACACGAGCAACACTTTTCTCCTTCTCGTGCTTCTTCACAATCGTCTCGATCCACTCTAACTCCATTCTTCTCCGATAACACAGTCGAACTGGACGCTAACGCTGCACATTTAAAATGAAGAGATTTATGTGAATATATAACTTTCTTATCTTATCTTAAGTGTTGGGTAGTTGTGATAATTGTATTACAAAAAACAACGTTGAATTACATTTCTGCCTTTATTTAAATCATTTTGTTTATATATATATATATATATATATATATAGATANCTATATAAAATAAGATCATTGTTATCACTGTATACCTTAAGCGGCCTATAGACGGTCAATATTATTGTACAATATAGATTGCACAATAATTTGACGCTTGCCCCTTAACGTTCAATAATATTGTACAAAATTTTGTTTGTGCAATGAACTTGAATAGTTTGAAGGCGATATTGAAGTTTGGGCAATATTTTGTTACTACTTGTTTTACTACACAAAATGACTGATATTGCGCAATAATGCCAACAGGGGGTGCAATATGTTCCAGGTTGTACAATATATTTTCAACTTTTCGTCAATCATGCAGTATTGCACAAATTTTTAATATCGTCTACACACGATCAATTAAATTGCAAAACCCAAAATATTATGCAATAATATTGATCGTCTATGGGCCGCTTAAAGGAGTATAAAGTATCAGGATTAAGGTGAATTGAAAAGAAAGTTTAACAGTTGTCAGTAGAGAATTGTACTCATGGACCGGTGGTCTCGTCTATTCTACTAAGTTACAGATAAATATTCATTGTGATGGAATGCATAAATTTTATTATCATTAATAAGTAGTGGTTTTTATTTGTCATCCATGCAACTCATCAGAAACCGACCAGATGAAGAGCACAAATTTTTCTTTTAATTTCACGAAGAAACTTAGTTTTTTTAAACTTCCTTTATTTCTGACATTTTCTCTACAGTTGTAAAATTAGGGTGCTATCCAATCAGATCAAAATAACATACATCTACACAATGTTTCAAGAATTGTGTATTAAAATCACCAACAACTAAGTATTTACTTGCTCAATTTTTACAATAATTTAGGAGCTTTTTAAGGGAAAATAATATTTAATTCAATTCAAACTAGGCTTAACAACGATCTTGAATTTTTTTTACTCAATTCTAATTATATATGTCACCGAGAATAAGAAAATAAGGATAGAATATAAAGACGAAATTTAAGCCACGATTAGAATTGGCTTTACGTACCATAACCTAATACCATTTTAATTGGGAGATTTCATCATGGGCTCGGTTAGTGATGAAATAATAGTTTGGTAATTTGTAATTATTTTGGCCCGTTTATCCTAGCTGTTCTCTTTTTTTCAGATTTGGGTTTGTGTGTAATCCTGTCTAATATAACAAAAATAAATAATAGTGCTCCGTTATTCTGTCAACAGATGTACTAGCAGAGTGAGGCCTCGACAAGGCACAGACGGCGAGAAGCTGAAATTCGTCTGATAGGCCAAAACAGCAATGATAGCCAAAAATAATCTAAAACGACCACACTACTTTTATAATGATTAGATATGTTATCGTACGAACAAATGGATATAATTTTCTTCCGTTTTGTCACCACATCTCAAGTCAAATTGTACTAGTTTTCTTGATTCATTAATCATGATTGTTCACAGCTTTGAAATCTTGCCTGTTTGAGCTATAGTTTTAAAATTATTCTAAAAAGAATGATAATACTGTTCTGGAATTAAACATATTCCTAGGCCTAAATAAAATGAGAGTTGAACAATTGCCCTGGACTATTGTGGATTGTAATATTAATACAATTCGAAAGGTTTCTAGGTTAAAATGGGGAGTTGGTGTCCGAGTAGATCGAAGCCACGATAGCTCAAGTGGTAAAGCAGTAACGTATTTAGCCGACGGTCGTAGGTTCGAATCCCGCTCGGTACTTACTTTTTCATTTCAACCAAAACCTTCCAAAAAAATATTAATTAATAAAAAAAAATTATTTGGTCAATAGGCCACAAAATGGTATTAAAATAATATTCTACTTAAATATAAATATATTATGAAATCAAAATGTAAAATTTAGCTTTTTATTAACGTTTGTATTTAAAATATTGTGTGTAGATCAAGTTTTTTTTAATTCAATGTCTGATAATTTTGGTAAGAAAATATATTTTTTTTACAAAAATCCCGATTTTATTGTAGGTCTTGTCATATAACCTAATTTGTGTTTCTATTGGAAAATTTATTTATGATTGTGGACAATCTCAAAAGGAGAAGTACGAACGTGAAAACATTGATTTTAATGAAACACCTTTTAGTGGTACTAGGTTGAAAAACACTGGACACACGTTCATAGCGTGCGTGTTAATGTGTCGCCTCGAGCAACACCCAAAAGTAGACTAACAAATTTTGTTAACAAGAGGCATAGTTGAAATGCCAAATACAGTTTTTTTAAACAATATTTTTTTTGTTTCAAAATTTTTTCATTTGGAAATCATGAAAATTGCGATAACTTTGAACCAACTGAAACTATTGAAAACATTTAAAGCATTTAGAATCTTAGAACTACATTTAATGAGTCATAACTTGTTTCAGTAAATAAATTATAACCGGAGATGTAAAAAAAAAAAATGTTTAAAGTTTACTGTGGCTTTGTATGTCAGACGCCTTCCGGTATTTCGCCATCTCCAATGTGTCAATAGCTTTTTGGCATTTCGCCATCTTCAGTGTGTCCGATTAAGCCACACTGAACATGACGAAATGCTAAAAGGCGATTCACAAACCAACCCACCGAGTAAAATACAAAAAATAAATAAATAAAAATAAAATAAAATACAAAAAATACAAACGAGGAAAATCGGTAAGGATCAAATAAAAGGTTCACACCCGCACCCCCTTCTCGAACAAGGGGAACACTCACGAATAGAATAAAGCTGAATTCTGAGCAAAGTAGACTAAAATATTTTTCAAACATGGAAAAATATTAGAAATTTAAAGAGTGCTTAATGTAAATTTGAATTATTTTTTAAATACAAAAAAATATATTTTGGTTATTGTAACTTTTTATGTATTTAAAATTATTTATCAACCCTGTATATAATTTTGCTACCCTCAGAATAAATTCACACATATATATAATAATCTTCTAATGCATGCACGACGAAGTCAGACAACTATATTAAAGTATTTTACAAGAAAAGGTTTTCAATTTACTTAGACGTTTTATATATATTTTTGTAATCTGCTTTTAGGTCTCATTGGGAGGAATGAGCTAATATTTTAGACAGTTCTGTATTATCAAAAAAAATTAAGCAAAATCTGAAACCCCACGTCAGTACCTTCACTGGTAATTCGATTTCCGTCGTCTCAGAAGTTGTGTCTCAGAAGTTTCTTCAGTCGAAAGTTCCTTGAAGAAGTATTAGTTAGTTGTATTTTCATGTAAAATTCAAATGAAAAGAATCAGTAAAAGTTTTCTCACACGGTTTACGAAATCAAGCAATGACGTGCATAAAATATATACATATCTTTCTGCTTGTCTAAATAATTTAATATTTCATCCAGTCCAAAAACAGGTAATTTTTTATTTCCATAAAACTCAAGCCGGCATAAAACGAATTTGATTTCTTCCTTCCCCAAAGAGTCGGTCAACATTATACAAAGTTTTAGAAAAACATTTTCTTTATCGTGCCAACGTTTCAATCTTTCTTGAGATCATCTTCAGGGCCTCGATCATATGAAGAGACAAAAAACCCAGTTGATCAATGATGTAAAGGTGAGCCAAACATAATGTTGAATAACAGCTGGTCGATCACCTTTTTCTCATTGATCAAAGGGGTTTTTCGTCTCTTAATCATAATGACTTTCTACAATAGGATAAAAATGTGTAGAGATTAATGACCGTTAATCGATAGTTATTCAGATATCGTGAGATGCGGTCGGGTGTGATGTAGGTTTCAGAAAAACATTTTCTTTGTCGTGCCAACGTTTCGATCTTTTATTGAGATCATCTTCAGAGCCTGGGATTTACAAACAATGTTTACATTTAACAATTACATTTAGGAAGCGGAAAAATGAATTTATACAATGCAAAATATATTTTATATTCAAACAAAGTATTTCTACTCACTCAAAGTGTTTGTCTTTTGTGTAATTGTGCCATCCTAGCGTGTCGTGTTGAGAGTGCCAGTGAGATTGTGCTGTTTTATGTTTATATATGTTTGNAAAAACCAAACATATATAAACATAAAACAGCACAATCTCACTGGCACTCTCAACACGACACGCTAGGATGGCACAATTACACAAAAGACAAACACTTTGAGTGAGTAGAAATACTTTGTTTGAATATAAAATATATTTTGCATTGTATAAATTCACTTTTCCGCATCCTAAATGTAATTGTTAAATGTAAACATTGTTTGTAAATCCCAGGCTCTGAAGATGATCTCAATAAAAGATCGAAACGTTGGCACGACAAAGAAAATGTTTTTCTGAAACCTACATCACACCCGACCGCATCTCACGATATCTGAATAACTAATAGGATAAAAGAAGAATTTGGATCAAGCCCTGAGGAAGGTGAAATAAAACACCGAAAGCTTGGCGTTGTTTCAACACCAGAACATTCATTGGACCACATCCCCGATCCTAAGTCCTACATCCCGTCCCTTCATCATAATGACTTTCTACAATAATTTAAAATAATGTGCTGATATGTATTATTAATATATAACTTGCCATCTTTATATTATTATGATTTGATGGTTAATAGGATAGGATGGTAAGTGACGTGCATAATCTCGCAAGCAAGTGAACTTCATTTAAATGGTGCAAAACAAGGTAAGCAATGCAATTACTGTATGAGGAATTTACTAAATTAATTATTAATTTGGTATATTGAAAAATAACCGCATTGGGTGTCACATTGAAATGAAAGTATTTTTCGTAAACAAATTTATTTCCATTAATATGACATATTTTAGAAACAATGATTGTGAACTATAATCATTCACAGTGGCAAAAGATATAGGACATAGAAAACACGCATGCTAAATATAGCCAGTTTATTCAATGCGATAACCGTCGACTGGCACTCACCAAGTATTGTACAATTCAGATACAATATGCGAGTTCGATCTTCATTTAAACCAGAAATCTCTAGGTTTAATTGTCAAATCGGAGTGCCCAAGAAAAGAATAAAATGGCAAGATTCAATCCCCAATTTATGCAATTCGAATGGTCAATGGAACACTACCTATATATTATACCAATAAATTAAATTTAAAAAATTAAAAAAAAACAGATTTAACACTCGTCGTTTCATTAGCAATTTTGAATTGTATTCATACATCGAGATGTTTTTGCCCACCCATCGTTCCTTTTCCTGTTCACCTTCACATTTTTTGAAACGATGCCAATTGTCGAGTTTTTTTATTTTATCTATTAAATAAAAAAAGACATCAATGAAACTTACGTTCGACCCGCGTCAGGCAAAGCTACACTAGCAAATGACAGGATGCCGGAATGAGTAAATACGTCCCCTGCTGTGCTCAAGGCTTTATTGAATATCTTAATAACTACTCGCAGCCTATTCTGGCATTGAGCGTTACGCAACAATAATCAAGTCATGTATTATATAATTTATGGAAAAATGCAGTTTCCTAGAAGTCAAAACCAATCAATTGAATTTTCAAACGATCTAGCCAGTAAGAAAACGCATTTATGCAATGTTGTTCTCACTGAAAGGATCTTTGTACATTGAAAGAAAACAAATATTTCTATTGATGATAGAAAGCTTCTGTAAGTATATTATTATAATGTTATATTATTACAAATATTGTTTTTTCTCAGAAGAGAAAGCTACGAATATAGGATCACTGATTTTAATCAATAAAATACTTCCTTTATGGTAATAAATCAAAAAATATTAATCACCTGCCTAGTATTTTTCCCTGTAGGAGACGCGAAAATATGTATTTTAAATAATTAATGAAATTTTTGTAAATACGTTTTTCCTCTTTAGTCACGCATATATTTCACGGTTACTAAATAATATCTTATTTATTTATTTACCCAGGAGAACAAAATAATATGCTGGATTTTACGAATTTAGATTTTAAATTGTACATAAAAGTGAGAAAACCCTAAAACAAAAAATTATTATTGCAAATATGTAAAACAAACTTAAAAATAAAAATAAGCCTTAGTAAAATATCTTATCACTTTTTTCGGCGTTAAAATTTTAAATTAATAATGATAAAAATAACCCAGTACACTAATCCATAAGTAAACGTCCTTTTTCCATTGAATTTTATTTTAAATACATTTTGAGCCACACCGTGGCTGCTCCTCAGTTCAATAGAAAACATCCCAAGTATCTATTTCAACCACCGGTGTTTGCACAAGGCCTTAGTTTAAATATAAAATGTGCTATTATTAATTGTTAATTCGAAACCCTGATGAGGACTTTAAATGCAGAAGAAAGCTCGATGGAGAATTGTGTTTTCTCCTAGAGGCTCCATCCAGTCAACTATAATATTTTATACCAACAACGTTTTGGTTTTATGTCATTATAGGTCAGAAATATAAGGATGAAATCATTAAAAAGTCTTCAAACCTATTTTATAATTCCGGTATTAATTTATTTTCTGAGACTGAATCTATATCATTAGGAATGGTTCATGCAGGATATTAACCCTCGCAAAATGTCCTGTCGATCGCAGGAGTCGTTTTAAAGTTGGTATTGTGCTTTCTGAGCAAATTCGGACGTATCTGGAAAGCGAAAAATCTAAAAACAAAAAACAGTAAAAATATTTATTTACCCTAAATTGTGTTTTCAGTTTTTATGGCAAAAATGAATATCAACATCGTTTCTTGCTAAACAAAATTTTACCCTACTTTAAACGAAATAAACTGAGGGCAAGGAAATTTCTATATAAAATTTCTATTGAACTACAACACGCACATGTTGCAACGGAACGACGTAGCAAAGCGGGTAAAAATATTTTGCAACAAAAATGTTTTAGCACAGTTTTTTCATTACATTTTCGGCTTTTGGTCTTTGATTTTTTGTCGAAAAAAATCAGATATTTAGTGATATTTTGGCCACGTCTACAACCACCAAAAACTTTACAGGAGTTTGAACCGATATGTTCTACATGCAACATCCAAAACACTTCTTTTGCAAATCAATTATAGAATTGGAGAAACAAACTTATACGTTTGAGGGATTTGTATTTATCTGATGCTTATTTGTCTCATTTATATCACACATGAAATTTAAATATTGTTGACCTAGCCATAAAATAAAAATCTTTTACTTTCCAATGCTTTTAATAATTCCGTCCGAGTTGTCTTCATCAAGTTTAAGAACTAATTTGCACAATTTTTTATTAAAAATTTTATCTAAAAAATTAAAAAACAATACGGGTGAGTAAACGCGGAGCAGTCAGAGGAAACAGTTTTCTATAAGAGTCGTGTAATGTAGTGGTTCTTCTTGTTGGCCGGAATAATCGGGGAGTGCCCGTTTTAACCAAAATTGTGGCGAAAATTTCATGTTACATTTCACGGTAATTTATATAGAATAATATATATAGCCTACTCCCCTTTTTCCGAGATCTAAACATACATAAGTATTTCCTAAGTAGAGAGCTTAATTGTAAGCGGCATAATATTGTTAAATAAAGTAGCTTGATAGATATTAGCGAGATTCATTTAGCCCCCCCCCCGGAACCATTCTTCCAGGATCCTGGGGTAAGGATATGAAACTGTAAATTAAAAAAAATTAATTAAACCTTTTGTAATTTAATTGCTCTTTTGTATTTTAGTTGGGCGCGATTATGTAGTTTCGTTATTTCAAGGGGTTTTAAGTCCCAGAATAAAGTCTATTGTTTCTTTTCACTTTTCCCAACAGCAGAAAATCGAAAATACCACATTAGTAAAGTAGGTCAATAAATTTCTTTTTGAAAAAAAAAAGTTCTCGTTTCAAGCACCCTTTAACGTCCTTTAAAATCCATTTTTATAGCAAAAATCTGGACAATATTGTTATCATTTTATTATTCTCTCAGATTTCCAGTTTTCAGATTCGATTTGCCGAGTGCAATTTGTTTTCCAGACGGTGTCTGCTCTTCGAATTAAAATTGATAATCCTAATTTTATCCCAATTCTAGATTATTAGAAGCCAAATTCACTAATTTCGCGGTCCGCTTGAACAATTAATACATTACAATTAATTAAGGTTTTTTAGTTGAGATAAAAAAGTCAATGGCACGAGCGGGATTCGAACCCACGATCTTCGGCTATATACGCCCCTGCTCTACCACTTGAGCTATCGTGACCTCGATCCACTCGGACACTAACTTCCCATCTCAACCTCATCTTTTGAATTTTACGTCCTTTTTGCCATTTTTCAAATGTCATGTAATCGGATTGGATTCTCGGCGACAAATGAAATGNACTTAGGAAATACTTATGTATGTTTAGATCTCGGAAAAAGGGGAGTAGGCTATATATATTATTCTATATAAATTACCGTGAAATGTAACATGAAATTTTCGCCTCAATTTTGGTTAAAACAGGCACTCCCCGATTATTCCGGCCAACAAGAAGAACCATCACATTACACGACTCTTATAGAAAACTGTTTCCTCTGACTGCTCCGCGTTTACTCACCCGTATTGTTTTTTCATTTTTTAGATAAAATTTTTAATAAAAAATTGTGCAAATTAGTTCTTAAGCTTGATGAAGACAACTCGGACGGAATTCAAATATTTTTTATTTATTTATATGAATTGTACAAGGCTAGTGTCACCATCCGTCAATCCGATATGTTGCAATCATTGAATTTATGGCATATTTAATAATTAATTTTTTAATTATTTTTAATGGAGGAAAGATAAGGTTGAGATGAATTGTAGATTATTGGTTGTTTCACTGGTAACGAGCGTTGACTGTATCTATTATTATGCTTTAGCACAAATCACATATTCTATTATTATTGTATTTTTATGGTATTCTTGTAATGAAAAGGGCTGATTTATAAATTTAAAGATGAGGTATTGTTGAGTGCATTGAGCGTAAGTGTGTTAAGGAAATTCTTTTTTTGGTTATTTGAAGTTGATATAATTATTCAGAAATCGTGAGATGCGGTCTGGTGTGATGTAGGTTTCAGAAAACCATTTTATTTATCGTGCCAACGTTTCGATCTTTATTGAGGTCATCTTCAGGGCATGGGATTTACAAACATTGTTTACATTTAACAAATACATTTAGGATGTAGAAAAGTGAATTTATACAATGCAAAATATATTTTTTATATTCAATCAAAGTATTTCTACTCACTCAAAGTGTTCGTCTTCTGTGTAATTGTGCCATTCTTGCGTGTCGTGTTAAGAGTGCCAGTAAGATTTTGCTGTTTCATGTTTATATACGTTGGATTTTGAAGGGGTGGGGAAGGAAGTCGGTATAGAAAAGACATTTTTGTATAAGCCGTCGGCTTTTTTGAGGTGAAAAGATACCTGGACAAGAGAGTAAAGCAACACATCTATGATTGCAAAAAACCCAAGGAAAATCCTACAGCACTCGCTACCCACCATTTAGAACACCAACACAATTTTGCCTTCAAAAATCAAAAAGTATTACATACGGAACAAAACAAACATAAACGTAATTTCTTAGAAATGGTTTATATCAACACAGATAAATACAGCATCAATTACAGAACAGATACATGTAAACTCGGTCGCAGCTACGCCAATATCATTAATCAAATTCAATAAAGATAACATACATATTTCGTCACATCACATTCCACACATCAAATATTTTTCACATAGTCTAATTGTCCAACAATTTAGCTTTCCTTTTCCTATTTATCCCTTTCTATATAATCCTGAAAGGATAATCTGGCCGAATCATTACCAACACATTGTTTCCCTTCGTCGGCTTTTTCACCTCCAAGAAGCCGACGCCATACACAAAAATGTCATTTCTATACCGACTTCCTTCCCCACCCTTTCAAAATCCAACGTATATAAACATAAAACAGCATAATCTCAATGGCACTCTCAACACGACACGCAAGAATGTCACAATTACACAGAAGCCTGATGTGAGGGAAAGGAAAAGGAAAGCTAAATTGTTGGACAATTAGACTATGTGAAAAATATTTGATGTGTGGAATGTGATGTGATGAAATATGTATGTTATCTTTATTGAATTTGATTAATGATATTGGCGTAGCTGCGACCGAGTTTACATGTATCTGTTCTGTAATTGATGCTGTATTTATCTGTGTTGATATAAACCATTTCTAAGAAATTACGTTTATGTTTGTTTCGTTCCGTATGTAATACTTTTGGATTTTTGAAGGCAAAATTGTGTTGGTGTTCTAAATGGTGGGTAGCGAGTGCTGTAGGATTTTGCTTGGGTTTTTTGCAATCATAGATGTGTTGCTTTACTCTCTTGTCCAGGTATCTTTTCACCTCAAAAAAGCCGACGGCTTATACAAAAATGTCTTTTCTATACCGACTTCCTTCCCCACCCCTTCAAAATCCAACGTATATAAACATGAAACAGCAAAATCTTACTGGCACTCTTAACACGACACGCAAGAATGGCACAATTACACAGAAGACGAACACTTTGAGTGAGTAGAAATACTTTGATTGAATATAACAAATATATTTTGCATTGTATAAATTCACTTTTCCACATCCTAAATGTATTTGTTAAATGTAAACAATGTTTGTAAATCCCAGGCCCTGAAGATGATCTCAATAAAGATCGAAACGTTGGCACGATAGAAAATGTTTTTCTGAAACCTACATCACACCAGACCGCATCTCACGATTTCTGAACAATTATCGATTAACGGTCACTAATCACTACACAGTTGATATTATTTGTAATTTTCGTTTTTGCAGATGATTAATTTTGGTAAATATCCGTTGTTGATGTATAACATTCCACTGCGTACCTAATTAGAGATTTAAACAAAAATTTTACGCTACTAGGAAGGTTTAATTAAGGAAGCATTGGCTCAACTAATTTGGAGAAAGAATTTCTTATTTTCAACATTAGAAATATCGACCATGTTTTTACTCATATACTCTCTGGAAGATATGGTCTTGAAAAAGAAATCAAATTCAGTTGTTACTGCCAAGTCTTCGGCTTATTTTAAGGTCATCATCAGGGCAAAAAATCTTCAATATTTTATTGTTAGATTGATTAAGGGATTCTTTCTGTGTGGTTCACATGACAGATTTGAATCTGAAGTTAGGCCCAAATAAGTTGTTTCGTTTACCACGTTCAGGAAGGCGTTGTAAGTCACATGTCAACGGATTTGAATCCCTTGAGTTTATGACAAGCACGGACATGAATGACATAAACAATGTCTGGCTGGCCAAGATGTCTGCCCTGATCCCATCTAGTCTGGATTTATCAATAACTTTTGTTCATAAGACGTATTCAAGAATGATTGAGCTTTTGGTATAGCTGACATATGATCAATATTCACCTACAAAAGTGCGGCGTCATCTTCTTATAAAAATATCCAATTTTGAAAAGAATCACCGAACTAATCAGCAGTTTTTGCTGTCTCGTGTCTATTAGTCGAATAGTTATGAAAAATGTTAATGGTGTTTTAATTGATATGAGCCTTTTTGAAGCATTCAACCAACTTACAATAGTATCAAATGCCCCACAATAATCCACAAAGAAACAAAACCTACGATAAAGCAGTTTTGTTTTAGTTAGTTATTTAGTTAGCAACAGAGTCCACAGTACAGTTTCCGTTCCTTTTCATTTTTGAAAAATTGTAAAAAAAAATCAACGTTTTTAGACCACTGATATTTAATTAGTTAATCCTTATAAAACTTTAACAATAGTTGCCTTGACCTCGTTCTGAACTCAAACTGGCAAGTGGCAAATATTGATCAACTGATGATCGCAAGGTCGAAACGAACCTGGTAAATTGCGAGTTAAAGCGTACCCCTTAGATGACTAATGAACAAACATGTGACATGAATCCGTGTTCACTTTGTAGGAGGCACTAATCTGTATAAACGTTTGTTACTAACAGTGGGAACTAGGAGGAAAACAGAAACTTGCAAGAGTTTTCTGTAAATGGCCAAAATTCCCTGCAGGAATTTATGATTTAAAATGCAATTTTTGAATTCCGCGTATTGATTCTATAGTAATATGTAAGCAAACCATATTTATACGGTAAGCACCCTGTGAGCTTAATCTAAATATTTAAACCGGTAAACAACAATCTTTTTTAAAAATTATTTTTGTTCACCTATCATTGCTTCATTTCTAAAATCCTGAAACGAATATTAAACAAATATAATTTAATTATTTAAAATGTTTATTTTCTCAGCTTCTAGGTGCAATTTAATATTCAGGCAAGTGCATAACATTCGGTAACACCAAAAAAGTTTCAGTAAAATCTGTGATCTTCCCTTTGCTGGTACGAGTTTCCACATGTCCGAGCGAAGTTCTTTTGTAGAAGTGAAGATTGATACTTTGTAACATGGGTAATTGACCGATGTGATAATTTCACTCCGAAAGGGAAAAATGCTGTTGAGAATGTATTAAATGGGACGACAGCAAACTGCCACCGTTGCGTAGTAAGGGTTCTTCAAAGAAAAAGTAAAAAAAATAAAATGGGTACTAGGAAGTCTGGGTTACCCAAGCACTGTAGCTTTCTGGATTATTGTAATTTTCTAGTTCCATAGTTCAATGCAATGGACTCGATCCTTCTCCTTAGGGGTACTAGGTCTTTTATCACATCTATGTGTTTAGTCGTCCCTTCCTATATCAGTAGATTAATTAAGGTTTGTAGTAGAGATAAAAAGTCAGTGTCACGAACGGAATTCGAACCCACGACCTTCGGCTTGATACGCCGCTACTCTACCACTTGAGCTATCGTGACTTCGATCCTCTAGGGCACTAACTTCCCATCTCAATACCACCTTTTTTTTAATGTGTGGTGGTTAGTGACCACACATTGACGATATAATGACGATAATTATTCAGAAATCGTGAGATGCGGTCTGGTGTGAACGTTTTTTGAATTTTACCTCCGTTTTGCCATTTTTCAAATGTCGTGTAATCTATTTGATTCTCTCCGTGGCCATTTCATTTGTCGCCGAGAATCAAATAGATTACACGAAATTTGAAAAATGGCAAAAAGGAGGGAAAATTCATAAAAAGATGGGGTGAGATGGGAAGTTAGTGTCCGAGTGGATCGAAGTCACGATAGCTCAAGTGGTAGAGTAGCTGCGTATCAAGCCGAAGGTCGTGGATTCGAATCCCTCTCGTGACAATGACTTTTATCTCAACTAAAAACCTTAATTAATTGTTAATATTAATTGGTCAAGTGGATCACGAAAAATAGTGAATTTAATGGACTATATTCCCGGCTGTTGTGGGGGTTATAGCACCTGTAGAATTTTTAGAATTGGAGAATTCTATATTCGTTTTTAGTTATCCCAAGAGTAAGTTCAGGGCCTATAATGGTCTTGCGGATCCTCGCCTGACGGGAGCGTTTGAATTTTCGTTGCACAAAGTTCTCATGCGTCCCTGGTACCCAAGATATTATCCGGTTTTTGTGTTTCCCCAGGTTTTGGAGATTTCAGACCCATTCACTGTATTAATTTTTAAGAACAGGTGTTTGATTTTATTAATTATTTCCGTGTGCCCGAATTGTTTAGTTCGCACAAGTTTAAATAATTTTGGAGATTAAATGAGGTTTTCCTCGTTTCTCCGTGTATAAATGTTTCAAATGGAGGTAGATTTAGAAGTGTTTCTAGTGCAATTGAAATGGTTATTTTCATTGCATTGTGATGCATAGGTTTGCATGCCTTTGTATACTGCCTAATGTTTGGGTTGCTTGGTTTTGCTGGTGCTTTGTTCCACCAGATTAGAAAGCAATAGAGTAACTAGGGTCTTATTGTAATGGGCCATATTCTGTTTTAGTCCACAAGATTTGCCGAAAGTTCTTCTTGTCGAGATTCGTGACATTTTACTTTTTGTTATGATGTGCTGGAAGTGAGGGTTCTAGGTTAATTTATATCAAAGATTATCCCTCTTTTTTGAACTACAGAATTTCATTATAAAAGTATAGGCCTTGTATTCTATGTAATAGTAGTAATAATACTAAGTAATAAGGAAGGCACTATTAAGAAAACAATTAAAAAAGTTCTTTTTATATAAGGGCTTGGTTGAGATAAAAAAAGTCAGTGTCACGAGCGGGATTCGAACCCACGACCTTCCGCTATATACGCCGCTGCTCTACCACTTGAGCTATCGTGACATCGATTTCTCTCGGACACCAACACTACATCTAAACCTACAACCATTCGAATTTTCCCTGTTTTTGCCATTTTCAAATGTCGTGTAATCAGGATTCGATTCGACAGCTCAAGTTGTAGAGCAGCGGAGAATTTAGACGAAGGTCGTGGGTTCGAATCCCGCTCATGTCACTGACTTTTTATCTCAACCAAGCCCTTACCTAAAATGAATAATTAATTGAAAGAACTAACTTGGTCAACTGACCACTAAAACGTAAATTGATTTAAAACAGAGCAAAAAAAATTGTTGAAAACGCCCAAACCATTAAATATATTTGGTTTCCTACTTAATTTTTCTACTCCAAAATACCATTATCTTGTTTATAAACTAAAAAAATTGGTTGTGTAGTCCAAATTTTTTACCTTTAGTTTTTTTCTTTTATATTAAAATTCTTTTTTTGCAAAATATTAAAAAGTAGAAAATTTAAATGGGTTTTAAAGTACCTTTAATGAATAATTTCTGTTTTGCAAACCTGAACTGATGAAATTCATTTTTATCAATAACACCTAAACGTTCTCGAAAGGTGCTTGCTCTTTTAATCCGTTTTGCCGTTTTGGGTCAACATGGCTGTTATCTTAGAGGAAAAACAAAATCGGATAAGGAGTCGTCGAGTTGAAGCGGTTTTGCTTTCAACCCACATCGTCCAAATGTGTAATGCATGTCATTTTTAAAATTTCTATTACGTATATATTTTATTAATAAATCCGCTGTGGGAGTTTCACCGGGAATTTTTAAGCCTATCGTTGATTTTTTTTCTCGCTTTTTTAAAATGGAAATATTTTTAAAGAACTTTCAACATAATCTTGAATGCATTTTTTCCTAGGGCCATCCGCTAATTCGTAAATAAAATTGTATCAATATTCAATAAAAGCTGGAAAAAAAAACCCAACGTAATCACAATAAAAGGGACGTAATTTTGGAAAATGTCGGAAAACGAATTTTCGGATCACAGCGTCAGCTCGGCTAGCAGCGTGGAAAGGTCGCACGACCACCATGCAGAGTATAAAATCAACTTGATCATGTGCATGGACATAATCGGCGACGTCCATTTCGCCTTGGACGAGCCGGTGCACATGGTGAGCTACATGTACGACACTTTCAAGAACGAAGGTGAAAACTACACAGGAACTATAACACGTGCCAAGGCGAATTTCAAACGCGAAAAGGACGATGTGGAAGAAGTAAAAAGTTACATAATTAAAGAGGACAGAATGACTGGTCCACGCCAAGGAGAAGGATTCTTTAAAATTGAAACATATGTGAGTGAAAAATCACTTAAATTTTAAACTAACTCAAAAAATAACGGAGTTGAAAATATATTATTATATCAATATCACAATTTAGTTTAAATTGTAAAATAAATTTTAAGAATTCGGTCCTTGAAAAACGCATTTCATCCTCTAAAATTGCATGTATACTCTAATAAATTACTTTCTAATTTTCTGCTTTTTTTCATTAACATTTTTTTAGAAAGTATAAATCCAATCATTTTTTCACACATACTTTCTTTCATATTTTACCTATTTATCGCCATTAAATAAAAAGTAAAAAAAGTCTAAAAACAATAGTAAGTGGATATATGTAAATTCTAAGTCATTGAATTATTTTCTCATTAAACTTAAGTAATAAATTTATTATGTCATGGCCTTTAGTTTTAAATAAAAATGCCAAATCATAATAGCCAAAAAAAAGTTTCTCAATGACCTTACAAAAATTAAGTGTCAACTTTATCTTCACATTCATGTGACATTAGTATTATAACTGCAATGATGCTGATAATTCTTTTCTGAAAAATTAATTCATAATTTTTTTACATAAGTAAATTATAAAATTACATTTACATACATAATTATGTAACATACAAACGGGAAACACTAAACTCGGATTGTTTGAATTGGTTTAATATTCCATTTATGGAAAAAGTGGTACATAAAAACTGGAAGAAATGCAAAAATTTAGAAATGATTTATTATGAACACCATCAATATAAAGAAAGCAATAACATTGATTCTTTGGTTAAATATATTCATCATTTTTATTAAAAATTTATTTATATTTATTTAAATTGGTTGTATAATCAGCATGAATTTCGTACTGTTATAACTATTTTCCAAGCTGTGTAAAAACCCATGTTCGTTGCAATACTTCATTACAATGAATAGTAATTTAATGTCAAATTGATAGATAAGCTAAACTATTTCAATGCAGATGTACGAGTCAATTTTACCGAAAATGGATCTTCTAATATACGATGCTCAATTGCCTTCTAATGAAAAGCTCTGGTGCGAATACATCGGAAGCCGGAAGTACCACACAATCATACTCAGCGATCTGTGCGTAAGTAGAAATTGGTGAACTTTGGGTGTTACCATATACCACTAATTGTGTTATTCTCGTTGCAGGCCCAAGGGTTCACTCTTCCGAACAGACGAGAAGGCCTGAACGACAGGCAGGCAGTTCTCACGGTGAGAAATTTGGCCAAATTTCACGCCATGTCCAAAGTGCTGATAAAAAAGGGTACTATCACTAAAAATGATTTTGGTCCGCGTTACACCTGCTTGAAGGAGGCTCCAGAAGTGACACGACAGCTTTACCAAGGAGGACTGAAGCAACTCGTAAGGTCGATGAGACAATGGCCCGAAGAATGGTAACATAAAGCCGGTGTTATTATGTTTTTATTTTTACAATGATAAATAGAAATATAAAATTAAAAATTTAAAAAAATAAATTAGTATGTCTCGTCACTTCAAATAACACTACAACTTTGCCTTATTACACTCTCTCTCTCTCTCTCTCTCTCTCTCTCTCTCTCTCTCTATCTATCTATCTCTATCTCTCTATATATCTCTATCTCTCTATCTATCTACCTTTATGTATACTTTTTATGTATATATGTATGTATGTGTATATATGTACAAAAAGACTCTATCAAATTATACAGTCTACCCATTTAACTTTAGCAAAAAATGTGTGGTGATTAGTGACCGTTAATCGATATTTATTTAGAAATCGTGAATGCGGTCTGGTGTGATGTAGGTTCCAGAAAAACATTTTCTTTATCGTGCCAACGTTTCGATCTTTATTGAGATCATCTTCAGGGCCTGGGATTTACNTTGAGCCCTGAAGATGATCTCAATAAAGATCGAAACGTTGGCACGATAAAGAAAATGTTTTTCTGGAACCTACATCACACCAGACCGAATCTCACGATTTCTAAATAAATTAGCAAAAAATGTTCTTATACAAATCCCACGTTAATTTTAGCTATAAGAATCGCATTGTGGTAACAGATTTAACATACATTTCTCATATAGCTGGGGATTGACACTGGCTTTGTTATTTTAAATGAGAATCCCGTGTTTTTAATGAAGAATTCGAATTTATAGCTTATTTTATGCCACTTTTACTGAAGGGAAAATTTTGACAAGTTCGACCTTTTCTAGTTAGGCACGACGTCCACAAAAAAGCATAACCCCATTCTCGCGTGTTCCGTTGGGCATCATCAAAACCCCGTATTAAAAAAAGAATTCATCAATCAATGAACTACACAATAATCTACTAGTACGACAATTATTACTTCCAACCTTATCCTTTAGGACTATTGAAGCGAAAGTAGCTCCCGAGACTCATTGAGAGAAGATTGAGTAGGTTTCAGTGTTGATAGAGGACAACTTCTCCTACAAGCGACTTCAAATGGCAAATTCAGCATATATTTACTAAATACAATATTAGCAGTTGTAAATATCAAATAAATTGAATAAAAAAGTTTTAAAAAACTTTTATATACTGTTTAGGAAAGAGGTGACAGATAGGGTGGCACTTCAGATAGACGTTATTTTAGAAAAGCTACGTGCCATACACGAAGAGCCGTATGACGACAGTTTTGAAGTGCTGAACCACGGCGACCTTTGGTCTTGCAACATGATGTTCAAAAACGACGATGATGGCCAGCCCGAAGAGATAAGGTATTATCGTGTTGTTAAAGAATAACGCCAAATTATTTCACAATTGATTTTTAGATTTGTAGACTACCAAGTCTGCCACGTCCACTCGTTAGCCTGGGACTTAATCCATTTGTTGTACAGCAGCTTCAACTCGAATCTGCGTCAGTCGATCTTCGACAAGCTTATAACCTTGTACCATAGCAGCTTGGACGAATACATGAAGGTTTTCAACTGTAAAAGTCCTGTACCTTCGCTGGCGGGAATCCTGCGCGAAATGGATCGCTTCGCGTATTATAGCTTCGTCGTAACAGCCATTAACTTTCCTCTCGCGACTACCCACAAAACCAAGGCTTTCAACTTAGAAAGGCTTATCAAACCGAAGAAAAACCGCCGCAAGTCACCTTTTTCTCGTGGCATTTATTCCATGAACAAAGTCATCGATACAGTAGGGGAACAACTGAAAACTATGGTCACCAAAGGAATCATCTGATCTACTTTTATTTATTATTAGAATGTAATTTCAATATTTAAAATAAGCAATCGTGTCGTTTAATCAATTAACAATTGTACTTATTTATGTATTTTTTTATTCCACAAAGATCTTTGCTCATGTTTAGTATTAATGTTATATCAATGTTTAATTGTAAGACAGTGTTGTGTTTTTTATACTCTATGTATTTATTCATATTTATTTGTTTAACAAAAATGAATGCATTTTAAAAATGCATCATTATATTTATTCTTTGTTAACAATATTTTTTATGAAAAACATGTAACAAAATATTAAACACAATTCCATTTTATGAAAAATATTAACATCAACAAATTGTTTTAAAATTTAAGAAAATGTTGTACACTGTATTAAACCGTTTTATTAATCGTTTTATTTATGGATTATTTGTATAAATATAATTTTTTTTATCACATTTAATTAAAATTATTAGCTTTTTAAAGCGGGTATCTTGTATTTGCAAAAACATCTGGCTAAGGGAATTTTTATGAAATGACAAATTAAATGCCTCTGGACTGGACAAAAAGCAGACCAAGGATGATTTGTCAGCCTACTGGAAACGAAGTTAAAATATAAACGGTTCCATACATTTTGCAAGATCTAACTGGGAGTAAAGAAACTATATTTACGGCCAATTCTAACGAAGGTTGATTGAAAAACAATTTTCTTTATAAAACGTAATTAGCTGTCAAATTAAACAACACAAAAATGTTTTAAAAATATCCAAACGCAAGTTTTTTTAAAATACATAACAGAGAGAGAGAATTATCAGACTTAGTCACATAACTAATATTATCATAGTGATGTTTTTATATTCTGATGAGTATTACAGGCAGAAAAAAAATTGAATAAACTTCAAGCCCTCCCGGGCATGAGGGTACACTGCGTCCACACATATTACACCCCCCTAACTACACTTACACTGACATAAGCACACTAACAGTACACACCCTAGGGCTACCGTCCTTAGGAAGGTTCTTAAGACGAACTAAAAATCTCACGTCCTGGGATTGGCGACCCAGTGAGTACATAACTCCGCCACACCTAACACTTGGTGGAGTGAGGGCGGGGAATTGGACGGTGTCTGGGCCACAGTCAGCATGCCACCACTAATACACTGACCGATGCCCGCGGCCTCGCCTCGGAACCCGAATATAACAAACGCAAATTACCGTGCACAAAACACAACATACAATTATCATCTGGAGGGGTGGATCCACCGGTTTCTTTGGTGTCCTTGAAACCTGCTACTGAAAACTGGGTTACGGCACTCCCGGGCCGCTAGGTAGTCCATGGACCCGAACCCCAGACTTGCAACTGGGGAGGCTGTCCTATCACCTCGTGTATAATGTTGTGGTGCCTAGTACCGACAGCTGGCGACTGGATGGTTACCGTCCTGGGCACCGCGGCTGGCCCTGCTGAGGACACGCAGGGTGCGGGCAGATCGGAGAAGCACCCGAACGGGACGGGGGATCACCTCCAAAGGCTGAGGATTGCACTCACATGGTACACATACGATCTTACAGACAAAACATAAAACTAATGACGATGAAAAATGTGAAAAATTGGAACAAGGAGTAAAAGTGTCTACTCCGCCTAACCCAGGCCCAACCAGCCCGACACCCTCCCATCCTAACACTCCATAAGTAAAGTCTATTTACAACCAATTGTAACGATTACTGTGTAAAACATAATTGTTTATTTGTTCAATTTCCAAATTAAACAGAAAAAAATGTTTTTCAAATTGCCAAAACGCAATATTTTTAAATATATAATGCTTATTTATCAATAAAAATATTTTTGAGGGTTATTTACCTTATTAAGTAATGATATTGTGGTGCTGGTTATCTATTTTAATTAATCTTTAGGATACAATAAAATTTTGTCCAAAACAAATATTTAACAAATATATATTTTAACTAAAATACCATATAATGTGCTGAATCAAACAATAAATATCAAACAAGACAAAAAGTAGTGACTAATATTTTTATATCGAAAGTAAACGCTAATTTTTACTTTAATTAGTCATTAAATGTTGTTTTTAAGTCTCTTTACAATCATAAAATTAATTGTAACAAATTTAATTCTTATTATGATTTTAAAAAATTTGTTACTGTAAAAAAATTTTAAATTTATAATTTGAACTTTCCTTGTGGTATATTTGGCATCATATGGCTATTATGGTATTATTTAATTTTATCTTTAGTTGAATTTATTGCATTTTATTTTATTTTTGTTTTCTCTCTTCATTATTTTTGTTTATTCTTTCATTTATTTAGTCCTATACACCTTCTCAATCCTTTTGAATTAATTTTTAGCAATTTCGTTTACTGACATAACTCCTGCCACCTGTTACCTAAAAGCAGAGCTTGTGACAGGTGAAAATGTGCAGATTGATTAAATTACTTAATTTTACTTATGGTTTTATTATTTTATCCTTAATTTTTTTCTTTATTTATGTTTTATCTTACTGTAGTACTGTACTTTTCGCAAGTAAGTTTATTGTTATTATTATTATCAATCTTTCGGGTGCAATAAAATGTCGTCAATAACAAAAATTTACCAAATATATATTGTAACTAAAATACGATATAATATGCCTTTTTTGTATTATCACTTCCTTTACCATCCATATTAACAATATATTTATATTTTCCCAGCCGTGAAAATAACGAACTTGTTTGCCTGCCATCTCGGTTGAAGACGTACGTTGGTTTTGAAACCATATTTTTGTAACGTAACGGCCATAGAGAAATAAAACGGCCTTTTCTCAATATTTCAGGATGAATAAACCGTTTCGGATATCTCGGTTGGGTTATTTTCAACGGGTGGCACATTTCCGCTGATCTATAAAGGTATATCGCTGGACAAAACACCCACCAAAAAACTACTAGTAGAAAATCGTAGCTACATTTGTCAGTCGCTAAGCGGTTGGTGAAAACTGTTATGCTTTTAAAGAAAAAAAATGAAAACTTACACTCAAACTCTCAAATCACGTACAGAACTTTAATCACTCTGAAAGTACTAGATTTTGCATCAGAAATGAGCTTAGTTTTAAACAACGAAATCATAAGCAAATAATTAAGCAGTGGAAGTCGTTTAGGTTGCAATGCATTTTTTTTAATGGGTCTATATGACTCTACAGTTGCAAAACCCTGTAAAAAAAAAAGAAAATCTCTTCTCTTAGGACTTGCTGTATATTGCTTAAAAAGAGGTACCATTCCTACCAAATGAACTTGATAACATGCCGAGCGCGCCTGGGAAAAAACAGGGAGGATAAGCTGGCCATAATGATAGGAAATTACAAATTTACAACTCTAATTTGTTTTTATGGAAATGAATTATATTTTAACGGCCTTATCGAAGATATTAAGCCAATTTCAATCACAAAGGAAGCAGTCCAAATTTAACATGGGGATGCATGTATGCAACGCTTTTAAATCACAAAGGCGGATCACAAAAATAAATAATAAGCTGAAATATACAAACACAAAAACAAATTATGCAGCAGTAATAATTACAAAACAGGAACTTTTTTTAACTTAAACATATAAATATATTAACAATTAAATAAATAATATAGGATTCAGAAGCAGACTGCTCTAATATGTTTATATTACACTCCTTATAAAATCGATAAATAAATTCATTTATTCTCCGTTCCTCTGGTTCCTTAGAACCTTTTAGAATAGTTAGGAGCTTAAATTGAAAAGCCTATTTATATGTTGTAGGGTATCAAACTTTTTTAAAAGAAAAGTTCACTGTGTGACGCCTACTCTTAACATTAGGAACATATGTTCCTGAATTTCTACTAAGTCGTAGGTTTCACAGTTTGGATATGGTCTTTGTCCAATTCTACAAATACAATGTCCAAATTTTCAAGGGTGACATATGTGTGAAGATGGATCTCCCTCTTCCTTCAACCTGAAACCATCGTTTATTCTAAATCACCGGAATAAGGAACGATAATATTTTCCCACTTCAACGACATCGTACAGCATTTGACACTTTGTTATTGTTTCCCTTTTAACAATCATTATGAGGTAGGCAGGGTTATTGGAGTTTCCAGGGGGATAACTTTAATTGTTGCTTCATTGGCTAATTCATTGACTCTTTCGTTATATTTAATGCCAACGTGTCTTTTAACCATGCATATCATTATAGTCTTGAATTTTTAACTTAATTTTTTTACACCCGACTCTTGTTAATTCGGAACTTGAGAATTCGATTTTTTTTTATAATGTGTGGTGTTTAGTGACCGCTACTTGATGACTATTTGGAGGTCGTGAGATGCGGTCTGTGTGACGAACGTTTTAGAAAAACATTTTCTTTATCGTGCCAATGTTTCGATCTTTATTGAGATCATCTTCAGAGCTCAAAGTGTTTGTTTTCCGTGTAAATGTGTCATTCTTGTCTGTCGTGTTGAGAGTATTTCTTGATAATACGAAAGCCCCAGCAGGTTACTTTGGTAAATCGAAAAATTTCGGTGTATTTTGATATAATCGGCAATACTAAATATTTTTCGTGTCGGAGGGGAAATATCATGATATAAATCGAAATGGAGCCACGTCCCCTCTTTATAATTCGAACACTCTCTTTGTAAAATTCCTCCACATTTTCACGGATTTTTTAATTCTTAACAGCTTAAAGTGTTTCTTGAAGATTCTCTAGATTGTTATGTTCGGCGGTTAGTGTTTTCAATGGATTCTGAGCATTTTTTTTTTTTTTTTTTTTTTTTTTTNGTTATTGTGAAAAAAGGCCAGAGGCGACGGTGGGAATCGAACCCACGACCGCGGCGTGAGAGTCTCTCATGCTAACCACTCGGCTACCGCGGTCCCCCGATTCTGAGCATTGGTACTCTGGAAAATCATTTAAACAAAATATTGGCCACATTGAAACAGTACCGCTTCACAGTTTTTCTTTAAATAAGACATAACAATGTTCAATTTTACTATTGACTTATTTCGGTTTTTTCATTATTTTTACTATGTTTTATGTATAATTTAAATAATAAAATGGAAAAATTAATGTTAGGTCGGCTGCAATATATTACACTTGAATCCTCTAACTTTTATTTCACATAATGATAAAATTACATTCAGATTACATACAATAATTTATCCTTATCTCTTGGATTAAGCGACGGGGCTCGCGAATTCCACGGGCTACCAGGCTACCGACAGAAGAAGGAACCAGTGACTCACCTTTCGCCAGAACACACACTCCGACCAAAAGAAGTGCTCTCAGGATCATTCCTCCTATTGATTTTGGTATTCCCACTAAGACTCTTCTCGTATCTCGACACGAACTGATTCGTGTCCAATAATGTTTTTCTAACCTTCCCACGGAGTCCGAGAGGTCCGGAATGTCAGCGTCAGAGTATGGTCCACCCCCTTCTATTTCAATCTGTTAATTAGCATTCGCGAGGCCCGTCGCTTAATTACACCTTAAAAACTAAAACCCACTTATCCCATTACACTATCCCCCACAGAACAAACGTTGGTGTCCAGGAGAGACCAACTTTCTTCATCCCTCTTCCTCGCCTGTGTTTCGCCAAGGATAGCCTGTAGCTGGAGCAATTTCTGTCCTCACCGTCGACCCGTGTATAGTGAAGGAGCGCCACCGGTCTTTCCATGTCCAAGGCAGGAGTACTATCGCTAGGACGGCGACCAAAATTCCGCCTACCCCTGTTTTAGGCGTTACTCTCTCGGATCCTGCCCTTTCCCTTACCTCTTGTACATGGCGAACTAGGGCACCTAACTTCACATCGTGTGCTTCGAAGTTGAAATACTCGATGGCATTCTATCTTCAAGTGTATCCAGTAGGGTATCTTTCAACCAGCTCGCCACAGCGGGTGTCAATTTCTGCAATTTCGAAGAGTCCGGAAACAATCGGCGTACCTTCACGAAGGTGGTTCCTGTTCATGATGAGGGCAGCAGTAGGTGACGATGGTGGTCATCCACACCGTCCGCATGATGAGTTGGACAGGAGGATGAGGTCGTGCGGTGACGTGCAACTTATAACCTATCCCGCCCCCGCGGGCTTTTACATTCTCGTGGCGCCACTGTTAAGGTCTCCTAGGAGGCTGAACAAAAAGAGACCTGCAAATCTCACGAATCGATGGATGGGGGTGTAGCAAATACGCGGCTGTTGGGTCGGTCGTTCCTTGGAGGGTCTCGTGAGAGATGCCGAAGAGGTTCGTGTGGTCCCGGCGGTCGTTTGTGAAATTGGCTTGTGTGATGGGCGTCTGCTCGTTGGAGGATCTTATTGGGGATGCCGCAGAAGAAGGGTTGCTCTTGCGACCGGCTAAGATAGAGGTGGCGGACGGCAGCGGGAAGGACTTCGAGGTTCGGACAGGGGCCCAAGACAGGTGTCCCCGGGGTCTGAGCCCGAATATTTGACCGCTGTCGATCTTGCACCGGGGGAGAAGTAGTGCACCTCCCCCTTCCCGTCATTGAGGGAGAAATCTCAGAGGTGAACTGAAAGGGAATAGGCCGGCGGGGAGTTGCCCTTTGGAGGATCTCGGTAGGATACCGCAGAAGAGGTGTGGGTGCTCCGAAGCGGGCGATAGGGGACTGAGTGTGGGGTCGCTCCCTGGAGGATCTCGTTCGGAATTCCGCAGAGGGAAGATTCTCCCGTGTGGTCGACTATGTTAAAGACTGTTGTCTTTGAGAGTGAGGGTTCTCTCATTTGTTTCCTCCATGTGCGATTTTTAGGGTGCAAATCGCTGAGGAATAGCTCTCGGTAGGGGTCCCGAGAGTAAGTCGACTGGAGAAGGCTTGTAGATTTCGGCGCGATGCCGCAGAAGGGGAGATGATTTTCTTCACCTGGCCTTTATTACCAAAAGAAGTCGAGCGTGTGTAAGGGACCTCGGTCCATCCATTCATCTCTGAAATCTTCGCTGCTGGCCTGGCCACGGAGAAAAATAAAACCAAATGGGAACCGCAAAGTAAATAAAACCAAATGGAAACCGCAATGTAAATAAAACCAAATGGAAACCGCAAAAACAAATACCAAATGGAAACCGCAAAGACAAAAGATTGGTATTGTACCGATCACATTTCTCCAAAGTGGCCTGAGCATAGTGGCGGAGTAATGTATCTTGGCCCTGGGGGCGGCGGTTGGCTCTATATTCTAGGGTCCCCCGTCGCTCACCGAAGGGCAACCTACGAGGAGATTGAATTGATTAAATATCCTCAAAGTCACCAAAGTCACCGAACTCGTGTGGGAGAAGATTCTAACAAGCCCGGAGTGGGTGTAGGAACAACCCTTGAGTAGTAACAGGCACCTGCGGGAGCCTGCGAGAGCTCGACTGGGCTTCCGAACCCATGAAGGGCTATTGCGAAGAAAGGGAGCCTATGAGGGCGGGTAGTTTCAGGGGGTGCCCCGCTCCCAGTTGGCTATCTGACCGCTCTGGGTCTCAAGAGAGGCAGCGGAAGGCGTACCCCACGTTATCTGGGCTCGACTGTTCGACTGTTCCCGTTTCTGACGCTGGGAGAGCCTGACCACCTCCCCCTTGCCTCAATGTGCGATTCAGGGGTTCGAATCGCTGAGGAAGAGTCTCTCAAGCCCAGGTGTGAGCAACATTCGGCCTTCGGGGAGTAGCAGGGAGCCTGAACGGAAACTGCGAAAGCCTGAGGAACCGGTCGCCCACCGCGAGCGCACTGATTGTGAAGAGTGAGTGTTTGCGATTGAGGATCCCAATCCGACTCGCGGGATATATTTTCCGCGGACTCGGATTCAACCCCCCGAGGCGACTGGCTGGGATACGGTCGACTAGTTCGGCTTTTGAACGGTCATATCGCCTCACCCACCCTGGGAGTCATGGCCCACTCTATGTGGAACCACGGGGACAACGGGTGGTATAATGTGGTTGAGACTCGAGACCCCGAAACGGCTCACCTCGTGTTCTCTTCCACGGCCCTGTTTCTCAGTCCGAATTCCTTCATTCTATCCTGTGACCTCTCCTAACCCTTGGTTACAAGGGGGTGTCCGGGCACAAAATAATGGTGCAGCCCAGAGGGCGTGGCAACCTCTCTAAAGCACAAGCTGTCTTATGTCGGCCTCAGGGTCTGCAGGGGCGGCGGGGCCTTAGCAGAGTCACACGAGGGCCAGTGCACCAGATCCTGTCTACAAAGATGGGGGAGAGTTGTATGGCCATCTGTACCACGGGGTGACTCAACGTTTCAAAATGTCTTCTATCTGGGACCTTTCGTGAAGCTTGCGTATGGCCAATGTATTATTCCCGTTCCTCACGGGAGACGTTGCGACCGGAGGACGTCATGATCATGCTACAGTCCCTCGAATGCGTAAGTAAGCGATTGGAAAAGGGTAGTGATATCGGCGGTCTTTGACTCGAGTATGCTTTGCATTGTTGTGCGTATGACCGGCGTGGTACCCTTGGAGAAGCGAAGGATCGGACCACCTAGGCTAGACCTATGTAGTCCCTCGATAACGTGCAGCAGGTGTAGGCTGAGCTCGATAAGAGACCTTTTACCGTAGACAGTGCTCATCTAGGGGGTGGGTAGCAATCCCACTATAATCCGAAACCGTTGTCGGGGCGTTCCCGGAAGTTTCTCCGCTGGAGGAGCCTCTACACTCAGAGAGATAGAGTTGCCTTCTCTATCTAGTGAGTACGCGAGGGGGGGACGGGCTGATGTATTTCGGCCCGTTAACCCCTCGCGTGCGGCGTACGACCCGACGCACAATGCGGGCCCGACCATTCGGAATGGACAAGCGGAGAGCGTGGCTACTGACCCTTAGGGGCCGGGACACCACTACACCAATGCTGCGGCGGTAACACTTTTCCGTCGTATGCAGAGGTGCGTCAGCTTTCATCTTGAGAATCAAAACGTCCGATAAGGCCGCATAGGCAAGGTGCGGACGTTAAAGATCCTCTTGTCTTGTTGACGATGAGTAGGTGACGATGTAGATATTTCACATGTTCGAGAATCTGGCAGGAACCCTCAGCCTTCCAATTGTACCACCCTCGTTTCGGAATGCGTCGCATTTCTGCAACACAGGGTGACCGGTGTTTCTCCAGGTAAGTTAAACTGCCATTCCTCGGCGACGCAGTTGAAAGGTGTGCAGTAATTCTCGCTTATTGCAGAGCTTATATACCTTCTCCGTATCCCCGAAGAAGGCCGCACTCGTAACGTACGTGCGTCCCTGGAATGTAGCTGAAAGACAGTCGTACATACTCTGAAAATCTCTGAATCTAAAACATCTACAATCTCTGAAAAATACTTAAAGTCTTCACTTGCTAACAAATAGCGCCAAAATCTGGACAGTGGGGATCGCAGAGCGTAGGCTAGGGTAGCATAGCATCGGGCAGATATGCACGGGGGTATACAATCTTATGGAAAATTGGACTTTGGATTTGTCTCGGGTAGCGTCGCATAGTGTTGCATCGTATTTTTAGTATATTATTAGTCGAGAGATAGTTTGTCCTGGAATAATCACTTACCAAATATCAATAGATGGGGGATACCAAATTGTATAACTATGCTTTCTATAGTAACCGTAAAAAAGTCCTGATTTACCTATCTGAGCATTGAAACTTGTTATATCGATATATTTCAATTAAATGGTGTGTTATGTAATGTGATCTGGAAATTACACATGCTTAATTTAATAGAAATGATAAATTGATCTACCTCCCATTTTAAATATGTACATAAATAATATCAAACATCCAAATAATTAAACTAATTATTTTAATTGTTATTATTTTTATAGTAATTTAATAATATTAAGTATTTACTAGTATAATATTTATTTGTGTTATAATTTCCGCGTTTCGCACGTTCAAATTGAGCTGCTAATTGGAACGTCGCTTTGGCGGAGGTATCAGCGGGTTCACTTTTGGCAATTCATGTCGAGAGACGTGGTTGTAGAAGTCCTTCAACCTGATGATGAGGTAAAAGGCTCGAAATCCGGATCACTGCAAAACAACTTACTGTGAGTAGGAACTATCTTTTTAAAAAGCACATGCTTAATTTTCTGATGATGAGTTCGTGAGAAGATTATGGTAACTTCTTATTAACGAGTAAGGTATTTTATTGATGCAATTTACGTGGTAAAAATATATATTTATTGTGGAATATCGGTAAATAAATATTACACAATTGAAGGTATATTTCAATAACGCTATTATTAAGTTTGTGTTTTTGTTTTTAACACATAATCTTGTAAAATCATATAGTCCCTCTATCCATGAATGCTATGAAGACATCCGCGCAATCCTCTATGGTAGACTCAATGGCGTTGGTCTGGACAGAATTGACTGCAACTTCAAAGTCATTGTATTTTTGCAAGTCCAAAACATTGTCGCTCTTCGACATCATGAAAGGACGTAAAACGGCAACGACGAAAAAGGCGAAATAGTCCACCCTTGCGGCTTCCTTCAGTACTTCGTCGAACGTAGGTGGGGTGCCTTCGAAACCGAAAAATTCCAAGTTACTCCTCAACGATTCCCAATAGACTTTGTAAAAATCTGTCATGTGCTTCTTCCTGACATCGTTCTGAACGCTGGAGTAAAGGAAGTAGATTATGTCCCAGATGTACGAATGGATGTGGCTGACTTGGAAGTCTAGAAACCTTTAAATTGTATTATAAAATTCCATCCGTGGTAAGATGTTATTGTTTTACCTCAAACTTGTAGGGGTCTGACCAGACTCGTCGTATTTAAACATCAAATTACAATTCCAGCAATCACCGTGGTTTAGTACTTTAAAGTCCGGTTTTTCATGGACGATCGTTGTCAACTTCGCTTGCGCGACCTCAATTTGAGCCTCCACTCGCTCTGCAACTTTGACCCTAAAAAATATGTATACAATAAATTGTAATTTGATTTCTTTTTAAATTCCCAAAATTGTCACGATGTAAAATGTGAGAGTTATGTCAAATCAACAATGCGCGAATTACATTGAAATGAAAACATGCAAAGGTGGGTGAATGTTTAGCTATCATACCATCAAAAGAACTATAAATTCACCACTTTTTCCGAGTATTATATAATAGTTTACATTTTTTTTAAATGCCATTTTAGAATAAATCTTACTTAGTAATAGTTTTTTTTATTTATTTATTTTTTTTTTTTTTATTAAACTCAACGGTTGCTTTGAAAGGACCTACTGACTAACTATGTTAAAACACCAGTGGATAAGGCAGGGATCGAACCCGCGACCGTCAACGAAAGAGTGGTACCACATCTCTCACATCAACGACCCCACAACTTAGTAATAGTTATAACGTCCTCATGAAGGAGATATATTCCTCGACAGCTTGATGAAGGAACAGAGTTTTTTTTTTTTCAAATTTGCGTTATCCCTGAATTTTATTATATATATATATATTTATATATATATATATATATATATGATTATATTATTAAGGCTTATGCTATAATCATGCAATACATGCACAATAAAGTTAGAAAATCAAATTTAAATAATTCAATTAGCAAGAATTTGAACAGACGCGAAACAAGTTGTGTCGCAAAGAAGGGCCACTGCACGTAGCAGATTTTTTGTCGGCGAACAGTTTAGTTGGCCACATATCATATCGAATTGCGCACATATAACAAACTATATTATGCGTGGTGATTAATGATCGTTAATCGATAATTATTCAGAAATCGTGAGATGCGGTCTGGTGTGATGTAGGTTTCAGAAAAATATTTTCTTTATCGTGCCAACTATCTTTATTGAGATCTTCAGGGCCCAAAGTGTTGTCTTCTGCGTAATTGTGCCATTCTTGCGCGTCGTGTTGAGAGTTGACAACCTACGCTTTATCCTTCCTTTCCCGTCTGTAATAATCCTGAAAAGATGACTAACCTCGCCCGACCCCCAACTTTACATTCACCTCAAAGAAAGGGAATTTCACCTCTACGCCTTACTCTTCATAGAAAAATGAATTTCTTTCCCTACTCCTTCAAAATCTAACACATATAAACAAAAAAAAATATCACACTAACACTCTCAACACGACACACAACCCTAACACATGTAAACAGAAAATACATACTATGAGTGTGTACAAATACCTGAGTGATTAAAATGACTAAACCTAAAATTTCTTCTTTGTGTACATCAATGTATAAATTCATTTTCACATTTTATTTGTATTTATATAATTGAAACAATCTTTGTAAATCTCGGGCCCTAAAGATCTTCTAAAAAAATATCGAAACGTTGGCACAATAAAGAAAATGTTTTTCTAAACCTACATAACTCAAGACCGCATCTCACGATCTCCAAATAATGATTAATTAACGGTTACTAAATAATACACATTTCCACAAAATGAAATACCAACAACATTATTATCAATATGAGATAATATATTTTTTTATGTTTACATAATGGTACAGAGTTCGATATTTTTGGGACGAATTTTCTCAAAAAGTGATGAGATGAGCATGTAAAATTCATTTTATCTTATGGAGAAAATAGTTTTTAAAGTAAAAAGATATACCATATAAAAAATTTAAAGTGATTTCTTTTTTATAAAAATTCCTTTTCCGTGTTCTAAAAACCGTCCTTGAACGTCGGAGCCCCTATTTGTACTATATTGCCTTGGTTTATGAAACAATGCTATGCTCTCTTTGGCACAAAGGGTGTCAGCATTTATAATAACTTTAAAATGTTTGAACAACTGGGATTTTCTCTTCCGATATTGCCTGAGAGGACCTGCAACCTCTATACTAAAAAAGTTTCCGACATTTCTGATTTTAATTAGCCCTTTTGAAGCAAATGTTTGCTGCCGCTTTTAGCATACGTGGCCAAAGCTTAAACTGATGCTCGCAACCCGGAAGGAGTTGTCCGTCCTTTTAAATCGCTGCACAGCAGTTCCAGTGTTTTGAACAATTTTGGAAGTTACTCGCGTATGTCGGTTTGTTAATTTTCGTTAATCAATGATTCTTTTTAATAGAAGTTCAAACAATGTAGGTGGCCTCGTGTGCACACTTGCAGCCCAACTATAAACAGTCGACCGATAGTTTTAATCTGTAGTGCTCGGATGCACTTTCGTTGAAATTTCTGATCCCATGTCCGTCTCCTACTGAACTAAAATATGAGCAACAAAATTTTATAAGAAAAAGTTCAAATTTATTTTAGTAGAAAACTTAAGATTTTTAAACGGATAAGTTGTTTTTTCCCTTCTATTTAGTAACACCAGAGTTATGAACTATATCATTTGAAAATTTTTCATAGTAATATAAAATAAATATTGATATACTAAATACCATTCTCCAGACCAAATTTCTTTCATTGTCTTGGCAACGTTTGTTAATCCTCCTTTCACCATGAGTTCCACAATTTTTGTATCACATGCCAGGAAATTCTTATTGGTATCGTTGTCATTTATAATTCGTTTGTCCAATAGGACTTTAGACATTGCATGGAACCTTCCCAAACATCTGAGGACAAGGTAGGCGTGATTTTCGTCCTGCCCGATTTTTCGGTCAACCATCGTAAACCCTTCGTTCTGAAAATAAATTATGAACAATAAATATTTGAAATTAAAAAAAAAATTAATTGAAAGAAGTAATTTGGCCAATCAGACAACTAAACATAATCGATTGTTTTAAGCGTTAATTCCATAAAGCTCGCCTTTAAATCTGAGAATACGATGGTCTTGTATGGCACGTAACCCAACATGTCACACCACATTTTCCCCCTCCTGTCGTTGAACTGGTCCAGTAGGACTTCCATCTGACTCAGCACGTCGCAATATAACTGTAAATGTCGAGTCAATAGGCTGAAAATTGCTGAACCATTCATTAACTCACTTTAGTTTCTATTCGGAAAACATCGAATTCTAACATAACTTCCAATTCTTTTCCGCTGTGGGCTTGCTTGATGATGACCGTTTTTGTCACCGTCCGTCCGGATCCTAGAACTACAGTCAGCTTTGCACGTTTAATGATGCTAGCATAGTTGGCACCCAATGGTACGGCGTCTTCCAACTCGACATTGACCACGCGTAAGGTGTTGTTTTCATATTCTTGTTTTTTCAAAACAGCTTCGAACCAGTTGGCGTCCATTGCGATCCTTCCTTCTAGGTACAAATATAATTATTTTCTTTCCAATTTAAACCGATTTTAGATAAATGCACATTCCCCCCAACGGCCCAGATTCGCTTATCGATTTACTTGGCCAATAACAAGAGTCCGTCAATAAAACTTCAAATTTTGACGCAGATAAGATTAACAATTGTTTCGCTATCTCAACTATCTCAAAACAGACTTCTTTCTTCAACATATTATATTTCAGACGCGTTGATGCAATCGACTGGTATAAATAAAATAAATACAAAGACATTACGACTAAATAATATTACTATTATGATTATTCGGAGATCGGTCTGGTGTGACATAGGTTTTAGAAAAACTTTTGCTTTATCGTGCCAACGTCTCGATCTTTACTGAGATCATCTTCAGGGCCTAGAAACAAATTGAATTTATACACTGCAAAACTTTTTTTTAAATATATTCAATCAAAGTGATTGTACAGTGATTGAATATAATAAAAAAATTACATTGTATAAATTCAATTTTTTCGTAATCTAAAATTTTCTCGAATTTTATAAATTCATTTTTTTTTATCTAAAATTTTCTAGCATTGTATAAATTCATTTTTTCACATTCTACATTTATTTGTAAAACTTAAACAATGTTTATAAATCCCAGGCCCTGAAGATGTTCTCAATGAAGATCTAAACGTTGGCATGATAAAGAAAATGTTTTTCTAAAACCTATGTCACGCCATCTCACGCAACTCACGAACTCCGAATAATCATTATTATTTATGTTGGAAAAATATAGTTTTCTTCTCACAGACATGAAAGAACCTTCTTTATTAGAACCAATAGTTGTAATAATTTCTTAATTACTTTCAATTAACAGACTGTTTTCCTTTTAAGTTGATTAACAATAAAGCAGCGAAATCGAGAACTCGTTATGTCCGTACAAGCGCTAAGTTCATTGCTACGGAAGTAGTATCGTAACAATCTGATAAACTTTTTTTCTATAAAGCAGCAGCAAACAAATATTAATGTCATAATAGCAAAGTGATGAAAGAAATAATTCTACATATTGATAGATGTATGAATAAAAATATGCAATTATTTATAAAAAATATTATTTAATGTTTTGTTTTTGAATGATTAAATATTTACATCTTTTGTGATATTTTTTTAAATGTATACAAAGTGTTAATGTGTTATTACCATAGAGCATTTGATGTAATATTTACAAATTTAACTTGTATCAGCTGGAGTAGATGTAATGATAATTTATGTTAGATGGTATTTTTGTTTTCATTGAACCCGAGTCAATTCACGTTTGTAAATCTTTTAAATCAGTGTGCCAAGCATTATTTTTAGCATTTAGTCTGTATTGAATTTAAAATTTACGTACCAGGCTGACAAGCGCCGTCCGCTCCGGCCAAAGTTATGAGATAAAATGGGCTCCTTCTCCCAGAGGCGATATTTCAGTCCCCACTACTAAATTTTTTTTGCTGTCCCACTTAGTTTGCAAGCGCTTTACTGTATCTAATCGCAATCGACAACTCGAGTTAAATAACCCTACCTATGAATTAAAAAAAAAAAAGGCATTTTTTTTAAAGATGACCGACTGGTAGTTGTGGCATATCAATTATACTTACACAGGACAGAGAAGAATTTCTTGCATATTAGGTTAATTCTTACAGGATATTACTGTCATCCGGGTATTTTTTAATTGTTATTTTATTTAAAACAAATTTAACACGTTGATAATTATTATGGAAACAAATATATAGAATACCCTGTTCTAAAGATAATAACACGATAAAATAAAATGGCACAAAAAATATTATCTAAATGTGTGATGTTTAGTGACCGTTAGTCGATGATTATTCGGAAATCGTGAGATGCGATCTGGTGTGATGTAGGTTTTAGAAAAACATTTTCTTTATCGTGCTAACGTTTCGATCTTTATTGAGATCATCTGCAGGGCCTGGGTTTTATAAACATTGTTTAAATTTTACAAATACGTGTAGGACAGGGGTGCTCAAACTTGAACTGCTGGCGATCTACCTCAATATTTTTAGACTACTTACGATCGACTCTGAGAGGCTGCAAGTGTGTGTGATGCAGGGTTGTCGTACATACACGATACACCCTACCTACCTAGGTAGGGTGTACCGTAGCATATATAGATATTAGCTTTCTGCACAATATAGGTACATTATCTTAGTCAAGGTTTGGGTTAGGTTTAGTTAGGTTCTTCTCTACAATATCAATGAAAAAACTCATAGTTATTCAAAATTGCGAGTTTATTGGTTGTTACAAAACAAAAGAGTTACATATGGTGTTAAACTTAACTAAGGAGTGGCTTTGGATGTTGAAGCGTGGCACTGCATGTCCTCAGCATACTTTTCATAAGATGGTACGTAACCACTGAGTGCTAATCGCAAGCATGATGACATATGATCGTCAGTTAGTCGATTGCGATATTTTGACTTAATTATCTTCATTTCAGAAAATGCAGACTCGCACAAGTAAGTTGACCCAAAAAATGCCGTCAGTTGAAGGGCGATTTGCCTTACATTCGGATATATATCTTCAGATATAAAACACCAGAAATGTGTATCAGATGCTGTAGCTTTGAGATGTATATCTGATATAATCTGCACCAACTCATTTTCAACAGAAGTTGTAGTTTAGTTACCTACCTACTTATTAAATTTTTTTTTCTTCTCGAGATCTACTCAAAAAGCACTCGCGATCGACTGGTCGATCGCGATCGACCGTTTGAGCACCCCTGGACTGTAGGATGTGAGAAAAAATTTATACAATGCTAGACAATTTTAGATTGAAAAAAATGAATTTATACAATGCTAGAAAATTTTAGATTCAATCAAAATATTTTTACTCACTACATAAACATAAAACAGTAAAATCTCACTGGCACTCTCAACACGACACGCAAGGATGGCACAATTACACAGAAGACAAACACTTTGAGTGAGTAGAAATACTTTGTTTGAATATAAAATATATTTTGCATTGTATAAATTCACTTTTCCACATCCTAAATGTATTTTTTAAATGTAAACATTGTTTGTAAATCCCAGGCCCTGAAGATGATTTCAATAAAAGATCGAAACGTTGGCACGATAAAGAAAATGTTTTTTTGAAACCTACACCACACCCGACCGCATATCACGATATCTGAATAACTATCGATTAACGGTCACTAATCTCTACACATTTCTACACGATAAAGAAAATGTTCTTCTAAAACCTACGTCACACCAGACCGCATCTCACGACCTCCAAATAATTATTGCCTAATTGTTGATTGTCCACCTGACGATGGTCGTACTTTCTTATACAAGATTTCTTATACAAGTTTTCGTCTAATGAACTCGTAATTGGGTCGTTTCCTATTATTCCGGTCCGAATATTTTTTTTCCCAAGCACGTTCGGTATGATATGATGTTCGTTAGCAAGATTGCAACACTTGTTAAAGCAATCCGCAGCAGTGGAAGAAGCAATTGGATGAGCATAAGAAGAACCACTTAGAAGCAGGATCAAAGTACAAGAAGTAATAGCTAAAGAACGGGATAGGACTAGACCAAACACTCAACTACTGAAAAACCGTTCTGCTCTTAATACATCAATTAGATGGATATGATCCTTTAATGAAATCGTAAATCAGTGTAATACCTAAACTTGAATATGGGTATTGATCTGCGAGTCAGTGAAGACATGTTGAACCGGCACAGGGTCTGTCAATACTCTCGAGTTTTGATGGTTTGAGGTTTAACCTCGAGTCACCTTCAGTGAGAAAGTTCATATATTTAAACAATTTTATTTTAATTTTGATATTAAAATTGCTTAAAACGAGTTGTTGAGTGAAATTTGAACCCGAAACTACTGCGCTGAGCAAACACTATTAGAAAGTAAGATGATGGAAACAATAATGTACTAGATCCATTTTATTTTAGGATAGTCTAAGTTATAGTTCAAGGATAGTTCAAGAATAGGGAAACCAAGGATGGTGTTTATTGAAACATCGTTAATGCGCTAACGGAATCACTTAGGATGGATGTTATGTAGTAATGAAATGGAGTATTGCAAAGTTTTGATGGAACGCGTTTTCATTTCGAGTTTTCTTCAGTGAGGAAGTTCATATATTCAGAAAGCTTATTTTATATTAGTTAACAAACGAGGAAATATCTTGAATGAAATCTAAACCCATATATATGGGTATGTGTTTTTAGTGGTGTGCTAAGCAAAAATTATTAGAAGGAAGGTGATGAGGATGATAATGTACCAGATATGACTATCAGAAACCCGTTAAAGAAGTAATAATTGAGATGTAGAAAAGTCTAAGAATGGAAAACAGGGATGGCGTTGTGAAGGAACCCAACTGGCCCGGCCATATAGACTTATAAAACTGGATGCAATGTATTATTAGCAATTTGAAACCATCTTAACCTTTTTCGTTTTCATTGGTATCCTGAAAAGATTGATTATTTTTGGATTGGTCAATGCCGTTGCAGTTTTTAGTGTAACTGATGGTAAAGAATCTGTGATTGTCCTTGATATGTTTGTTGGTGAATGAATTAAAATATATTTATTTCAAGGATCCGAACTATGTAGTGGACAGAAAAGAGTGTGTTGACCTAGACCACGGAGTTTGGACCGTTTGCACGCAATGTCCCGAATCTTGCTTCATAGGGAAACCGATAATCTCAGGCCAATGTACCTCGCCTCCGATTCAAAATTGACAAAGCGTGATAGATTTGGAGGTCATCTAAATAGAGGTGCCCAGTGTAATGATTAAAGATATTAGGAATATAACTAATATAAGTAGGATGAAATAGGGGCATCTGGGACCAACTTCTCCCACCATCCAACTTCGTGGGGTCTGACGGGGAATGTATAGACTTTTGCACCTCCTCGTCCGACTTTCACCTCCCCAATCCTTTCACATTATTTAGAGATACTGGGACCACTCTCTTCCACCCATCCAACTTCATCGAGTCTGACGAGGAATGTATAAACTTTTGCACTTCCCCTCCCCTTCCACCTTACTTGGAGATGCTGAGACTACCTTCTCCCACCCATCCAACTTCATGGGGTCTGACGGGGAATGTATAACCTTTTGCACCTCCCCACCCCTTCCACCATACTTGGAGTTGCTGAGACCACCTTCTCCCACCCATCCAACTTCATGGGTTCTGACGGGCAATGTATAGACCTTTGCACCTCCGCGCCCGAACTTGCACCTCCCCTACCCTTCACATTATTTAGAGATAATGGTCCCATCTTCTGCCACTCATCCACCTTCGAAGTGTCTGACGAGGAATGTATTGACTTTTGCACCTCCTCCAGTCTTCCAACCTATTTGGATATATTGAGACTCCAGTGCCTCTAACCGTATTTAAGACGTGAGTATGCCAGTAGGAGTTGGACATCGGAGGTAATATTTGGCCCAGCCAACACCCTAAATCCTACAGATGAGACATACAACATTGGATAACCACAAAATGGAATATTAATCTTACATTAAGTACTTACATTACAGAACATACACTGATCAAATGAAGAAGGGCATAAAATATATAATTTTCAAGCTATGTGAGAAACGTGTTAATGACAATGATGATGACACTAAAGAAATGTTAACAGTAATATTATAAAAAATATCATAATAACAAATTTGCACTAGTGTATTTGAAATGATCCTTCAAATACAATACACTGTATTTAAAACATTTCAGATATGTGTTTTTAAGTATATTAAGAAACCGCAGACGTAATTTTTGTGACAGTAGATGGAAATGGTGGTCACTGACAAGGGAAATAAAAAAATTGCAGAATTAAGACTTCCTTTGATTTAAATAAATAACTTATGATGAAAGAAATTTTCACAGATTTACCGCGTCCCCCACCGAGTCAGAATCATATAAAAACAGCGGAATACAAATTCACGTTTCATAACATTTTCACTCAAAACCAATATGGCACCACAAGAATAGCACAACTCTTTATGTGAAATACTTGGTTCACAATTTATATTTACAACTTAAACTGTGTTTTTTTCCAATCAATTTACCCAGGCTCTGAAGATGACCCAAATAAAGGTCGAAACGCGTCGAAAAAATGAAAAAAGTGTTTTTCTAAACTACCTCATTCTTGACCGCTCACGACTTCAACGAATTAAATTTTATTAAATTAACCAATATATTCTTGTTAGCTGGATAAAGCAAAATAGAAAATACAAACCGAAAGTTAAAAAAAAAATTGTTAATCCTTATTTTTAATGACGGATTTAGTTAAGAATAGTAAACAGGAACATTAGTCATTTTATAAATAAACATCTTTTCTCTTCTTTTCTCTACCTTTTTATCCATGGAAAGACATCCATTTCCACGGTTAAAGAGAATACAACCGGATTAAAATGGAGAATTAAAAATAATGATTAACATTTTTATTTATTTTTGGTTTGTATATTCCATTTTGCTTTATCCAACTTACAAGAATATATCGATTAATTTAATTAAAATTAAAAAGATAAGAATAAATTACATATATCCCTATTCATTTTTAAGCAGTTTGCATAAGGTTTTCCTCTTCTCCCGAATTCGTTAAGTTTCAAAATTACATATATTATTTAAAAGAAATTTTCATCTGTTTACCTGAGCATTGAAACTTGTTTTTCCACCATTCCAACATATGTCAATTGAATGGTGTTATGTAACTTAGCTTTAAAATTACACCATACTTAATTTTTTCTGATGATGCAATTACGAGGAATGTTACGATGTCCTTCTTAAAAACGGGCAGTTATAAGATTTCTATTCATGCTATTTAGATTAGTTAGCAAAAAATATATTTTTTATATTATTGTTAAGATGTTTAACAGAAAATTTAAAATTATATAGTTCCATTTTCCATGAAGTCTAGGAAGACGTCTTCGCAATCCCCTATGGTAGTTTCAATGGCTTCCTTTTGGACAGCATTGGCTGCGTCTTCCATATTACTGAGTTTGTCCAAGTCAAAAGCTTTGTCGGTCTTCGACATCATGATAGGCCGCAAAACGGCAACAACGAAAAATGCGAAATAGTCCACCCTTTTGGCTTCCTTCAGTACATCGTCGAACGTAGGTGGGGTGCCTTCGAAACCGAAAAATTCCAAGTTACTCCTCAACGATTCCCAATAGACTTTGTAAAAATCTGTCATGTGCTTTTTCCTGACATCGTTCTTAACGCTGGAGTAAAGGAAGTAGATTATGTCCCAGATGTACGAATTGATGTGGCTGACTTGGAAGTCTAGAAATCTTTAAATTGTATTACAAAAATGAATTCGTGAAGAGATGTTATTGTTTTACCTTAAACTTGTCGGGTCCTGACCAGACTCGTCGTATTTAAACATCAAATTGCAATTCCAGCAATCACCGTGGTTTAGTACTTTAAAGTCCGATTTTTCGTGGATGATCGCTTTCAACTTCTCTTGAGCGACCTCAATTTGAGCCTCTACTCGCTCTGCAACTTTGACCCTAAAAAATATGTTAACAGTATTTGCTTTCGTTTCAAATTTACAGAATTTTCGGGAGGTAAAATGTGCTAATTTACATGTCGTAAAATTAACAGTTATTACACAATTTGAATGAAAACATACAAAGAATGGGTAAAGGTCCTTCTACCATAATATCAAAGAAAAAATATTTTACATTTATTTTTACACAAAACCTTTTTCCGTCCATTACTCCCTTACCTATTTACATGTTGTAATCATTAGGAATAGTTTCAAAATCCTGGTGAGGGGCCATTTAATCGACAGCTTGACGAAGCAATTGAGTGTTTTTCTTTCTTTCAAATTTGCTTAATCACTGAATTTGGTTATATATGATTATATTATTAAATCTGATATAAATTACATGAAAATATATAATCTTATTTTTACAAAATCCTGTACATAATGACCTTATCTTAGGTTAAAAAAAATTGACCGCTGTATTATAATTTTGCAATACATACACAATAATGATAAAAAATCATATTTAAAAAATTGTAATTAACTATCCCATAAGCATGATTGTTTGAATAGGGGCCAAACAAGTGTCACCAAAAAGGGCACACACAGCAGACTTTTAACCTGGACGCACACTAGGTGAATGGGGCGGCGGGGCGCGGAATTGAGAAGGTCCGCACACTATATAGGAATCGCTCTCGGCCGCGCTGGTCGAATTTTCCCTCTTCATCTGACTAGCGCTGCAGATTAGTGTTGATTTTGCATTTCCGGGAGTCCCCACGTCACAATCGTTGGCTTCGTTTTTACAAATATGGCGTCCGAGGGCAGCCAAATATACCCGAACTCAACGATTTCCGATCTGGTGGACACTAGGGCGGAAGCGCGGCGCGGCGCGGAGCCGGGTTCCAGAAGTCTTTTCCTTTTCCAAGTTCGGCTCCGCTCCGCCCTACCAGCCTAGTGTGCGGGTTTACATTCCTTTCAATGCATTTTTTTTAGGTCGGTTTCGCGCCGAGTAGGTGATGTTCCAATTATTTTGAACTACTTCGAAAGTTATCCGCGGAAGCCGGTTTGTAAAATGTAATTAATTAATGATTCTTTTTAAGAGAACATCTAATTGGATCTATGACAATAAAATTTGTAAACTCCCGCCAACCGGTAGGAGGCGCAACAAAACCGGGAATGGTGAAGAGAAGGGGGAGCAGCGGCAGGTTGGATCGACGTTTCGAAGAAGAATGGACGCAAGCCGAACATAAAACAACCAAGAATTGGAAGAAACAAAAAGAAGAGCCTTCAACATTTGCTTCCCCCCAAAAGAAGGTTATTGTTATTTTTTTTTTTTTTTGCGTTTGTACAGAAACTGAAGTTAGTTGAACTTATTATTTCATTGTAAATATAGAGTAGACATAATGGAGCTAGCTCGATTTTCTTTTAAAAGGTCATTTTTATTTTGTTAAGTGTTTTCCCCAATTTGTTGACAATGTTTTCATTTTGTTTTTCTATTTTAATAAATTTTTACATTTTTATAAAAGGCCATTTAATCATTTCGCAACCAGTTCTTTTTTTCTTTTAAATTCTTTTAACTTAAGCTTACATTAAGTTTTTTGAACCTATTCTACATTGAGAGATCCAAGAGAGGTAATTAACGCCATAGATCCTAATCTAGAGATCGAAAAATTGGATAAATACTACAACATAGACCACATGCCCCGAAATCGCCCTAATGTTGTTGCGCACTGCGCCAATTAACCCAACAGTTTAGTCGGCCTAGTGAGCGAACTTGTATCCCAAAAGCAAACAGTCGGCCGATAGTATATTAACAAGGAAATTTTATAACAAAACTTATGAACTATATCATTTGGAAATTTTTCACTGTAATGTAAAATAAATTTGATATATTAAATACCTCTCTCCAGACGAAATTTCTTTAATTGTCTTGGCAACATTTCTTACTCCACCTTTCACCATGTGTTCCAAAATTAATGATTCCACTCCGAGGAAAAACTGGTTTGTATCGTTGTCAGTTATAATCCGTTTGTCCAACAGGACTTTGGACATTGCATGGTACCTTCCCAAACATCTGAGGACAAGGTTGGCGTGGTTTTCGTCCTGACCGATTTTTCTGTCAACCATCGTAAACCCTTCGTTCTGAAAATAAATTATCAACAATAATTATTTTAAACTAATTATTCTTTTTGTGTAAGGTCTTGGTTGAAATGAAAAAGTTAGTGTCACGAGCGGGATTCGAAGTAAGCCAAAAGTCGTGGGTTCTAATCCCGCTCGCGACGCTTTTTCATTTCAACCAAGACCTTACATTAAAAAAAAAATTAATTGAAAGAAGTAATTTGGCCAATCAGACAACTAAACATAATCGATTGTTTTAAGCGTTAATTCCATAAAGCTCGCCTTTAAATCTGAGAATACGATGGTCTTGTATGGCACGTAACCCAACATGTCACACCACATTTTCCCCCTCCTGTCGTTGAACTGGTCCAGTAGGATTTCCATTTGACTCAACACGTCACGATACAACTGCAAATTGAGAGTCATTATGCTGAAAGTTGTTGAATCATAAATTAACTCACTTTAGTTTCCATTCTAAAAACATCAAATTCTAACATAACGTCCATTTTTTTTCCGATGTGGGACTGCTTGATGATGACCGTTTTTGTTACCGTCCTTCCGCAACCTAGAACCACAGTCAGCTTCGCACGTTTAATGACACTGGCATAGTTGACACCCGCTGGTACGGCGTCTTCCAACTCGACGCTGACGACACGTAAGGTGCTCTTTTCATATTCTTGCTTTTTCAAAACGGCTTCGAACCAGTTGGAGTCCATTGCGATCTTTCCTTGTAGGCCCTTCGGTACAAATACAATTATTTTCTTTCTTTTCTACTTAAAAGGATTTTAGATAAATGTACATTCCCCCCACCAATAGCCTAGATTCCCTTATCCATTTATTTTGGCAACGCCAAGAGTCGTTCAATAGAACGTTAAATTTAAGATAAGATTACCTATATAGAACAATTGTTTCTCATAAAATATCTTAACAGAAAATTTTAAACACTTTTTTTTTCAACATATAATTCTGAAGAGTTTATACAGTCGACTAATACAAATAAAATAAATACAAACATTTTACGATAATATAATATCACTCATTTATTGGAAAAATACGTTTTCTCCTCAAGGCCTTGACGGAAGAACAGAGAGAACATTCTTTATTAGAACCAATAATTATAACAATTTTAAATAAATCGAACGTTTTGTCTTTTAAGCTGATTAACAAAGACGCGGCGAATTTTAAAACTCGATATGTGCATACAATGTGCCTCGCTGCGTTAATAATTTAGCGATATTTTTTTCTCCAAAGTGATTCGGAATATAAACTTATCGCATTATTCTACAGTCTAACGCAAATAAAATTGATGAATGAAACAATTCTACGGCTTATATTGATCAATACGTAGCCGAAATAATAATAGAGAATGTAATAAAGTTCTATGATAAAAAACAATATAAAAAATGGGTTGTCAAAACGATAATTGTTAGTTAATATTTATTATAATATTATAATTATATAATATCAAAAAATTATATAAAATATATCAAATTAAAATATTAGTTAGTTCATAATTATAAAACTAAATAAACCATTTTCGGCAGATATAAAGTTTATTTACTATTTTTTTAAATTTAGAACATATACATAAATATCTGGGAAAATCTGAAACACGAAAAGGTAAATTTAATGAAACCAAATGGGCCAAAGCTCGCTCAGGTGCCCCTTCTGCAGAGAAAGGTTACTCGATATGTCCCACATACTGAAAACATGTCATGCCTTAGCTCCCTATGGGGAGCGTGTAGGCATGCCATCCAATCTGAAAAGGGTATTCGAGCACTGCAGCGGGTTTCTGGGTCCTCTGTTCCGCTTTTTAGGGGAAATGGGTTTTTTTTATTGTATATAATATGTCTTATGTGTTGTGTGTCTGCTTTGTCAGAGTGCATGTATTTATTAGCGTGAATGGCGATGGGTGAGGGTGAAATATAACGTCATCGTCACACCTTGAACGTTGAGAGCGTATGAGTGTGTGTTCAGGGTCGATGGCCGAATATTTATAAAAGTACTCCATCGATCCCAATCTAGATTAGTTTGAGTCTAATATCAAGTACTCTAATATCAAGTATCACTTCGAATATCAAGTACTCCACCGACCAAACGGAATGAGTGTACTGTATGGATGTATTTATGTGTAAAACGTATTTATTTTTATGAATGTCGTGTTTGAAAGGATAAATAGAGTATAGACTTAGATGGGGGCTGAAATGACCTAGATGTCGGAAGCCCCAGACAAAAAAAAAATAAATGAATAAATAAATAAATAAAAATAAAACCAATCAAATATTGATTAAAAAAGATTATTTAACAATTTATTTTTACTAATCGATATTTAAATAAAAATTTAGAATGCATCGTATTAGGGATAATAACGAGACAGGATAATATCGTCGTACCCCAAAAATATTTCGAAAATGTTGATCGTCCATCTGAAGTTATGATTTTTACACTGTAAATTAGTTAATATTTATTACAATATTAAAATTATATAATATCAAAAAATTATATAAACTATATAATATTAAAATATTAGTTGGTTAATAATTATAAAATTAAATAAACCTTTTTCGGCAGATATAAAGTTTTTCTCTATTTTTTAATCATAAAACAATATATATTAATGTCTGAAAAACTATGTCAGTATAATAAAACTAAGCAAATAATTGGTTAAAAAATTATTTGATGTATTATCACAATTTTTTACGTACTTATTTTTTGGTAATCCATAAATTACACAAAGAACTAGTGTGTTATAACCATTGACTATTTCATGCAATATTTACCAGATGCAATGATGAATTACGTTAGATCATATTTTTGTTTTGATTGGACGCAAATCGATTCAATTTTGGGAATGGTTTTAGGTCTAGTTTAGCATTTAGTTTCTATTGAATATAAAATTTACGTACCAGACTGACGAGAGCAATCCGCTTCGGCCAAAGTTATGAGATAAAATGGGCTCCCTGCTCCGGAGATAATTACTTCAGTCCCCACCACTAAATTTTGAAAATTTATTCCGCTGTCCGGTTCACTGTGCAGACGCTTTACGGTATCTAATCGCATTCGACAACTGGATTTAAATCAACTTACAAGGTAATATGAATTAAGAACTGCAAATTGAGGGTCATTAGGCAATTGAAACTTTCTGGAGGAACGTTTGGTGGACGGACCACATCATTTACACTCGACCGGAAAGATAAGAATTGCTTGCAAATGTTAGTTTACTTTTTACTTAATTATACTATCGTACAGGTATTTTTCGAATTTAAATTTAACTTTGTTAGCAATAAATTTAAAGCGTTGATAATAAACATGGAAATAAATATTTAGAATATCCTGTACTAGGGATTATGACAGGTATAATGAAATCATTAAACTTTTTTTGGGTGCCGGTGTTTTTGAAAAAAATTGTAAGTAAGTCGTAATATACTTATACCTTAAATACAGATTAATTAATTGAAAGATAATATTTGGTCATGCGGACCACGAAAACTAGTGAATTTAAAAAGTTAAATGAAGTATATCTTCACTAAAGCTCTCCGCGGCCAATTCATTTGTCGCCGAGAATCAAATATTGGGTTGTCCGGAAAATAATGCAGGATTTTGGTATTAAACAAAAAAAAAGAAACTAGTTACTTTAAAGCAATGTTCTTTAATCAAAANATACAAATGAGTAATCCTGTAAACGTAAACAGAATATTTTATATAGATTTTTTTTAATGAAAACTTAAAATCCTGCATTATTTTCCGGACAACCCAATAGATTACACGACATTTCAAAAATGGCAAAAAGAAGGGAAAATTCAAAATATGAGGTTGAGATGGGAAGTTAGTGTCCGAGCGGATCGAAGTCACTATAGCTCAAGTGGTAGAGCAGCGGCGTATTTAGGCGAAGGTCGTGGGTTCGAATCCCGCTCGTGACACTGACTTTTTTATCTCAACCAAACCTTTCATAAAGATTAATTAATTTAAATTTATTTACTATTTTTAAATTTAGAAAATATACATATGAAACACAAAAAGGTAAATTTAATAAAACAATGCAAATATTGATTAAAAAAATTATTTAACGATTTATTATTACTAATTAGATATAAATAAAAATAGAATATTTCGTATTAGCGATAATAACGGCACAGAATGAAATCGTTGTACTCCAAAAATCTATGCTGATCGTCCACCTGAAATTATGATTGTTATACTGTATAATTATTTGTGAAAGTTTGCATCTTAAGAACTGGTAATTTGGTCATTTCCTATCATTTTGATCCGCTTATGTTTCCAGCTATTTTTTTTCTATAAGAAAGTTCGGCATGTTGTCAAGTTTGTTGGTAGAGTTAGTAAAAAAATATCCAAGTACCAGGGGAAACATTAATTCAGGAAGCTACTGAAATCGTTGATGCTCTAACAGAATCAATTAGAATGAATGTGATCCAGTGTAATATCTAAAATGACGGGATCAAACTACTCAAACGCATTTTTATTTGGAATCATCTTCCCGGGGGAAAGTTCATATACATATTCAGAAAACTTTTTTTTATATTACTTAATAAACGAGGAATGTTTTTGAATGAAATCTAAACCCGTAGGAATATTCGTTTCTTCTGCTGTACTGGCCAAAATATATTGGAAAGGAAAGTGATAGGTACAATAATATACCATATAGAACCACTAGAAAGACCTTAACGGAGGATTGGTCAAGATGTAGAAAAGTCTAAGAATAGGGAAACCAATGTGCACCCAGTGCTCAGATAGATAGACTTATAAAGCTTGTAAAATATATGATGAAAAGATAGATTGTACCTTGGAATGGTAAGACAGCAGTCCTCCAATAGCGTGAATAATGTGAACGGTGGTAACGCTGGCGGAGAGGGCAGGTCCAGGTAATATAACTAATGAGTGGACGCTCTCATCAAAGAGTAATAAGGCTGTGACGCAGGAGCCGTATGTTATCAGCGTCACCAACCAAGTAAAGGCAAAAAGAAGAGGAAGAAAAGAACACAAGTCGATAGAAGAAAGAAACAATGAGAAAAAACAAAAAGAAAACACCTGGTTGTTAGACGCTGGTCTTGGTTTGGTCCATGGATTTCCTCTTTGGCCGAGACTTGTAGGAGGAAGAATTAAATCGTTCCGAGGTTGGAGGGAAGTCCCCACTTCAGTGTCGCGTGATATATAAAAATATTCAAGATCGCAAAATGGACAATCACCCAAAATATCACATGAGAGGCTTCTTCAGACTAAAAGTCCTTCAATTGATTGAAGATCCTGCAATTGATACAATTTCAGGCCGGAATCTTGTAGGGTATTTATGTAAGTTTAAAATCAGTTCGGTATTCGGATTCACCCCGAGGAGTCTGGTGCCTTTATCCGTTTTTGAGCAGTTGAGTATGCCAGTAGAATCTGGCCTTCATAGGTATAACTTTGGTCCACTCCATAACCCTGAATCAAACAGATGATTAATGCAATATTTGAAAAAAACAAAGGAGAAGAATACTCTTACCATCTCAAAACGGACAAAACCTAGAATTGATATTAGGTACGTACAGTACAGAAGATCGGCTGATGTAAGAAAAGCTAAAGATATATGATTCAGAAGGTACGTGAGAGAGGTGCTAATGAAGATAATGATACAATTTTAAAGAAAGTTCAACAATAATACTACAAAAATTCAATAAAAAACAAATTTTCACTATGTATTTGCCATGATCCTTTTTCAGCATTGCATGTCTTGTCTGTGCGTAATGTTGAAATATTTTTAAAAGTTGAAATTTTTTTAAATATATTGTATTTCAAACGTTTCAGATATGTGTTTTTAAATATATTGAAAAATAGCTGACGTCATTTTTAAATTCGTGAGTGGAAATGGTGTAGAACTTAGTGTCAGTTGATGGAAACAGTAGGTACTGATAACAAACAAATAAAAATTCCATAATTGCATGACATTTATTTATCGAGTTCCTTCAAAGATATCTTATGCAAGCCAACTTTTTTAGTTTTAGTTTGTAGTTTACAGTACATGCATATATATACATAAGGATTTTGTCTTCTCTCAAACTGGATAATTTGCAATATTACATCTATTATTTAAAAGAGTATATCATCGGATTAGCTGAGCATTGAAACTTCTCATTTCAACATATGTCAATTAAATGGTGTGATATGTAACTTACAATTACACGATACTTATGATGCCCTTCTGAGTGAGCAGGTATTTCTATTCATGCTATTACCAAAAAAAAAAAATGTTCATTATTCTTACGATTTCTAAAACAAAATGTTGTAGAATTATAGTCCCATTATCCATGAAGGCTATGAAGACGTATGCGCAATTTTCTATGGTAGTTTCAATGACTTCCGTTTGGACAACATGGACTGCGTCTTCCAAGTTACTGAGTTTTTCCGAGTCGTAAGCTTTGTCGGTCTTCGACATCATGATAGGCCGTAAAACGGCAACGACGCAAAAGGCGAAATAGTCCACTCTTTTGGTTTCCTTCAGTACATCGTCGAAAGTAGGTGGGGTGCCATCGAAACCGAAAAATTCCAAGTTACTCCTCAACGATTCCCAGTAGACTTTGTAAAAATCTGTCATGTGCTTTTTCCTGACATCGTTCTTAACGCTGGAGTAAAGGAAGTAGATTATGTCCCAGATGTACGAATTGATGTGGCTGACTTGGAAGTCTAGAAACCTTTAAATTGTATTATAAAACTGCATTACCATACTATCAAATGACCAATAAAGTCATTATTTTTTTAATTGTTATATAATATTTTACATTTATTTAAAAAAAATCCATTTATTTATACACCTTACAGTAAGACGAATATATTTATAATTAGAGAAGAACAATCGATTGTTCTAATGTAAATGATACGAGGCAGGGGATGGAAAAAGTTCTCATTCACTGTTCAAAGCAGAACTCTTGTATTTATTATAGTTGTTGCCAAAATTCCCTGTATTGTAAGGAAATGTTTATAATGTAAAACGTTTAAATCATTATGAATAGTTTCAAAGTCCTGGTGAAGAAGATGTTTTCTCCGATATCGTGACGAAAGAATCCCCTTCGTTCTGAAAAAAATTAAAAACAATAGTTACCAAATCCATTATATTTAGTGGTCTGATTGACGAAATTACTTCTTTCAATTAATTAATCTTTTTATGTAAGGTATTGGTCGAAATGAAGAAGTAAGTTTCATGAGCGGGATTCGAACCCACAGTAATCATGTAATAGATGGACAAAAAAAAAAATGGAATTGCACAAATACTATGTGTTGAGATAAAAAAGGTCATGGGGTCGAATCCCGCTCGTGGCACTAACTTTTTCATTTCAACCCAAATTTTACATAACAACAGTTATTTGAAACGTCGCCAAATCATCGGACATTCCTTTAAATTTGAGAATATGATGGCCTTGTATGGCATGTAATCCAACATACCACACTTCATTTTCCTCCTCCTGTCGTTAAACTGGTCCAGTAGGACTTCCCTGTGAGTCAGCACATCGCGATACAACTTCAAATTGAGGGTCATTAGAGTTAAAGTCGCTGAATCATTCATTCCTTATCCCAGCTTAATTTCGATATTGAAATCGTCAGATTTTACCGCGACTTCGAATTATTTTCTGTTGTGTGCTTCTTTATGATGACTATTTTGTCACCGTTCATCCGGATCCTAGAACTTTTAATACGTTTAATATCAAAATAGTTGGCACCGAATGGTACGGTCTTCCAACTCGACGTCGTCAGCGAAATCGCTTCAAACCAGTTGGTGTCCATTACGATCCTTCCTTTCTAAGCCCTTCTTATAAATATAATCATTTTATTACTTTCCAACTTTAAAAAAAAATTAGTTAAATTCTCATTTCCATTGTTTGTTTACTGTTCAATTCCCTTACCGATTACTTTGGGTAATGACAAGAGACTTACAAAAGGTCTTTAAATTTCGATATAGATAAGATTATCTTTATACAACAATTGTTTCGCACAAAGCATCTTAACACAAAACAGTACAAATTTTTTTTTTAACATATTCTATTTCCGAAAAGTTAGTTGATGCAACAATCGTCTGGTGTGAAATAAATCAAAGAGTTTATGACAATACAATTTCGCTCTTTTGTTGGAGAAATGTTTTCTTCTCACGGCCTTGAGAGAAGAACAGATCCTACATTCTTTTCTAGAACCAATAATCATAATAATTTCTGTAATTATTTTAAAATAATGGACTGTTTTCTCTTTTAAGTAGGTTAACAATCAAGCAGCGGATAAGTGACCGCGATATGTCCAAACAAGCGCTAAGTTCATTGCTACGGAGTTAGTTTAGTAACAATCTGATAAACCCATTATGTTTAATGGTCTACTGACCAAATTAGTTATTTCAATTAATAAATATTTTTACTTTTTGTTTAATAGGTTCAGTAAGATATTTTTATTTGTATGGTAAAGATTTTATCTCATCCCTTTCGTTATAAAATCACTGTCTTTCCTATGAGAAAAAGCGGCAGTCATTTCATGTAGCAAAAAAGGGAGGATCATGGGATTGGAAGGATCAATTGGGTTTTTCAAAGGGTTAATTACACTTTGAATTTTTGTGAATTGGAAAGTAGAATATGAGGAAGAAGATGAGTTTGAAAAAAATGCCATATATATATATATATATATATTGTTACAACGGTATTTTTGTCCTCGATTGAGGATAGCGGATAACTACTTACTACTCATTTAATGCGTTTTATTGTTTTCCAAACTCAGAGCAAAGGGTATTTATTTGTTGACCAAAGTTTTGCCATTATTCGCTTGTTTGTTTATTGACAAACCATCTATCATGTTTTTACTTTTTAAATAATTTTCTAGTTTTTTTGAGCGTGGGCTTCTTTTGAATCTATGTAGAGCTGTTTTTCGTTAATGAATTTATACTGTATTCTGCAGGCCACCATAGTCGTTCTTTATTGTGATTGTGAGAATTGTTGGAGTGTTGAATAAATTTGTAGGCTGCTTCAAAGATTTTTGATTTGAGTCTAATAATTTCAAATCCATATCCAATTCAGTCCCCACCACTATCTTTTGAAAATTAATTCTGTTGTCTAGTACACTGTGACGCTTTACTTTATCTAATCTCAATCGACAACTTCATTTAAATTACGTCACAAGGTAGTACGATTTAAAACAAAAAACTCGAAATTTAATGCAAAATCGATTTAGTAGTAGGAAGACATCAATTATACTCGACAGGAATGATAAGAATTGGTGGCAAATATAACTTTACTTATTACTTGATTAAATTGTTGTACAGGTATTTTTTTATATTAGATACAATAAATACAATAAATTACAATAAATTTAACACAGTGATAGTTAATATAGAAACAATTATTTAGAATACCCTGTGCTATGGATAATAGCGAAAAAGAATAAAATCGTTGTAACATACAAATATTATGAAAACTGAAGAAAATGAAGATGGTTATACTGCAAGATTTTTTCTGGGAATTTGTTTTATGAACTCGTAATTTGGTCGTTACCTATCATTCTGGTCTGCTTATGTTCTATGCTTTCTCGATTTAATATAACTAATTTAATTTAGTTAAAAAATGATAAACGAAGATAGGTCTTGAAATCACAACCCGTATATATTTTACGTTTCTACTGCATTTATTGCAAAAAGTATTAGACGGGAAGGTGGTGGGAACAATAATGTGTTAGATCCATTTTATCCACGTGAAAGACGTTTAAGAAGAAAGACTCGAATCGAGATCATGAAATGTATAAATTTAAAAGTTGTTGTGTAGCGGATGCCTGGTCGACAAAGGTTAAGAAGTTTAAGAATAGGGCAAACAAGGATGGTATTTCGAAGGCACCCAAGGTACCCCAGTGCTAGCTAGATAGTCTTGTAAAACTAGTACAATGTATTATCATTACATATCAGTTGGAAACAATCCTTTTTATCATTGGCTTTCGGAAAATATTTTTATTCCTTCGATTAGTAGATGGATTGACCTATGTTTGTATATTTCAGAGTTGATGATACCCCAGGCGATACTCGGATATAAGCAGTGTGAAGCTTTGATAAAAACTCACCAATGAAGATGACCGAAATATGTCCGAAATACCAAATCATTGAGGATAGTTTGTCCAGAATGATAAGAAAGGACCAAGCTCTTATATTTATTGATTAAGGAATGTTTGAAAACAACGACTTTATTCTTTTTCTCATTTAAATAATCCCTTGTTTAATATATCCTTTTATCTCCTCGCCGACGGCTTCCCTGTATTTTTCCGCTCTGTATATCTCGGGGTTATAGGCAGTTGAAAAATCTACGTCTTTCATCTTTTCCATGTCGAAAGCTTCGTTCGTGTCCGCCGAGGCCACCGGATATATGCATGTGATGACCATAAAAGCGAAGTAGTCAAGACGATCGATCTCCTTTTTGACGTCGTCGAGGGTAGGCACGTCTTCGGCCATGCCGTAAAATTCTAAAGTCGATGCCAGAGACTCGTGGTAAGAGGCCAACAATTTGTCGTAGCTGCAACGGCGATCTTCGGCTTTTATGCTGCTGTAAATGAAATAGACCAGATCCCAGCCGTACGAGTTGTAATGGCTCATTTGAAAATCGATAAATCTGTAATCGAAAAGATAAATCGCTAAGTGAATTGTGCAATATTTATTTAATAATTGCATAAACAACATTTGAAATTATCAATGTTTAAACAAACCGATCAACAACCTTTATTATAATTCGAAAAAATTGAACTATTTGGACAATCGATATACGTATAAAAGTAAGCCTTTTTTATAATCCATTATATTTTGTGGTCCGATTGACCAAATAATTTCTTTCAATTCATTAATCTATATGTAAGGTAGTGGTTCAAATATTTTTTTAAAATAACATTATAGAACTAATATTATTATTTAATTTATTTATGCTATTGTTTATATTTTTGTTGTTGTTATAATTGAAAGAAAAGTTGAGATTTTTTACCCTTATAATTATGATTGACTGATAGTTGTAGTCAACACAACCCAGTGATGACAAAATGTAGCATAATGTTGGTCAATTTCTATAGAAATCTGGGGACAAAGCTTTAGATCTAATAGTTAGTGTTTTAAATTTTTGCTGCTATCATTACAGGATTTAATCAATCAAACGAAACGATGTGGAAGGGATTAGAGGGTTTGGATTAGTCAAGGTCTTTCACAGGATTGTCGAAAGATTTATCTATTTCTTGTAATATAACTCCATATTTCAATTCTGCAAAATCGTATTACAAATATCTTGTAAGTAGTAAGTTTTAAGTAAAGGGTTAATTCCACGATCATTCGGGAGTATGATGAAATACCATGATAGAGAAAGGGACCGAAAATATGACCACAATCGGACAGACCAAAATGATCGGGAAAACTTCATATCCTAGCAGAATAAAACAGAATAAAAAAAATCAAAAAATATTAAGAGAGGCGCAAGGGTGTTTCAAAATAAATAATAGGGTGATTTATAAAAAATGACCGTTCTTCTTCATATTTTAAAAATAATTTTATTTTGTAAAAATTTTTTTTTATATTCAAAGTATGTACAGTTGTGTTTGTTGCCATCGAGGCCAGGTGTTCAATTCCTTGACAGACCACTCTTTGAGATTTGAAAGGAAGAATTCTGCAACGCCATTTAGAACCTCATCCAGTAAATAAAAGTTTTCCTTTGAAGGTAATGTGCCAAGGAACAGAGCAGATGGTAACCGGAAGTAAGTCTGGTCTGTAAGTAGAGCGAGGGAGAAGCTCAATTCCATCCGATTCTATATTTTTTTAATTTTGTGTAACGAGAAGTATGTCACCTGTTGTTATCTGTGATTTTTTTAACGAGGGTTTGCAACAGCAGAGATCGTATCAACTTTCGCGTGTCGGTGTTTTTGAAAAAAGCCCATTTGTAAGTATGTCGGGTTCGAATGAAGGACCGCTGGATTCGAACCCGGGACCTTCACCTTACAGTGATGAGCTCCGTGTCAACGCCTAAACCATCGACGCGCCTCTTGGTGTTATCTTGTAACAACAACTGATTTCTATTTACCAATTGACTCCCTAACCATCCCTAATCTTAGGTAACGCTGGTCCAAATATCATACAATTTTTGTCTAGTATGATCTCATAATGAATCATGCCTTCGTAATTCCAAAACACAAAGAAGCCTTGTTTAGCGAAAAGTAGAGCAGTCTAGCCATTATTTCTTGGTCTTGGGCTTTCTCTAATATACCCGCTTTTCATCATAAGTAACTATTCTTTTGATTAACTGAAAGGTTAATCCCAAGGTTATTTGGGTTTTTCAAAAGATGTCAAATTTCGACAAGGCGTCGTGCCTGCTCAATGGTCAACTCATGAGAAACCACTTTTAATGAACGATTCACTTTCCTCAAGTTGTGCAGTTCACGATTTATGGTCGACTGGGAAACTCCAACGCTTGCCAATTCCTCAGTAATTTTCGTTGAGACTGCCTCAACAGAGTCCGTCAGAGGTTCCTCATCAATTGATGATTTTGGTCCGGAACCCTCTTTCCTCTCGAGACTGATGACACCGGCTTCAAATTTCTGGAACCATCTGCACACTGTCAGTTCAAAGAGAGCATCCTCTTCTTCGAATTGTCGCACGAAAAGTGTTGTTTCGACGGCGGAAAACTTACGTTTCCAATAATGAATTTATTATAAAAAATTCAAAATTTACAGTGATGTTCTTTAGCCAAACTCTGAGACAAAACTGAAGGCAAAACGTGGTAAATTGTTTATACATTCATTTAGAAAAGTCTACGGATAAAATGGTATCAGATTCTAAAATCTAATGGATTGAAAAAAATAAAGCCTATAGCCAAGAAAATGAGATCAGTCATTCTTTATGACTCACCTTATTACATCTTACAAAACAATTTGGCTGTATATGTCCTCCATAAAAAGTAAACCTACACGATCTTTCAAAAGAAGGAACCATTTTAATTTTAAAAAACAATTAAAAACATTAAATAACTTTTTTATGTAACTTATTAATATTTATTTACCAGACTCTTTGATTTTTAAAACAAAAGAAATTAAATATAGCAACTAACTACAATTTCCTATAAAATAAAACATACTTTTAATCACACTTTTTTTGACGCAATATAAATATAATAGTTTATTATTACCTTAAAGATATCGGTTGATTTTTGTCAATTGGACTGTACTTGAACATAATGTTGCAAATCCAACAATCCCCGTGGTTGAGAACCAGGAAGGTATCCTCGTTTATCTTCGCCAGGTCCCTGATCCGCAAGCATGCTCCCTCGACATCGTTAGCTATCCTGTCAGCGGTTTCCTTCCTGCGCCCACATATACATCAAGGTTAAGAAAAGACCGGTGAAACTGGACCACGATAGCCCTGAGAACGGAAACACACCATTCCGGAGGCCAGGAAGACGCCATGACCTGGGAGACTTGAGTTAGGCCGCCCTCTACGATCCTCTTTGTCAATTTAGAATCGGATGCTAGGTACATCGGCTTCAGATCGTCGCTAGAAAGCATTCCCTTATGAAGCAAGATTCGAGACATGGCGTGGAAACGGCCCAAACTTTTCAAAACGAGTAGACCGTGGTTTAGGTCAAGACACTCTCTTCTGTCGGCTACATAATAATTTAATTCCTAAAAATAAATGTATTTTAATTTGATGCAATGCCGAGTGTATGTTGATCCAATTGTGTTTTTAATTTTACCCTAATGGGAAAGCTTGACATGAAAGCAACACATCCTACTTATTACATAAATGTTTACTCCACTTCTTCTTCTCTCTTATCAGGAAAACTATAGACTTCTATACGGCTCACTGCCCGTTAAACTACCAGCTAAAAAAACATGGGAAACGCAGTGGCAGAGAAAGGATGAGTCTCTAGAGACCTTTGTGAACGTGAAACGCTAGCCCGGATACAGTATCAACAGTTTAAAGAAACCCTCGTGCTCAGAAAGGTGGGCAAAACAGCACCAAGAACAGTGTTTTTTTTCTTTTTTTCAATGGATACCAGGGACTGGAAGAGTTCCCTCCTGAGTACTGCAGCTGAGCTGTACAGCTTATTGTACTTTATCCCTGGCTCCATATTTTGGGGGAGGGCTCGCAACACAAATGTGAACTTGAGCCCCCGTTGTACCGGTGTTCTTCCATCGAAGAAACTCATTTTTGAAGGGGGTTGGGACCAAATTCAGGGTCGCTGAGATCCGATCCCGCCCCTTCCATTGATGAGTGCCGTGTCAATTTCTTTCAATTGCGGCCACCGGTCCCCTTAGGCGTCAGAAAAAGTCCAGAGGCGACGGTGGGGATCGAACCCACGACCGCGGGATCTAATAGTCGAGAGTCTGACACTTTAACCACTCGGCTACCGCGGCCCTTCAAGAACAGTGTTTAGTTTTGAAGAAAAATTGCACATTCACGGTATGGTCATAATCATAATAATCAAAGGGTCAATAAACTTGTATAGGACGCAGTGGAGAAAAGATTGGTTTTCTTAGATGTACTATATATTAGGTATTAGACATAGCAAACATGGTCAAAAAATCCGCGATGTGACAATTCTTTAAAAGCACTTATTAAATTCAATTGTTGTCGTGGTCCGCTTGACGAATTATATATCTTTCAATTAATTAAAGCTTTTAGTTGAGACAAAAAAATCAGTGTCACGAGCGGGATTCGAACTCACGACCTTCGGCTAGATACGCCGCTACTCTACCACTTGAACTATCGTGACTTCGATCCTCTCGGGCACTAACTTCCCATCTCAACCCGACCTTTTCAATTTGCCCTTCTTTTTGCCATTAAGTTTTATCTCTACTAAAAATCTTAATTAATTGAAAAAATTCTTTAAAAGGTTACTGGCGATCTGGAGAAAAAAGTATATTTTTCCAAAAATTGCCTACATTTATAGACCATGCAACGAAGCATGTGCATTTATATAAGCGAAGGAATCCCTTAATACATATCCTTAAATAATACAAAAGGATACCGCGAAAAGTAGTGGTAGACATGTAGGAACATCAGTTTTCTTTTTTTAAATTTTTNTATATATATATAAGTGTGAATTTGAGCCCTTGGTGTGCCGTGTGTAACCCACGACCGCGAGATCTACTAGCCGAGAGTCTGACGCCTTAACCACTCGGTTGGTAAAACTGATTGAAGTCCCTTGAACTTATCCGTAAACTTATTAGTATTTATTATTTTTGTGTATGTACTTATTTTTCTTTCGTCAAACGGACTTAGCAACGCAAAATTACTCTCAGATCATCAAGGGGTTTCGTACAATATCATTAAAGCAGCCACTGTCCTGGCCAATATTACAATGGATATCAAAGTAAAGCAATTGGAAAAGTTATATCGTGCCATAAAAGCTCCACACATGGGTAGACACCGTCAGTTTGAACTCAATGTTTACCCACGGATTAAACACGTCGACACACGTGTTTCGAGGCATACCCAGATGGTAGTCGCATTGACGAAAAGGTGGGTTGGGAAGCGGTCATTTACCACGACGGAAGCCAAATACAAGTTTTACAAAAAAAGTTGTCATCTTGGTGTACCAACTATCAGGCGGGGCAACTAAGAGTTGATGAGGACTTAGGATGATTTTTACTCTAGTGCGGTCATGGTGACAAAACAATACAGCTGAAAACAGACAGTTTAGTCTCCTTTCCTATGATTCAAGACAACATAAATCCCATCCTAACTGAAGAATCAATTAGGAATACGCTGTGGGAACTGCGGAAAAATCGACGCTGGAAGATTTCCTTGAAGTGGCTCAAACCATACGTGGGATACCTGGGAAATGAAAAAGCCGACTAGCTAGCGAAAGATGCGGCAAAAAATGAAAATCTGGCTATTTCATTTATAAAAGTAACTCTTTCCTACATTAAAATACAAGAAGAAAAGCTGAGCTTACAAAAACGAAACTATATATGGACAAAGGCAGATTAGGGAGTAATTACAAGAAGCTATTTTCCATCAGTTCTTGACATAAGGAACACCATCTTGGACGAAATGTACAAGACTACTATCGCACTCACGGGACACGGAAAAAACAACAGACAAAAAAACTATATTTGAAACACAAACGCACATCAACGAAAATGTAGACTATCCTTGTGGTATTGCGGAACAGACATGGACACTCATCATCCAGGAGTGTGGGCCGTAGGAGAGCAATAGGTTCCCCTTGATGAAGAGCATTCTGATTAGTGGAGGAACACAAAGAACACTTCCTGAATTTCATTGAATATCAATAAACTTTAAAGTTTATTTAAATTTCATATCACTAATTGTATTATAAATAATTAATCTATTGCATCTAACGTAAATAAAATTGATCAATCTGGAACACTATAGTCAAATGTAAAAAACAAAACAAAAATAATGATGTAACAGAAAACAAATTTAGAGAAAACCTTAGAGAAAAAAGTTAGTGCAGTGGGACAAAAAAATTGTAATGCTCAAATTATTAGAATTTTATCTAAAATATTATTGCCTTTTGAATTGCCCGACGTGTTATCGCAAAATCAAGACGTTTGCTTTCTGACTCGGATTACCAGGCCATACTAAATAGCGTTTTTGGCATAAAAATTGTTCACATGTTTTATAATAATAGAAATGACAAATTTTATAAAACTTATAGTATTTTATCATAAGCATTACTTTTTTTTAAATCAAGGACTTATACTACATATAAAAGAAGTACAGATTAGATGCTTTATTTATATTGACAAAGAATGGGAATTATGGGATCCACTGTTGTAAAATTTATGTCTGGCGCAAAATTTATTATTTTATGAACCCTCAATGATGACACGCCTTGGTGAGTATAAATAAAATGAGTTGCGTTCTATTTCAAAAGAATCACGTGTCGCCGAATTTATCATTCCTGATTAGAAAAACAATACTAAGACGATTACCATGTAAAAGAAAGAACAATAGTTTTCAAACCAAAAGATGATAAATTTTAATTGTAACGGATGAACAAAAACATCGAAAGTTGAATCGCGAAAACACTCCTTTAATAACATGTTATAATGTTATTAAATGGACGTCGTTAAACTATGAACTCCGTTTAATAACAGCTGTTACATAAAATTGGGTTTGTCAATCGGAAAGCCCGTTTCGTTTTATGTAACAGCTCGACGGCTGTTCAGATTTGAACCAGGATAGTTTGAACGTGGTTCAAGACAAATTGAAAAACGCCAATTTTTGAGCTTAACTCTGTTCAGTACTGAACTTAGTTTAAGCCAACTGTGTTCAACTGGCGCTAAAAGGACGAATCGGGCCAATTGAATTACTGAAGTACACTTGGAAAAGTACGATATACCATAAACATGCTTGAGGTACACCAAACCATCACTTCTTAATAATATACACAATCACGCTCATTATCATCGGGAACAAATTTATTATATCAAAAACTGATAGGATAGATTCCTCATTTTGATTAAAGATCATCTTATAAGGCTAAACACGAAGTAGAGAAAAAATAGAAAAAAATAGTTAGACTTTTTCTTTTTCGTTTGTTGGAAAAAAAAGTTGGTAAAATAGGTTATATAGCTATATTTAAGTATATATATATCTATTCAAACGGCTATTACTTTCTCCTTATTCTTTTTTTGATATTTATTTATATTATGGAAGTAAAATAATAATCCTGGTTTTTTCAATCAAACAGCCCGTTTCGTTTGGCATTTTATATAATAAGTTTTTTTTTAACAAAAGAAAATTGAAGTGTGTAGACAAAAACCGAAAGTCAGACGGTGATAATAACTTTCCCTCGGATGTGGTATCGTTAAGTTGGTCGGGCAGTTGAACGTATGAGAAAGTGCCGTGGAGGGTGGAAGGGTATGACGAAGCCCCGGATTCTACTCACGTTCAAATCCTCAAATATAATTGTGTCGTAAGGGTTGTAGCCGATCAGCTCAGGCCAGAGTTTTTCTCCCCCGTCATGGTGATCCTCCATCAGACGTTCCATGTGGGGCAGGATTTCTGTAAAAAGCTGCAACAAGAATTGAATAAACGGACTGTATTCTCAATCGACTCTCTTATCCTAAACAATAGAATTTTATATTTTATGCAATGGTTACTAGGTTTTCCCTAAGTCTGAGGTAGATACATTTATGCAAAATGTTTGATATTCACCACAGTTGTTATGTCAGAAGATATTTTCTTCCCACATCTTTAAAACAGATACTTCATTTTTTAACTAACCATAGGCAGAAAAGGACCGCCCACTTTAAAATTTTATGAAGTTTATGCTGCATATAAAATACATCTAAGATAGTTTCAAACGGTTTACAATTTTATCTGTGCTGTTTATGCAGGAAAATTTGGCATTACATTTTTTGTTTTTGTAAGTATAATCATTATTGAAGCTTATAGTTTATTAATCCATGTATTTAATAGTTATAATTTGCCGTACTAGTTATTTTAATTATCGTTAGAGCAGTGACGTATTGAGCCGAAGGTTGTGGGTTCAAATCTTGCTCGTGGCAGTTCCTGTTTCATCTCAACCAAGACCTTACATTAAAAGTACAACTTATAGTTTATGTTACTGTGTGCACGATTGATTTAAAAAAAACAGACCAACTATATTATAAAAAACAAGTAAGTGTTAAAAGGCTAAGATAAACAAACAAAAATAGTCGTGCAAAGTGAATGGGTCGATGAAACCTTCTCATCTTGAACAAATTACCAATTTTTCAGAAGGAATGACAAAAGAATTTCGACAACCTGGAGCACGTGCCAGAACATAAAATGTAGCAATTGAAAAACATCTTTGTAGCATAGTATGGAATAAACTAAGACACATGTAACGTCACCCTAACTTGGCCATTAACCAAAGGAATCATGTAAAATATGTTCTCATATCAAAACCGTCTTGAGCTTGAATCGGAAAAACCGCCAGAGAAAAACTCATTATACTGGAAAAAACAATGTAAAAATGTGAAATAGAAAACACAATCAGGGAAATAGAGATGAACGATATTTATAATTTGTTTTGCGCAATCTTTCGCAAAACCTTCTTGCTACGTCAATGTGCCCATACTTATGCCACTTTTCCTTCAACGTTCCTGAAGTTCTTGTCCTTCGTCTTGCAGCATTTGCATCTTGAGGCATGCCGGAGCGGTACGGCCCAACAGGGCATGCTCCAGTGTGCCCACATTAGTACATCGACCGATATCATGATGGATGTTTGCGATCAAATTTCTATGGTAGGCGTTGCTTTAAGTATTTTGGCAAAATCACGAAAATAGAAATGTGCAAATTCTCTAAGAATTACGGTTCAAAGATAATGCGCTTTTCAAAAATTGTACAAGAATGTCAAAAAAAAAAAAAAAAACCTCTAGGTCCAGAGATTAAAACTGCCTTGCATTATTTGGTAACCGATGATTCCTTCACGTCAATAATGTATTCGTTTAAATTTTATAAGCAGTGCCGGATTATAAAAAGCTCTCTTCCTTTGGATACCTGCGCATAGGGGAATATTTGGTGCGATAGAACATGGTAAACGGCCAGACTTTACTCTCCATGAGGATTTCAAGTGCGACTTGAAAGAAATGATAAGGCCAGCATGACAACGAGTTTGGTATGGAAATAGAAATGCTAAAACGAGAAAAGTTAAACCCCAAGTCAAATCTTGGGGATCTTCTTTTCGATCCTTAAGACATGAAGAGTCCGTTATAACTCGTTTAAGGATAGGACACACGAGACTCACACATGGCCAAATCATGGCCAAGAAAGATCGCCCTGCCCGTGTAATGTGTAACGTGACCATTACTATGAAACATATTCGCCAGCAAAGCAAATGAGAACGGTAGGAAAAGTAATAATATGCCGTACTGCCACTCAGAAATTCTAGCAAATAACACTAGAAAAAGCTGATAAACTTTCTAAAAAAAACTAATCTATTTCCAAAAATTTAAATTAGAAATCTAGCCATAAGAGCGTAATAACTAATATACTTTGGCGTTGGCAGTCTCATTTCCAGCAATTCCTTTTTTAGTTTCCATTTATATTATATTTCATGTTGTAAAACCAATAAATAAGATAAAATTTACAAAACTTATTTAAAAACATGCAAAGAAAACGTTTAATAATAAGCGTTGATAACGTGATTTTTATTAAAAATGTTTGCAAAACATTGTTTTTCTAACTCAAAACACAAAATATTATTGAAAATTACTTTTAATTTCAAAAATATACCTACTTTGGTCTCGACTTTAAAAACAGTGTACTCAGCGAGCAGCTCGACTTGTTCTTCAGCCTCGATGACCTTCTTGATGATGACGGTTTTGCTTGTCTCACGGCCCGAACGAAGTATCAACTTGAACTTTGCGCGCAGAATGAGGCTATAGTAGTTGGCACCTTTGGGTGCAGCCGGCTCGCATTCGACGCTCACCAAATTCGCAACGCTCCTGTCGCGGTCGTACTTCTTTAAAACTGTCTCCAACCAATTCTTGTTCATCTAAAACCAAAAATTAACACATTTTACGGCAATATAGACGTATTGCCAATAGTTACCAATAAATGGATGGTAAAAGTTTATGGAAAGAACGAAGCATTTACGTAAGGTTAGACCTGGTATAATATTTGTTAACCATGGATTGAAAAGAATATGGAGAATGTTAACTTTTATTCGTATTTAATTACGTTAATACGTACGTTAATACGTTCTGGCAATTGCTAAATTCGGCGATTTAAATCGATAATTAATTACGACGTTAATCAAGACCAACCGTTTTTACTCTTTTTTGAACAAAATCAACAGCTCTCAAAACGAGGAAAAAGGGGGTGCGAAACGTAAAATCTTTTTCTGAATCGGCCCTTTCAAAGTTTTTCGTTTAACATGCTATCGTTACCTCGAGAGTGTAGAAACCTGTCAGCGTCAGAGAAGACTGGAACTGAATGGGTCACACCGTTCATTCGCACTGATTACTTTTTTAAATGGGCATCAAGGTCTATTTAATATAAACACCTCTACAACGAACCCCCTTTGCCTCTATAATTGTTTATTTTAGGTTGATTTGATATTACAATTACTTCTGTGAAAAAATAAAACAAACGCCATTTCTTTGAAAGTTGCCTCAAGGATCGGGACATTTCTGAAAAAAGAAAAGTTTGCTGTGGAAAAACTCCAATATGCCACATAAATTATCTAATGTATGAAACGTTCTATGGTTGAGCATCTTACCACCATTATCTTCAAAGCTTAGTAAAAATAAAAATAAGTCTACAAAACTTATGATATTCGAAAACGTTAATTAAGTCCAGTATCTTTATTATTTTCAGGAATATTTGGACCTGGAACCAAATACTCAGAACCCATGGGAAAATACACCAGAATCTTCCAAGCTGAGATTCATGCCATCGAAAGATTAACAACTCAACCTAAGTAAAGGGTACTAAACCAAGAATGTAGCTATCATGTCAGATAGCCAAGCAGCCATCAAAGCACTAAGCTAAAATATCATTAGATCAAGGATGGTGCTGAACTGCAAAACCAAACTAAACATACTAGGTACGCAGAATAAAGTCAGCCTCTGCTGGGTCCCAGGACACATGGGAGTAGAAGGCAACGAGAAAGCGGACATCCTTGCAAGAAAAGGGGCTGCTACACCGGTGATAGGACCTGAACCCTTCTGTGGCATAGGAACTGATACTATTAACGAGAATCTTAGACAGAAGGACAAAAAGAAAATGAGGGAACTTTGGAATTCACTCATTGGACAGAGACAATCCAAGAATCTTCTAACCAATTTTGGTAGAAAAGAAAATACAGAAATTGTCAAGGGAAGCAGGAACAAACTGCGAATCCTAATAGGATTCCAAATGGGAAACTGCATATTAAATGGACACTTAAAGAAAATTGGAATAATCCAAGGTGGCACATGCATATTCTGCAAGGAGGGAGAAAAAACACCAACACATTTACTAACAAACTGCGGAGCCACACTAGCCCGCAGGAGGAAATGTTTTGAGATGTATAATGCGACCATATTCAACCTTTGAAACCGGGCCTATTAATAAAGTTTCTTGATGAAAAGGACTCACTGATGTGCTTTAGGCAAAGCACGGGGGATACAATAGCTCTCAAAGGGCGCAGTATACTACACCCTGAAACCACTTAGGCATGTTTTTTGTAAAACCATGAAAAACCGAAGTTTCCTTCTCTTAAGGTAGCGTAGGTCACATGTTGTTTAACAGTTAGAATCATGCTGCAAGAAATGCCACATGGCCACAACAAATAGACGTGCAAAGGCCCTGTTTACTGTGTTTTAAAGCTTCATGCTCGGTCTAATCAGCAGACAACAGCATGCCATTGGTAGGTCTTGACTTCGAAATGCCTGTAACAGCTTTCCACATCTATAACCATCCCTAACCACCCTTCTCTCCATACTGAACTATGAGAACTTTTTTGTTCCGCCCCCTCGAAAATTGACTGCAGGTTCTGCACATTGTATTTTTGCTCTTTTTGAAAAAATTCGCCAAAGCACTGTTCACTTGTATAACCATTAATTAGCTCAAATAGGTCAGATAGTGATGATGATGAAGAGTTTGCTGCAAAGAGGAATTATTAAAAAATGAGGATTTAGAAGTGGCCAAGTAGTCAAGCAGACTTGTGGCTTATTATTTTTCCTTGTTTCTTAGTTCAGTTCAATTGGTTCGATCCATTTTAAAAAAATTTGTAGTAGGTTCATGACTAAAATAAAAATAAATCTTCCATTTGATTATGGTACAAGAGAGGAATGTAGCTTTTTGGTTCATTTTACTTTTCCATTTTCTGGATATCGAGTAGGCGAAATTACTAATAACTCAAGTCAGCGAGGAGCTGTAACACATCTGACATACCAAAACAGCTTATACAAGAATACGAGAATGAGTTATGAGGTAATAGTTTTTAATGACAACAATTTATTGTATGCAAATGTAGGGTGTTTAGTAACCGTTACTTGATGATTATTTGGAGGTCGTGAGATGCGGTCTGGTGTGACGTAGGTTTAGAAAAACATTTTTTTATCGTGCCAACGTTTTGATCTTTATTGTTATCATCTTCAGGACCTGGGATTTATAAACATTGTTTAAATTTTAGAAATACATGTAGGAAAAAAAATAATTTATTTAATGTTAGAAAATTTTAGATAAAATATGAATTTATACTGATGTAGATCAAATGTTTATTTATGTATATAAACATAATATGTAAACATAATGTATAAATTCATTTTTTAATCTAAAATTTTCTAGCATTGTATAAATTCTTTTTTTTTCACATCCTACGTGTAATTGTAAAATTTAAACAATATTTATAAATCCCAGGCCCTGAAGATGATCTCAATAAAGACGTTAACAACGTTGCCACGATGAAGAAAATGTTTTTCTAAACCTACGTTACACCTGACCGCATCTCACGATCTCCAAATAATTATTGTATACAATTATTCATTAAAACTTGCTGCAGACAATTGCGCAGCTATAATTCCGAGATTGGTCTAGGGTATAGCACGGTGATTCTCAAGAGGCAAACCCACAATGCAAAATTATTAAAAGCCTAATCACGTTGTCAGAAAACACAGCAAGTAGAAAATTATGATGATAAAAAAGATCCTACAAAACTACGGTCTGATATTTAACAAGATCTTAGTTCAGTTCAATCTTTATCCTTCTATTTATTAAATAGTAGGTCATTGCTTTAATTATTTTTCCGGGTTTTCTTAGTAGCCTAATATATTACTTCCTCCCATTCTAAGATAACTTGTAGAAGTTTCGTTCTCCACATTGCATAACTTACAAATGAGGTCATTGTTGAAATTGTCATTGTTTTTGAGGACCTATTCCGAGATAAAGGAGTTCATATTTCTCTTTGTTAGTTCATTGTAAGTTCTGGCCTATATATTGAGATAGTTCTTTGTTCAGATTATCCGACCCAGAATTTCTTACTGCACCCACGATTTTCCCAGCTTTTGGAGATTTTTAACCTTTTTAAGTGCTAATGCTATTAGGGCTGCTAGATGATCCTATGGGGATTTCATTGTATCAGTGTAATCTTTTTTGAAAATTAACTTAATAAAATCAAGTTCTTCCCTAATGAGTTCGATTAGGTGGGCGGACTTGGACCGCGCTTGACAATTTCACCCTTGACGCCAACAATATTAAAGCACATGATCCAGAAAAACTTCAATTTCAAAGAATATATAATTATTCTGGTATCATTGTATTAATAGGTTTTATTACAATGTTGAAATTCAATTGCTGTCAAAAACATTTCTTTTCATAAGTTGTACACCGATAAAAAGAGTTATGTGCAATACGTTAGCAAATCCAGTGAGATGAATGCTTGCTGGTGGATAAAATGAAAATTAGCAAGGCCGCGATGGCAGAGGTGTAATTAAAGTCGTAATTCTATTCGCCTTGAAATTGATGTCATCACCGACATAAAACCAACCTTCTTTGTTTAGCAACTTTACACTTCAATGCTCTATGTAATACATTGACAATATGGTCCACTTGTAACTCACTACTTTTTTGATAGATATGCGATTTTTTCTCAATGTGTTTTTAATATTGTCTTAAATTCTTACTGTTCAAAAAGGCGTAAACCTTTTCGTACAAGGGTAAAGTTTTTTTGGCAAGTGTGTTAAAATTGAGTCGAACCAGGAAGAGGAAATTTCGTGAGAGAGTTAATTAGAGAGAAGAAGTTAAGAAAAATTAATTACTTTTGCCAGGGTAGCACCGCCTGCCAGGGACGGTTTTAAAACCGAATATCGAAGGCAGACTTGATTGGTGCTCCATACGAAAAAACAGATAATACAATAGATATGCTGATTGTTAACGCCAATTAATTGCTGAATTTATAAAAGAGATCGCGTTTCATTAATCCGCACCTGTTTATTGTTTGGGTCAGTGAGTCGGCGTCGGCGGATTACGGCAGATAAGAGTCAGTCGTCTTTCGTTCGTTGTTGTCGAAGTAAATTTTTTTTCGTTTTTCTCATCGCATCGTCACTATTTTTCCTCATCATCGTCATCAATAACATCGCCATCCTGTTCATCGTTGGATCGTCGTCTTATGAGGGAAGTGGTACCACTTTAGTAAATATTTGGACTGTTTGGTAGCTTGTGGTATCGATCGATTGTTAATTTAAGTTCATTTGAATTTTGGATTCGGATTTTTTTTAAATTCATTCATTTGAAGTTTACAATAGTTTATTTTATTCGATGTTGACAATTTATTTTACTTTATTTACTTGAAGTTGAAATCTATTATTTATATTTTTTCTTTATTATTTAAAATTATATGTTTTTTTAATCAAAGAAGATTGATTGATTTATACCTATTTATTTTAATTGTTTTTTTGTTTTATTTTGAATGTGTTTTCCGTGAAGATTTATGCCCGCCTTTACGTAGTCATATCGTAGTGAGAAAGAAGTCCGGCATTGATAGAAACGAGATCGGAGGTTTACTGGTCC